TTGGCTCTATTATCAAAAGAAAGATCGACGGGGAGAGCGGGCTTCCCTGGCGGATCCCGTTTCCAAAACCAAACGAATCTTTTGAAATTTTGTTGTTGATAATTAAATTGGCTCTTTGTAAAGATGTAAATGACATTATTTGATTAATAGCATTCCTTGGAAAATTTAAACTCTCTAGAACAATTTCCAAAAATTCAAAACTTCCTCTGTCAAAGGCTTTTTCAAAATCTATCCCTAATGCAGCTATTTTATCATCATTTTCAACATTTCGGCTGTGACTTTTGTTCACTTCATGTCTCAATTTTTGTAACAAATTTATTCCTTGATCTAGATTTCTATCTTTAACAAAACCAAATTGTAATTTATTCACCACATTTGGAATAATTTTTATCATTCTGTCATTGACACATGCTGAAATTATCTTTAATGTTGTATTCATTAGTGAGATGGGTCTCCAGTTTTTGATATCTGTTTTCACCTTTTTCTTTGGTAAAAGTTTGATTAAAACTTCAGTCATCTTTTCAGGCAATGTTCTTTTTTCTCCCATCAGATTCAAAATTTGTAGAAGTAATGGATCAATTGCTTCTCTTGATAAAAATAAATACATATAGCTTATTCCATCACTACCCGCAGCAGTTGACTTGCTCTTGTATCTTCTCCATACTTCATCAATATCTTTTTTAGTGTAGGGTCTAGAAAGCAAATCATAATCTTCTTGACTTAAATTTTTCTCTTCTCCAAAATCCCTAACATAATTTTCAGCTTTGATTCTCCATTCGTTACCTTGAAATGGGGTTTCAATGTTGTACAAGTTATCATAGAATTTGGTGGCCAATGTTTCCATGTCTGATTCATCAGTTATCAGCTTTGGGGGATCATGTGAATAGGACAAAAGTCCCTTCATTTCAATTTGTTTTTCTCTTCTCTTGAAAAGTTTATTATTATTTTTCTTTGAAAGTACCACTTGATCTTTGTTGTTCTTTGATATCCCATGAATATCTCTTGTCTTTCCAATGTCCAACATAGGTTTAACACATCTATAGAAATTTTTGGTTTCCCTAATTAGGAATTCCTGATATTTCTCCATAACCTTATCAAACATTTTAATAAACTTTTCAGACCCTATATCATCACTAATATGTTTTTCAAATTGATTCTTGTCATAGTCCTCACATAGATTTTGATATAATTTCAAATCTTGTTCATCTGTAATTAATTTATCAATATCATGTCTATCCATTCTCATAGCTTCTTTCATTTCGGGGTAATCTTTCAATATCTCATCAATGGTATGAAACCTTTTTTGTGGATTATCAGATTCCTTTAAGATTTCCTGTTTTGTTTTGAGAACTAATTTAATTCCAAAATGAGTGGATTGTGGAATCCTGACTCTAGTTCTTGAGTAGAACGCCACTAAGTTAAAATCAGTGAAATAATTGTTCTGGATCAAAAATTTATCCAGACGTCTCCTTCTTTGATCTCCGCTCATTTGGTTCGTATAGTTGTTGGAACTATCTGGGTGTTCAATAATGGTTTCATCTGAGAGAAAAATATCTTCAAGTGAATTTTCATTCATAATTTCTAAAACTTTATTGGCACTGTTTGACATCTTGTAATTATCATATGGCATTGACACATCTGATTTATCATTAAGTATTGTGCAATTAAAATCACCAACCACAATTAAAAGTGTTTTATCATCACCTTCTTTGAGCATGGTTTTCCTAATAATGTTTTGTATTTCTTCATAGAAATTTAGACTTTGATTCTCTTGAGGAGAGTATAAGTTGAGTATGATGTAGTTGGGCTCATTTGGATCTTGTGTTATCAGTTTTATTATATTGAAGTTATCATTGTATGAACTTTCATTGACATCTTCTAAATCTTTAATTTCTTTAAAATGTTCTTTGTTTATAATGATTTTAGCTTTGTTGCTGGCTTTACCAATCATCACATGCCCAGTCTCATTTAATGATTTAATGATTCTGTCATAATTTCTTGCTGTAGTTTGACTCTCTTGGAGGTTTAAAATGTTTTTGTTTTTTTCTTGTTGTTCTTGTTCTCTCATTTTGTTGATGGTTCTGTCCCAACCACTTTCATCTTTGCGTTGGATGTTTGCTGATCTAATACAAATCATTTTCAATAATCTTGAACTTCAACATCTTGATCATGTTGATTGGTATCACCATCACCATCACCAGCATTGTTGTTCTCAGCTATTAAATCATCAATATCAATATCTTCTTGTTGTTGTTCACTTTCTAAATTGGCTTCATCTTCCACTATGTGGTTCCTTGTCGGTGTTCGTCCTCTTTCAACCCTTTCAACTTCAACACCATCTTCAGCATCAACACGTCTATCAGTGCTCAACTTTATCTTATTTAATTCAACACTAGCCTGATGATAATAGCCCAAATAATTCAAGTCAGATTCGGTTAAAGTGGTATGCTTCAAAATATCTTTATCCTTGTTTTGGATCGCTTTTTCCATTGCTGTTTTAGCAGCTCTTGTTATCCTATTAGGTGATGTACTTTTCAATGAGTTTAATTCAATTGGTCTTGCTCTTGTTGCTTTGGTTGGTGAGACAGATCTTGCTGGAGATCTAGCTCTTGTTGGAGATGATGATCTAGTAGGAGACGATGTTCTTGTTGGTGATCTAGATCTTGATGGAGATGGAGATCTGCTTTTGGTGACCTTTGCAGGTCCTGGTTTTCCCAATTTCTCCTTTAATTCTGGGATAACATTTGAAGCTGTTGCTCTTGATTTGCTTCTTTTATTTGAAGAGTTATTTTCTTCTTCTTCTTCTTTTCCTTTTCCTGCTTCAGCTGGTTCTTTTTGTTTAGCTTCTTCAGTTGAAGCTGTTGTTGCATTTTCTTCAGTTGATGATGATCTTGTGGTTCCAGATGTTGTTGTTTCCTCTTCTTCTTCTTCTTCCTCTTCTTCTTCAGTTGCTATTGGCTGGAAAGGATTACTCTTTGGAGTTGGTGTTGCTTTGGTTTTGGATTCAGTTCTTCTGTTAAAAGTTGCTCTTCTTCTTGGTGAAGCATTTTGGAATCCTGTTTCATCTTCAGCTTTATTTGTATTGGTACCATGGTTGGAAAAGTTGAAATTGTATTGATAACCGTTGTTGTTTTCAGTGGAAGTTGAGTTTGAGGATGTTGCATCAGGGTGTTTTCTTGAACCATTATCATTGAACATTTTATAATTTAAAGGTTCCATGTTGTTTCTTTTCCTTTCCCTATCACTTTTATTAAATGAACAATTCCTCATTTTATGACCCCTACCATTGCAGTAGAGACAACGGTGTGGACAAAAGCGTTTTTGGTGATTTATGGAATTGCAGTTAATACAACGCATATAGTCCCTGTTGATAATCTCCATCTTCACTGAGTTTCTGTCACCAAGAAATGGGGTTTCGTTTGAGGTTGCGTCTGCAAGAAACAGGTATTGAAGTGTTGCAATGCCCTGGTGACAAGTCTGTTTTCTTCCATCTGGGATGAAAGGTCCCGCAATCTTTTTCCATTTATTTTTCCCTTCAATTAGTTCAACAACCATTGCCGAATCATCAATTTCCTCTAAATTGAAATCAATATTAATGACCAGAATTTTACTTGATAATCTTTGTTGTTTATCCATTTGTTCATCTATTTGCTTGAGAGATTCATCAGTTGAGATCAATTGAAAGCTAATTTTGGCCTTTTGTGTTTCAATTTCAAAAGTTTCATTCTTCAACCAGTTTTTAAAGTTCTTTTTGATTTTTTCAGTTTCTTCAACAATGTATTCGTTCATGTTTTGTTTACCAATTTGTTCCAAATTGGCAGAGACATAATACTTCTTCAGTAAATCTTTGAAATTATCAAAAGTGGCCCAGCTATGAAAGATTGGGAGTCTATAGGTGCTAGTTTTTTCACCAATTTTCATTGTAGCTAAGGTCCAATAGTTGTAAAATTCTTCAGAACCTGGTGTTTTTAATTTCTGTTCACCTTCAATACCACTAGCATTGTTTTTGATAAAACGTTTTTGTTCATCTTGATGTCTAATTATAGCATTTTTGATTGTTTTATCATCAATATCTAACCTCTTGTATAGCTGAGCTTTATCGGTTGTAACCGCCTCCTCGGAGTTCCAGCCCATTTCGAGATTATCTCCGTCTAGATCTAAATCTTCAGTTTCTCCGATTTTCTGAGTTTGTGTAATTTTCAATTCGTACTCATACTCATGTGTTGGGGTATAATCTTTATATTGATAGAAAACTTGTTCACATTCCTTGGTGATACCAACATCTTTAAACTTCTCATGTGTAGCTTCTTGCTTTTTATGGTAGTTTTTACCTATTTCTTCAGCCCAACTACCAGTTTTCTTACCCGGTTGATGATTTTTTTTTTCGGAAGAATTAATTTCATCAGTATTGGTGGATTGGTCAGATTTTTTTTGGTTTTTCTCATTGTTTTCTTCTTTTTTTTGTTTTTTTGATCATTTTCTGTTTCAGTATAATAAGTTTTATTTGATTTTTCATTTTTTTTTCATTTTTTTGGGTTTGTGGTTGTTGTTCAAAGGTTTCTTCTTTTTCTTCAGTTGAAGCTTCAGAATGACTATTTTGACGAGGAAAAGTGCTTTCTGCACCATTCAAGTTGGATGAAGATCCTGGAGGATCTGTAGAGGATATATTATCCTTAGATTGTTCTTTATCTCGTTCCATGATTTGATTGCAAAAAAAAACTTTATTCAAAAAATTAAGCATAGCGCTGCTCGGTTTCGATCCGAGGACATCAGGGTTATGAGCCCTGCGCGCTTCCACTGCGCCACAGCGCTTAATTTTTGTTCTTTAAATCTGCTGAAGTGCCTGACCATATTTATAGTTTTGGTAGGGCCAGTATCAGATAGGGTAAATTCACCCATTTCGCGACCCATGATTTCAACAGATCCTTTACTTTATCTAAGCATCACATCTTCAATTCGAAGCACATCTATAAGGTATCAATTCAATTAAAGAAAGGATTATTGGATAATCATTACTCCACAAGTATTAAATTCATTTCCTGTTACCAATTGCTATTGCTATTCATCCATCTACCATAGTTCAAGTGTATCTTATATTGTTGCTTTGATCCACGTTGTACCATCAATTATAATGCCATTTGTTCAGCCTGCTTCTGAGCCTGATGGTCATAAATTCCAAAAGTTTTTCAACAAACTAAGTGGACAACCACCAAGTTATGCCCAAAAGACGGATTATATATTTGGTCGTACATTAGGAGCTGGTACTTTCGGTATAGTGAGACAAGCGAGAAGAATATCAACAAAAGAGGAAGTTGCCATAAAGATTGTTATGAAAAAGGCATTGAAAGGAAATGAAAAAGTATTCTATGAAGAATTGGGTCTCTTGCAAAAGTGTAAACATCCAAATATTGTTGGATTTAGAGACTGGTTTGAAAGTAAAGATAAATTTTATATTGTCACTCAATTAGCCACTGGTGGTGAATTGTTTGATAGAATTGTGAAAGAGGGAAAATTTACTGAAAGTGATGCAGTTATAGTCATTGTTCAAATTTTGAAAGCTGTTTCATATTTACATGATGAACTGAATATTGTTCATCGTGATTTGAAACCGGAAAATTTAATTTATATTACTGAGGATCCAAATTCTCAATTAGTGTTGGCAGATTTTGGTATTGCCAAAGAGTTATTAACACCTGATGAGGTTTTAACTAGTGCAGCTGGTAGTTTTGGTTATTGTGCGCCAGAAGTCTTGATGGGTACAGGACATGGTAAACCATGTGACATATGGTCATTGGGTGTAATTGCATTCACTTTATTAGTTGGTTATTCACCATTCAGATCTGAAAATGTGAATGATTTCTTACAAGAAGTTCAAAATGATCCTGTTGTTGTGTTCCATAAACAATATTGGAAAAACATTTCTCAATATGCAAAAGATTTTATTAAAAGCTGTCTAACAGTTGACCCTAAGAAAAGACCTAGTGCAAAGCAATTATTATCAGATCCGTGGATAACTGCTAACTCAGACGTTTATGCCACAGATGATTTAGCTCCACAAATTAGACAATTCAATGCTAAAAAGAAATTCAAACAAGCTGTGGAAATTGTGAAACTGAATAATAGAATCAAGAAATTGAGAGAATTGGAAGATGATGAAGGTGAAGAAGATTCAGATTTGGCTTTGTGCAAACAGGACCCAGATTCTTCAAGTGAAAGTACTTCAAGTAGCGAAAGGGCATTTGATTTATCAAGCATAGTTCAATCATTGAAGTCTGCTAGCTCATCATCTTCCTCAAAGTCAAAATCTGAATTGAATGCAAGCTTATTTCATCAAGTGGTTAGAGCTGCTACTAATAATAGAGAGAAGGTGTTAAGTTATGATGAAGAATTGGCGAAGAATAAGGATGGTGAAAAATAATTGGTGTCTTTGTGGTTTTAAATAATAGTTTCGATTCATTAGTGAAGTTACGTTCCTATAATATACTGACAGTCATTTAATGGTGTATCTTAATCACTTTCTGTAAGACTTGTCCTACCTGTTTAACGTTAATGTGTTATCTCCGTTGTCCTGGATCAAATCACTTTGTCCAGTATGTCGTTCGTGATATATAGACCCATAGACATGTCTAAAGGTACTAATTTGAATTATTCGTCTTTTGAATCGGTTCTAAAGTCCAAATTGATTCGAAAGCCTGTATAGTGACAGCATGTTAAGGTCTTGAAGACAACTGTCTACCAAATGTAGAGAAGGTTATTTGATTAAAAATAGTGTATTCAAGTCACCAAAGGCCGACTGGGTTTTTTTTGTACCTTGGTCTCAAACTGATTCGTATTTTAACGTATTGGCTGGTTGATGATGTATCCCATACCAAGCTCCAACTCTATTTGGTTCTGCGGTCAAAGTCCAGATTTCAGAATCCAAATCTTGGAGACCATTTGAGTCTATCATCCACCAAGTGCCGACGGATAAGAAATCAAGATGTATTGTATCGTCATCTTTCATCACTAGCTTAAGGTTAACGCACTTTTTGACGTTGGGTTTCTCATTAAGGTTTAGTTTTGAGGTGGCCAAAAAGTAGAAACGGCCATCTCATCGCATGATTTTTAACCTTTTTCACTTTGGCTGGTAACACGACTTTCTTGACAGATGGTGTAGAGATCTCATTTTAAGGTAAGAATCTTCACTGCAGCATTTGATGCACCTAAAGATAGTACAAGTATTTAAGCTTTAACCTGTGATAGACACTCATAAACATACCTATTCAGGGAAAAACTGGGGGACCAATGTTCTCGAAGGGAGAGCTTTCGTAGTTAAACTTGGTACCATCTCATCTATATGCATTCATGATGAAATGAAGTGACATTGACATCTGGCTTAAGTTAAAGAAATAGGCTGGTATCAAATATATTCGACAATTCTAGTACAAATTTAGTATGAAATAGCCAGGTCAGACGACAGAAACGTCTAAAATAAGCTTACGAAAACTCATTCTCAAATCTGAAGCTGCCTAATCTGGAATTTGAGGTTCCAGAGGAGGAAGAACAATTAGCCAAAAAGAGAAGAGGAACCAAGTAAGGTTCTTATCTAGTGAAACACGATTGAAAATGGGCGTTCCTAAATCCCAAATGTTGAAGTGTATAACTGAAATATTTCGATATTGAGTTATATAATTGAATGAATTGTCTCACAGCTTGCCGTAATTAAGCAATTTATAAGGACATGTTATAATTATAAAAATTGTATGATCAAAATCTTGGAATCAAAAATAGACGTAGCAAAGTACAAATTACCATGAGCTAGTCATCTCTGATCCAAGGTCCATCGGCAGCTGGTTGATCATCTCATGGCGTTAATTGTAATAATTAGTAATTCAAATAGTTCCAGTGTTCTATTCGGCTAACAGGCCTACAATCCCGTTCTTGTATACGGTCGTCTTCATAATTCTTTCTAGTTGGAACTTGGCAGTGCAAAATACATCAACATGTTATTGGGGTACCAACTCCTAGGTGGCCAGTCGAACCAAACACCATGTATACCCGACGGTTTAAAGCGGTGATTGACCGTTGGGATGTGTAAATAATTCAACTAATCATGATGGTACTAAATTTTCGTAACGATAACGTTTTGACATTGTATATTTCCGCTGTGCATAAATGTATCATCGTTGTTTTTTCCAATCACTTCATACTTTCTCGAGAGTCTCGCAAATTTCCTTCAACAAAACAATACCAATATTGAAAAGAACTTCGTCAACGTTCAGCCCTCTTTTTCCCGTACAACTTCTATGGACAACTGCACTGCAAAAAACAACACAGAATCTAGATGCTTTTATCAATCAAACAAAGGAGTGATGAAAAGCATATAGAGCAAAAATAAACACAAACTTTGAACTATGAAGCCATCTTTTGAATGATAATATATATCCCAATGTACAATAATCAATAATCACCTAGATCCATGCCTTAAAAAAGATTTTCATTAGATGAAGTAAAAAAATTTATGCCCAATGGTTTTAAGGCATAATAGTTTGCCCATGAAACAACACCATGGTGAGCTGGATGCTTGGATCCCCAATTCTCTCTAAACTTGAGTTTATGAGGCGGGAACCATCCATGAGGTTGTCGAAACAAAACGAACACATATTGATGGATCCCAGATCCACTCTTTGGCCTTGGGCCATAATACTTCATTAAATCATCACCACCACGAAGGTCGAGCTTTGTCTTGAAGCTTTCCTTTCCATTTACATGCTCAATTATCTCATAGTTTTCATCATTGAATGGTATATTCACCCAAATTGCCTGGCATGTTTCAAATCCATCGCTGTCAACGCCGTTCAAGACCAATGTATAAAGTTCATTCACAAAATTTGGTGACAAGGAGAAGAAAGACACAAATTCAATCTCAACTGGTGGCTCCAAGCAATCCAATGGTGAAATGTAATTCCCATAAGTGACAGGTTTTGAATAAATTTCAAAAAATTCAATATTCAATTCTCCTGGCGGTTTCCAATGGTAGAGGTAATCTTTCAAAATATCACTTTCTTCTAATGTTTCTTTGATCCCAATAGACTTGAATTTGAATTTTGGAAGTATTTGGTACAAGTTTTGCACTGTTTCTGGTTGTATTGAAAAGCCAAAAGGCGATAGAATTAATAACCAAATAACTGTACTGAGCAAATGCACCATCTTGATTATTTTCTTTCTATTTACCAAACGGGTCAGTGGTATTAGCAGTCACTAAAGGGATCCATGAACAGTCAATCATTCACCATTACTGAAATATCTTCAACCAAATAGCCGCCGAATTTATTTGAACTTTTGTTTGATATTTCAGCTTTTATTGAAACCGACAGCAGCACCAAATTTTCATGATGGATTGAGCACAAATCAAGCGAAAATAACTGAGCAGCACCAAGGAGCTCACTCTAAGCAGAAGTACATTAGAAGATTACAATCTTGACAAGTGAAAACAGTTCATTTGTTACCAAATTGTATTGTAAGGTGTTTTTCAAAAAAGTGTTGCCCTTACCAGTTTTAGCATGGTGACAAGCTTCAACAACTGTAAGCGGACATAAGTGGCTTCACTAGCTCAGTCGGTAGAGCGTCAGTCTCATAATCTGAAGGTCGACAGTTCGAACCTGCCGTGGAGCACTCAATTTTTTCACTTTTTTTTACTACACAAATCGACGCAAAACCTATACAACAATCCACTGTAAAATTTTGGTAGCATTTGAAGGTGCTTTGGGTGTGTTATGCCATTTTGTTTCTTCACAAAAATCATTTTGTTAATATCGCGAATTTGAAAAAATCGATCAAGTACACAAATTTCCGTAAGAAAAAATCAAAGTATTTCGTAGAGCAGTGCCGCTGTTAATTGTCAACTATAGTTTGATAAGTAATACAGTTCTCAGATATTATACAATCGGCAGTCATGAATAATCAAGAACCAATAATCTAAATAAATGATATTGTTGTTGCTTGCTTATAAGTGAACAGTTTCCTTGGTTACAGATGTATTGATTATATTGGTGCGAAGATTACACAAAAGCGGTTCTCTTTGTGATATTAAAAATCAATCATTCTAATAAAGTTTTTAAAACTTGATTATGAACACTTTCATTTTGATTCATCCTATTATAAATTACTGGAACTGTTGTTTTTGTTTTGCCTAATCTTCAACTATAACCAAAACGTATAAGATATCAGAAGTCATGTTGTTCATCAAAATCGTTATTTCTTTGATTTCAATCATTTCCCTTGTACAGGCTACACCCCCTGCCTGTTTCCTTTCATGTGTTCAAGTTATTGCAAGATGGTGTGAAAAAAACCATGCTGATTTTCTCTGCATTTGTGATAATAGTCCTTCTTTAGTAGGTTGTTTGGTTGATATTTGTCCATATGGTAATTTTTTCAGCGCTAGAGATCATTTTTGGGGTACTTGTTTGGAAAGATTGAGTGAAAATAATCCTGCGAGCTATGGAAAACCAAAAGACCAGATCGATTTAACTGGCCCTAAAGATGATGGCTTGTTTGAGGAATTTCCTGAAGAATGGGATCAAGATGAAGATGGAGATGAAGATGAAGACGAAGTGGATGATGGAGAAAACGACGAAGAGGAAGAACAAGGTGATGAAGATGAAGACGACGAAGAAGGGGATGAAGATAACGATGATTATGAAGAAGAATATGAGGCTGGTTGGGATGAGGAAGAAGATGATGAGGAAGAAGAAGATGATGATTATGGTGAAAAAGATGGCAACGATGAGCAAAACGGAAAGTTTTATGAAGAAGAAGATATGGATCTCTCTGAAGAAGATAGTTCTGAAAATGATCCAAAAAGTGATAAAAATAGTGGGTTTTTTAGTCCAGACGAGGAAGATTTTGAAGCTACTGTCGCGTCTCCAAACTCAAAACGTCGAGATCGGCCTGACCTCAGCTACTAATTCAGAGGTAAACATTCAGAAACTGGATTCTGGTGATTATCATGATCTTATATTCTTATCGTCTCCAGGTTTAAATGACCCAAACTATGTTCAGCCATCTGCACCGAGAAATTATGAGCAGAAAAGTGAAATGAAATCTAAAACCCCCGAGAATTCCAACAACCGTGATATTCAAGAAGGATCCTCAAACTTCATCAACATTCGTCCTAAAGAAGAAGCCTCCAATATTTACTTGGATTCTCCAGATGCAACAGATCAAAGTACTGAAGGTGAAGAATATGAGAGCATGGAGGAACAAGAAGATGAAAACTATGAAAAGGATGAGGCCGAAGTTGCTGACTCTGATTTTGAGCCGCATGATGAGGACTTTGATGAAGGTAATGAAGAAGAATATTCTGATGAGGAAGAATATGAAGCAGAAGACGATGAAGAGGAAGAATCTGATAATGATGACGACTTTGAACAAAACAGTGACCAGGTAGCATCAAAAGATGACTTGAATTATGATCCATTGACTCTTGAAAAAGAGGATCATGTTTTAGATTCTGAGTCTGCAAAGTTCGATGAATCGAAAATCAAGGAAAGGGCCGAAAAACTCGTTGAACAAAAAAAAAGCTTTTAGATAATAAGTTTTTGAAAGAATTAGAAACACCTGTTAAATCAAAAGGATATTCATCGAAACAAGAAGAACATAGTCCATTCAATTATGTCGGTCATCGGATATCACATTCTAAGCCATTCAGGTCATTTAAAGAATACTTGGAGAAAAGTCAGAATAAAGTCAAGGTCATAAGCAATTCTCTAAAGTCAGATGATCAGGAAGAAGATGAGAGCTTCGATACTGGCGATATTACTAGCCAGAAGGTTGCAAAAAATTCACCTCCAACAGACCCGTCAAGGTACAACACAGATGGTACTATTGAAGAAGATATTGTGAAAGGGATCCCAAAGAAAATCAAGAGAAAAATCAAGAGGCTACCTAATGATGTTTCTGAGAAAATAAAGAAAATTAAGAACAAAATCATATGATTCACCTAAGGAGACAGTTGCTTGTGTTTTTCCCACTTGAACAATCAAATATAAAGACATAGAATAAAACTTGTAGGTCTGCCAAAACAGTCGTGCCTGCACAAGTGTCGCGACGTGGCGTGTCGTTTTAATCCGCGCATTTTTTTCTTGTTCAAACAAAAATTTTAGCCCATCGAATATAACCAAGTCTTTGGTTAAGTGCGCTGGACGAGAGAAGCACTTCGCTAGATCACAGGTACCTTTGGCAGATACAAACTATCTTGAACCTGCTACAGAAACCAAACAAGTTATTCGCTATGGACTCACGCTCAGCTGCTGTTATCACTGCTGCTATTGAAGAGCAGAAAGCTCAAGAGGCTGCACATGAAGCTCAAAAACAATCACAGGGGGAGGTTCAAACATCAAAAGAAAGCACCAATAATGAAGTGGTATCAGAGGAACAGCACCGTGAATTACAACAACTAGCTCAACAACATCAAGCTCAACAGGAAGCCGAGCAACACTCTGTGCAATCTGAAACAAATCAAAGGGGCGAACAGCCTCAAGATGAACAACAACATCAATTTCAAGTTATGCACCAACAGCTCAATAACCATTTGAAAAATGAAGTAACAGATAAAAAAGCTCTCCCTAGAAAATCAACACAAAGGCCTTTTCAAGTGGACCCCGACCTCAATGTTGCCGTTGGTATAGTTCAAGATATTGTTGGTCCTAGAGCTAATCATACTTCTTCATCTGGTCAACCGGAACAACAAACACAACAATATGAAACTGGTTCTGATGTGACAGAGGCACCTCTCTGCTCAAGATGTAAAAAAGAGTTTGCTCCATCTTTAGATGGGAAAACATTCAAGCTTTGTCCACATTGTCGGGAATTGCAAAGACAAAGATCCAGAAGATGGCAACAAAAAATCAAACAAAAAGAAGGTGCTTGTAAAAGATGTGGTGCAAATATTCCACAAACTGAGACCACATATGTCTTATGTCCTCCTTGTCGTTTGAATTTAAGAACCAGAAAAGCAACCAGATATGAAAGTGGTAAATGTGTTCATTGTTCAGGAATTAATGACTCCACAGAGTTCAAAGTATGTACAAGATGCAGAAACAATGATAAGATGAGAAGAAAGAATCTTGAAGATAGTGGCTGCTGTAACCGTTGTGCCAACCCATTGAAAGCAGAGGATGAAAACCATAAAGTTTGTAATACTTGCAGATCAAGAAAGAAGAATATAGCTAAAGCTCATCAAAATTCTCAACATCCAACTGCTTCTAGTACAGCTCCAAACACAGCAGATCAAAACATCAATTATCAACAGCAATTTGCACAACAAGCACAACAACTGGAAGCAAACTTGTTTGCCCAATAGAGAGAACAATAAATATTCAATTTCAATTACACTTATTGCAAACAGTAGTACTACGCTGGGAAGATATATTTTAACAAATTACAAATTTACTTAATACTATAAAAACTTCCTCTCTAATTTAAAATGGCAACAGCGACACTTTGGAAATCATCATGGCTGATACTGACTTTGATGGTTGAACCTTTTGGAGCAGCTTTCAAAGCTTCACCATGTAGTTCAACTTGTGGAGCTCCGTTTGAATCACGAATAATTTCAATATCTTTCAATTGGGCACCAGCGCCTTTTGATTCAACACCTAAAGCCTTGAAAACGGCTTCCTTAGCTGACCAAGTACCAGCATATGATGATTGTGGTGATGGAGCACCTTGACAATATTTGATTTCAGCATCAGTGAAATTACGTTCAATGAAGGTCTCATTTTCAACATTGATTGATGAAATCAATTCAACATCAACACCAACATTCTTTGAACCAGCAACCTTTGAGCTCAATTCACCTAATACTTTTGAGGTATCTTTTGATGAAGCAGAAACAAAAGATTCAGCACTTTGAATAGATTTTGAGGCATATTCTAAGTTACCACTTTTAGCTGGAGCAACTCTAGCTAATGGATCCAAGTAAACTGGGTTTTGTAAATCATCATCATATGGAGCTTTATCTTTAGCTTTGAACAAAGAGTTGTTGATAAATGACTTGTGGAAGTGAGAGTAAGCTTTGTTGTGTCTTTCATTGAATTTCTTAGCATAAGTTTCATATTCTTCTTTAGACAAAACAGCAAACAAATAATCACTGTTAATAGCAATAGCTTGAGCACCTTTTTGACCGAAACCGAATGAAGTAACTGAAACAGCTTTAACACCATCAGTTCTAATTGATCTAGATGGGAACAACAAGTAATCAAAATCTTCCAAGACTTTATCAATGTTATCAGCATTTCTATTACCTGGAACAATACCACTGTTTAAAATTTGTAAAGCACCGTTGAACATCCATGCACCAGCAGCACCTTTTGGATGACCAGTCAAATACTTTTGGAAAACAGCTAATGCTGGGTTACCTTCACTTCTACCCAAATGTCTAAACATCATATCAAGAGTAGCTGATTCATTCTTATCATTAGCTTTGGTTGAAGTACCATGTAAAGAACAAACATCAATATCATCAACAGTTAAACCGAAAGTAGCTAAAGCACCACGAATTGGAGCAATTCTTGGATTGTTTTGGTAGAAAAAGTTACCATAGTAATCTTTGGCTTGTTTGATTTGTGATTGAGCTTCATTTTGAATTTCTTGAATTCTTTCAGCAATATAGGTGTTTTGTTCATCGGCTGATAATTCTTTGGCTTCCTCTTGTAAAAATTCATATTCAGAATCAATCCATTGTTTAACTTCTTTAACTCTTCTTTCAACTTGACGTTTTCTGTATGAAATATCCAATAATGAAGATTTGAATTTCAAGTCACCGTGATGTTCTCTAGCAGTGGTCAAAATACCTTTACCTGGAGCTGGGACAGATCTACCAATTTTATCAGTAGCAGTAGCAGTCATACCTAAGATACCATAGATTGGGACACCCATTTTCAAAGCTAAATCAGCATTCATAATAACTTGGATACCTGAACCTTGAGCTTCCATGAAACCATTTCTTGTTGTAGTAGCTGGTCTTGACATTTCACCTGGAGTACGACCATGTTCAAATTCATCTAATGAGTTTGAAGTAGCATTCATGTTACCGAATTCATAAGAACCTTCTTCTTGGAAGTCATCATAACCACCAACAATACAAACCTTGGCCTTACCAGACAAGATAGTTTCAACACCGATATCTAATGATTCAACAGCAGTGGCACAAGCACCAACTGGAGTCTTGATAGGACCAGATGATGATAATAACAACATATTCACCCAAGCGGACATGGTGTTGATAAAAGATTCTTGCAAGATATCATTTTGAACTGGTTGATCCTTATAACGATCTTTGAACATACCACGCAAGGCAGAAACACCACCCATACCTGAACCTGAACAGTTACCAACTTCAGAAACATGAATATATTTGTATAATTCATAAGGATCTTTAATACCAGCAGAAATGAAAGCTTCAACAGTGGCAACAAGAACGAATAAGGTGATTGGATCAACTTGTGAAATAGTATCTTCTGGAATACCATAACGTCTAGCATCCCAACCAGTTGGAATTTGACCAGCAACCAAACGGTCGAATCTCAAAGCTTTTGGAATGTATAATGAAGCACCTTTCAATAACTTAACGGTGAATTCACCAGTTTCTGGGTTTTCTTGAATCTCAACCTTATCACCGTGTTCATGCTTGAAATGTTCAGCTGTTTCTTTAGAGGCTTCAAATTCAGCAAGATCTTCTTCAATAACAACCTCTTGAATAAATTCTTTCTTTTCTGGGTTGTAACCATTGAATAATTCAGGTTCGATCAATCTAATACCACAGTGATCTAAGATGAATTCCTCATATTTACCTTTAACATCTTTATCTTCAACTGGTTCATTAGTTTTAGCATCAACCCAACCTGTATATGGTCTACCTTTCAAATTACCATTGTGGTATTTGATCAAACCCATGATCCAAGCAATTTCGATACAACCTTCTAATGAGAATTCACCAAAGGCTTCCATTTCCCATCTAGTTCTTGAAGAACCCCATGGACCAACTTCTGAAAAACCAGTAACAACAACAACTTTTTCCAAGTTTAACAAACCTTCCAAGTTTGGTGACAATTTCTTGATTTCTTCATATGGTTTCAAAGTTGGGAAATCAAATTTCATGTTGGCTCTTGGGTTGATTTGAGTCTTTGCGAATGGAGCATCAGCATTGGCACCGTTAACAACCTTATGTTCAAGGGCAGTTTCAATAGAAACAGCTCTTCTAATATCAGAAGTTTCAAGAATTTCAGATCTTAATTTGTTGGTACGTTCTTTCAATGAGCTAATGAATTGTAAACCACCATTCAAATCAGCTAAAACTGGTGATTTTTGACATAATTCAGTAATTTCCGGGGTTAATAGACCTAACAAGTTGAAACCCATTTCAGATTGACTGAAAGTTCTAACACCTAATTTTTCAATACCTTCTGAAATAATGTTGTTGGCACTCATTAAACCAGTACCTCTGGTCCAACCAATAACAGCACCACAAATGGTTAATTGATTAGCCCAGCTTTCTGAATGCCATCTGTTGAACAAAGTTTCTAATGACAATTTGGATTCAGAGTATAAACCATCAGCACCAAAAGTACCATGATTTGGAGACATTGGTAAAATAACTTGAGCAGGTCTAGTTTCAATACCTCTTTCAAATTTATGGTTTTTAACAGAACCTAAAATTCTCAACAAGTTGGTCAACATAATACGGTGAGCAAATTCTGATTTAGAATCAATTTGGTTCATTTCAATACCATTTTCTGGAATAGCTGCAAATGGAATGATAGCATCCAAATCCCAGCCTAAACCACCTTTCTTGACATCATCATAGATATAATCAACTAAAGCTTCAACATCTTGTTTAGAACCTTGGTTAAATGGAACGACAATCAAAGAGGAGCCTTTAGCACCATAGTTGGTATAGATTTCTTGGTAGTACTCGGTGACTTTCTTGGAAAATCTTGAAGTGGTTAAAACAACATTAGCACCACCTTGAATCAAACCTTTCAAGATTTCAGCACCAATAGAACCAGCACCGGCACCTGTGATCAATACATGTTTACCTTTGAAAGTAACACCATTGACAGCAGCTTGTTCTAAACCATCCAAATAAACAGAAGTTAACGAACGGTCATAAGTCCAAGAATCATCAGGTAATCTCTTTTTCAAATGTAAAAATGGAATAGTTTCTGGTGGAATAACTTTAGAAACTGGGTTTGAAATTGAGGAAGTGGTTGGTAATGAGGCAACTTCTTTGGTTGAATCAGAGTCCAAATTATCATCATTCATACCAGCAATAGTGGTGTTTTTCTTGATTTCAATCTCACTTGAGGATTCCAAAAATTTGATCAATTCACCATATAACTTTTCAAATTCAACTTTTGTACCAGATGATAATTCAGCTTGTTTTGAAATGGCATTGTAAACCTTAGTTAAATCTTGTTCGATAGTTGGTTGAGGAATTTTGGTAACTTCAGAACCTTGAGACATTTCATGGACATATTGTTGTAATTTACGAACATTTTCTCTTGGTTCTTCAGAGTATTTGACGTTACCTTTATGATCAACATTAGTTTTTGGACCTAATGGGTATGAAATATCTTTGTAAACCGGGTCTAAGTTCAAAACTTGTTTACAGTTTTCAATCAATTGAGTACCTAATTCTTTGGCTAAAGCATAGTTTTCACCTTTGGTAGCATCAGCTTTGTTAATATGGTATTCCATAAATTTAATTAAAGTATCATTTGAACGGTTCATGATGTTGATAGCTTCAGAAACCAATTCCCTGTCAACCCTTTTCAAACAACCATGGATAATTTCAAAGTATAAAGTTAGCAAACTTTGTCTTGACCAATTCCAAGAACTGTCATAAACTCTGGCCTTCTTTCTTGAGAATGAAGAAGTGATACCTTCAATGAAATATTCACCCAATTCATTGGTCAAGTTATCTAATTGATCTTGCAAAGCTTTCAAGTTATCCTTTTGTTGATCGACCAATTTGTTACTTTTGTTCAAATCAAGTTTCAAGTAACGAGCCAAAACTTGCAATTGTTGACGAGCCAAGATTTTGTTGTCCTTGGTTAATTCTTCGAAAGCAGCAGCGTCAATAGTAGCACCACCTGAACCACCTGAAGATGAAGCAGCAGCTGCAGAACTCAAAGAAATGTTGGCAATAGAAGCGTATTTTTGAGCAACACCGTCAAGGTAAGCTTTAGCATCAGCTTCAGCAGCTAAACGAGAGGCAGGTTCTTGGGTCAAACAAATCAACAAAACAGAATCTTGTCTACCTGCACCTAGACCCCAACGGGATTGCAAATACTTTCTAGCAGATGAGACACTGAAACCACCAGGCATCTTAGAAGACATTAATCTAGCAATCAAAGATGATGATTGTTTACCTAAAGCACCAGCAAAAGTATCTTGGAAAGTTTCAGCCAATTCCTCTAATGGAGTTTCTTCTGGTTTTTCTGGAGTTGAACCAAATTCCTTACCTAAATCACCTAAGATCTCATTTTGAATTGTAGATTTACCATTAACCAAATCTTTGATAGCTTTACCCATTGGAACTTGATCCAAAGATTTCTTCAATTTTTGGGCAACCAAGACGTGAAGTAATAATGAGGCTTTAACTGGTTCATCTGGAATTTCAGCAACAGGGCCTGATGGAGCAGCAGCTGGTGCTGGTGCAGATGCGGCAGCTGGGGCACCTGAAGCAGCTGGAGTAGCGGCTGGAGTAGATTCAGTAGCAGCTGGAGCAGAAGCCGCTTCCTTAGCAGCTAAATCAGCAGGATCAGGGGTGTAGTAAATCTCTTTAGCATCTTTAGCATAACATAAAACTTGTCTTTGTAAAGATAAAGCAGCATCATAAGATTCGTATTTACCCTTGATGGTTCTTGAAGCCATACCAGCCAAAGTTGGTGAAGGACCAATCTCAACCACTCTTTCAGTGTTGTAGTCTTTTAAAAAGACATCTTGAGTTTCAATCCATCTAACTGGACTGGCAAATTGATAAGCCAATAATTCTGTCAATAAGACGTGAGCAAGTTCTTGTTCAACTTCTGGACGCATTGTGTGTATCCTTTAGTCTGTGTTCAAAAAGAAGTTGAATCAATTGCAGAAGTCCAAAACGTTGAATATTTATCTTTGTTTTAACAAACAAATTTTTGAAGTTGTTGAATTCCCATCTGTCAATAATTTGGCACTTTGACGTGTCTCTAATTTTTTTTGTTGGGATTGTTGAGAATTGGGCTTCTCAGAGTGGCCCTGTCAATTACATTACATAATTTCTGATGTAATATTGGTGGTGTCTGGATGCATTGATTTTTTACGCGTTTACATGTTTTTGTTCAAAAGGTACTTGTAGAACGCGTGTATAAGTTTGTTATAGAGTTGAATATCATCAAACAATAAGTGATGCACATCAAGAAGATTGTGATCCAAGGGTTCAAGACCTTCAAGAATACGACGGTCATTGAGAACCTCTCCCCTAGTCACAATGTGGTTGTTGGGCGTAATGGTTCTGGTAAATCAAACTTCTTTGCCGCCATCAGATTTGTTTTAAGTGACCAATATACTAGAATGTCTAAAGAAGAGAGACAAGGGTTGATTCATGAAGGGTCCGGTACTGTTTTATCAGCCTATGTTGAGATTGTGTTTGATAATTCTGAAGGAAGGTTTCCTACTGGTAAGGATGAAGTTGTCATTAGAAGAACAATTGGTTTGAAAAAAGATGATTATTCTTTAGATTACAAGTCATCAACAAGGCAAGATATCATGCAATTGCTTGAAAGTGCTGGTTTTTCCAAATCCAATCCTTACTATATCGTCCCTCAAGGTCGTATTACCTCATTGACAAATGCCAAAGATTCTGAACGTTTGAATTTATTAAAGGAAGTTGCTGGTGCTAAAGTCTTTGAAAACAAATTGAAAGAAAGTACAAAAGAAATGTCAAAGACTAAAAATCAAAGAGATAAAATCGATGAAATGTTAGAGTTCATTGAGGAAAGATTATCGGATTTAGATTCTGAAAAGGAAGAATTGAAGAATTTCCAAGACTTAGAGAAAGATAAGAAAATTTGTGAATTTGTTTTGTATGACAGAGAATTGAATGAAGTAACCAATTCAATTGAACAGATTGACAGTGAATATCAAAATGGAGTTGATGAATCACAAAACTTTATGAATGAGCTTGAAAAAAGAGAAAGTTTGATCATTGAGATAGAAAATGCAATTGATCATTCCAAACAATCTTTGAAATTACTAAACATAGATAAAACCCAACAAACTTCAACGTTTGATGAAATTTCAAAGAAAATTTATGATGTCAATGCCAACCTAAATGAAATTAAAAGTAATTTGGAAAGTTCTCAAAAGTCTCAAGACTCTAGTAAAAAACAAGTACAGAAACTTGAACAGAAAATCAAAGATAGGGAAGCTAAAGTTTCTGAGAAAAAACCTAGAGTGGATGCTTTGAGATTATCAGAAGAGGAATTGAAAGAAGAAGTTTCTTTCTTAAAGACAAAACAGAACATGTTATATTCAAAGCAAAACCGTTACTCAAAGTTTTCTTCAGTTGAGGATAGGAATACATGGCTCTCTAATCAGATACAGAAAGTTCTAGACGATAAAGCAAATGCTGAAAAGGCACTAGCTGATAATCAAAAAAACTTACAAAAGTCGACTCAAGAATTACAAGAAATAGAGACAAATGTTTTGGATTTACAAGACACTATCAATGGCCCATCAGCACAAGCTGAAATACATGAACTTGAAGATAAATTGAATCAATTAAAACGTCAGGCAATTTCTGAAAATGATGTTAGAAAGAATCTATGGAGAGATGAGGCCCGTATCAAAACCATATTAGACTCCTTGGATGAAGAAGTTCGCAAAGCTGAAAGACAAGTTAACCAAACTATGGATAGACAACAAAGTGCAGGTTTGGAAGCTGTGAAACGTATTACTTCGAGATTGGGTTTAGGTGGTGTTTTTGGCCCTCTTGGTGAATTGATCAATGTAAACGAAAAGTATAGAACTGCTGTTGAATCTGTTGCAGGTAACTCATTGTTCCATATTGTTGTTGATAATGATGAAACTGCTAGTGCAGTCATGGATGAATTGGTTCGTGAAAGAGCAGGCCGTGTTACGTTTATGCCTTTGAATAGAATCCATCCAAAAGATGTCGTGTATCCGAATTCAACTGATTGTGTTCCTTTAATCAAAAAAATTGGTTTTGAACTTGAAATTGAGAAAGCTGTTAAGCAAGTTTTTGGAAAGACGATTGTCTCTATTGATTTAGAAAGAGGTAATCAGTTGTCCAGAGAGTATAAGTTGAGTGCAATCACATTGGATGGGGATAAAGCCGATAAGAAGGGACTTTTAACAGGTGGTTATCATGATCACAAGAGATCAAGATTAGAATCAATGAAAACTAAACAAGATAGATCACGGGAATTTAGAGAACAAGAAACACAATTGTTCAAAATCAAGACAGAGATAACCAAAAAAGATCAACAGATCATTGGAATTAATGATGATATTAAAAGAGTTACAACTGATTATGAAACACTTTTATCAAGCAAAACCCCGTTGAAATCAAAATTATCAAATCTCTTGAATAAAAAGTTCAAAATTCGAGATGATATAAAACTCTCACAAGATCAAATCTCTAAAAGTCAGCTCTTCATCAAAAATGTTCAAACTAAATTGAGTGATTTGCAAAATGAACTAACTTCTGAATTTCAAGAAGGTTTGACGGCTGAGGAAAAGGTTGAATTGTCACAATTGTCACAAGATGTTACAAGGGTTGAGAAAAGACTAAATGAAGTTTCAGATGATTTGTTGACTCAAGAATCTGATTTATCAAACATAGAAGTTGAACTAAGTGAAGACTTGAAACCACGCTTGAAAGAATTGGTAAAGCAAAATCAACAATCCAATCCGGTGAATTTAGACACTGAAATTCAAAATTTAACTGAAGAGCTCGAAAATTTAGAAGAACAGCGTGTTAAAGCAGAATCACAATTATCTGAAACCCAAGACAACATCTCATCAACTGAGGCTGAACTCAAAAAGAATGAGGCTTCTTTAACAAAAGCTAATGATCAACAAAGAAAACTGCTAAGAAATCTTGAAAACTTTCAAAAAAATTCAGAGAAGTATTTATCCAAGAGATCCTTGTTGTCAAGCAGAAGAGAAGAAATACAGCGTAAGATTAGAGAACTAGGAGCATTGCCTGAAGAGGCCTTTTCTGAATTTGAAGACATCACGTCCAGTCAATTGTTACACAAGTTGAATAAAGTTACGAAACGTCTTGAAAAATTCACTCATGTTAATAAGAAAGCTCTTGAACAATATTTAAACTTCACAAAACAAAGAGATGGCTTAGTGGATCGTCGTAAAGAATTGACTAAATCGGAAGAGTCCATTCTTGAATTGATCAATGTTTTGGAGACAAGAAAAGATGAGGCCATTCAAAGAACTTTTGAACAAGTTTCTACTGCTTTCACAGAGGTGTTTGAGAAGTTGGTTCCAAGAGGTATCGGTAAATTGATTATGCAACATAGAGATAAAAGTTCTCAGCCAAGAAATACCGTTGACGAAGATGGCGATGTTGAAGTTGGTGATGATGAAATTGATTTAGATCAAAACCCAGATTCAGTGATTGATAATTATAGTGGTATTTCAATTCAAGTCTCTTTTAACTCCAAAGATAATGAGCAACAGCGTATTGAACAATTATCTGGTGGTCAAAAGTCATTATGTGCTATTGCATTGATTTTAGCAATTCAAAAATCAGATCCTGCACCGTTTTATTTATTCGATGAAATTGATGCCAATTTGGATACACAATATAGAACTGCTGTTGCTAATTTGATCCATGAGTTGAGTCAAAATGCTCAATTTATTTGTACAACTTTCAGACCAGAAATGTTACAGGTGGCAAACAAATTTTTTGGTGTTATGTTCAACAATAAGATTAGTACTGTCAGTGAAATCAATAGAAGTGATGCGTTGGGTTTCATTGAAGGACAACAACAGCGTTCATGAGTAATTAATGAGGTTTATTTTTTGGTGTTTATGTTTGATTTCAGTTCTGTGATATAAGCTACGTGTTTCTGTTTTTTTCTTTAATTTTAATGAGCTAATATTAATACATAAAACTTCTGTTGATATAATTCAATTACAATACATAACGTCAATGGTGTAGTCTTAATTCTTTTTGGCGTCCTTCATCAAACCTTTAAATGCACTACTAGTTCTTGTTGATCTCTTTCGACTACCAACCATTCCTTTAGCCGTTCTAGCACTCAAATATTTTTGACTACTTTTAAGTCCCTCGTCACTGCTGCTGTCATCATCTTCTTCGTTATCATCATCCTCATCTTCACCACTACTTTCATCAGTATCAGAATCTTCGTCACTTGAGTCATCACTTTCTTCTTTTGATGATTCTTCTTCCTTTTGGGGAGCTTGCTTGGTTGATCTTAAACTTTTTGGGGTCAAGGAGTCCAAAACATCAGGAACACCACGGGAAACTAACTCTGACAATGAACTCAAAGAGTAACGAGAATTTGGTTTCTTAGCAGGCTGGGCTTCTTTTTTAGCAGCAGTTGGACCTTTGGATGGTATAGATTGTGCACCTTTGCTTGTCGGAGTCACTGGTGCTGATGCAACTTCTGGAACTTCCACGAGCTTATTAGCAGCAATTGATTTTCTCAAATTTTCGTTTTTGGTAACCGGTTGACTAAAGCCTTTTGGAGTATTCACAATTCTCGGTGGCTTTTTTGTTTTGTCATCATCATCCTCGCCTTCTTTATCTGAGTCTGAGTCTGAATCTGAGTCTGAATCTGAGCCACTACCTGAATTTGAGTCCGACTCTGAACTCTTAACAAACTGTTCAGATTTTGCTTGACCTCTCCTTGGATCACGACCACCTGGTAAAACAAGTGCAGCTAAATGATTGCGAGGAGATATCAGTCTTCTGGCAGCAGCAGTTTCTTCATCAAATTTTTTGGCACTTTTCAAAGCTTCTTGTCTCTTCAATTCCAAGTCACGTTTTGCTTTTTCATACAGTTTGCGAGTTTCTTCAGCTCCTGGGCTCAAAGCAGCAAGGATGGCTGTAGTGCTGGTGTTCGCTTTAGTGGCACTTTGATCAACAGAATCTTGAGAAAAGTATGACATGGATTGGTCTGGTTGGGTTGATGGCAGTAATACTGATGAAGTAAGCTGGGAACTTCCCCTTTTAGAGATATTTTTGGTCTCATTTTGTTCTCTTCTCTTAGCGCGTCTCTTTGCATTGTAAAGTAATCTTTTTCTTTCCTTTAAAAGTTCATTAAAATCAAAGTCTGATAGATTTGGGTCTTTTAATTGTTCAAGAACTTCAGCAAGACCTGGAACCTCTTCAGTTGGAAATTCTTGAAATAATTCATCAACGTTGACTTTTGGAGGTGGACCTTTTGGAGCTCTCTGTTTCTTTGGAGAAGCTGCAGTTTTCTTTACTGGTATTGGTTCGGATGTTGGTTTTGCAATAGTGGGTGTAGCAGCAGCTTTGAAAGCAGGGTCAACTTGAGTAGAAGTGAATACTATCTTTCCTGGATCCTGAGATAACGGAACATCGAAGTCATCTTTTGTCGTTGATTGCGCTTCTGTTCCTGAAACTTCTACCACAGGTGATGTATCAATTGCTGGAGTAACTGGTAAAGCTTTTGGTGGTGGAACAACTTTCGATGGAGTAACTTCTGTCACCTTTGCAGGCTGTGAAACTTTTGGTGCTGCAGCTTTTGATGGGACTGGCAGAACATGCTTGGTGGTTGATTTATCAACATCATTCATCTCAACATCACCATCAGAATCTTTTGTGGTTTCAACCTTCTCTGGTTCATTAGTCTGCTCCGATTCACTCTCTTCATCAGTGTCATAATCCACGCTTTCCGATTCACTAGACTGTACAGCTTCTTTCGTAGCTTCTTTCGCCGTTTCTTTCTCGGTAGCTTCTTTAGGTTGTTGGTTTGACTCTTTTGATGGTTCACTTTGACTTTCACTTTCACCTTCACTTCCACTTTCACTTTCACTTTCACGTTCACTTTTACTTTCACCTTCTTCAACCGAAACTGAAGCTGGTGGTGCCTGTGGTAGAGAGTTTGTTGGTGATTTGTTGTTCACTCCCAGATTAACATCTTCTTTTTGATTATCTTCGCTGTCATCATCCTCTTCCTCTTCTTCATAATCATCTTCCTCTTCTTCGTCATCTTCTTTAGCACCATCTTCTTCATTATCTTCTTCCTCGTCATCATCCTCTTCTTCGTCCTCTTCTTCTTCGGTTGTTTCGCTTAATTCACTAACTTCACTAGCTTTTTCTGACGTAACAGCAGATGACCTCCCAGATGATCTGGTGGATCTAGTGATTGGAATAGCCATTTTTTCAGCAGCCTTCAAAGCAGCAGCTCTAACTTGTCTTGGTGGAATTGGTCTCTTGCTATCATGCTTAGCAAACTTCTTTTTAACAGATGCAGGAACTCTTTCACTTTTAAAGATTTTGATGATTTCATCTTTGGTAAACTCAGGCTCATTGACACTTTCTTCGTCTGAATCTTCGTCTGAATCAGAAAATCCATCTTTACTAGTGATGTTGGCAGAATTTGAAATGATGTTTGAAGCTGAAGTATTTTGAGACTTGACTGATTCATCCGATGACTTTCTCGTGATTTGGGAAGATGGAGGGAGGGATTCATCTGTAATTTTCTTCAATGGATGAGAACTTGAGAATGGGACCCCAATAGGTTTTTGTGGAATCTTTGAGACCTCTTCACTTGTTTTAGCTGAAGGTTGGTTATTAGCAACTGGTTTCACTGGCTGTGGTTTTGGATCTTGCTTCTCAACTGATTTCTTTATTGGCTGCTGTGCTGGTGTTGGATTTTCACCCGGAAACTGTAGTTCATTTGAAGGCAACGCAGCTGGTTCAGATGGTTTTTGTTCTGCTGATTTATCATCAGATGGTTTTCTTGATGGTGTAAGAGAAATGTTTCCCAAAGACTTTTCTTCTAAGGATCTCTTCACGGGAATAATACGTTGTGTGATCTCTTCGTTGATTTGTTTCTCCTCAAGAACAGCTTCTTCGGCATCTCTCAATTGTGGTTCAGGCGCAACAAGCATACCTGATGTGATTCTTTTAGATGATGGAGGTAATGGTGAAGCAGTAACTGTTGATTTAGATTTCTTAGGATCCAGATATCTAGTATCATCATCTTCTGGAGGTGGTAGTGACAACTCAGTTGAATCTTCTGCATTTATAGACACATTTCTAATTGATAAGTTAGCATCTTTTTGAGGTGATGGCTTATTATCCTCGTCATTCGGATATATTTGGTTAGATAAAGGGGTTGACCTGCGAGACTCAGCAGATTCCCTATCACCTTTCCAAATCGATTCACGATTATCTTTGAATCTCTTTTTTGGTAACACTATGCTTGAAAATATTTGAGAAGCTGGACGTTTTCCATTATTATTAATATTATTATTTTGAATAACTTCACCACCAGATGTCATCCCATCTACTTCAATTTCATTGGTAAGTAAGACTCTTACCACATTATCATAGTCAAACACATCACCGACTTTATAATCAGGATCCAAATCACATTCCTGAGAGTCTTGTAACTTTAATATCTCCAATGGATTTTCATCCGGATATAATTTTTCGAATCTAGCACTGATTTCATGAGCCACTTCTAATAAATTCTTTTCCTTTTTAGTGATGTGCAGAAATTTTCTCAACGCTGGTGGTTGTTCAAATGTCAAAAAGCTTGAATTTGGTAGTAACTGTGAATTGTTGTTATTAAGGTTGATGTTATTTGGGGTACTTGTTCCCATTTCTCTATTAAAGAAGTTTGGTGATGAATTGATGACAGAGTTTTGGATCCCATTTGCAGGAGTCAGTCTCTTGCGCTCCTGCTTGAGTGCGCTTGGAGGCACTAGCACCACTTGAAGCTTTAACATTGGCACCAGCAAAAGCAACAATATCAACTAAACAAAGTTGGTGATGACTTGTGATGTTTTCAATAATTGATTTAATTTTTTTTAATCTAACCTCACATTTTTTTAAAAGCTATTTTTTTTTCTACACCAAACAAAAATATATTTCAGCCAAATTCGGTATTTCCCTTTTAGGATACACATAATAACTAGAAAACGAAAAGAAAAATTAATTAAACTAAACAATTGAAAGCAGCTTTTCTAAAGCTTTGTGCTGGTGTTACGGACAACTTCATCGATGGCTTTGGCAACATATTCAACGTTACTGCTGTTCAAACCAGCCACAGAAGCTCTACCAGAGCTAACCAAGTAAACGGCATGTTTGGATTCTAATCTGGCAACTTGTTCTTTGTTCAACCCTGTGAATGAAAACATACCTTGTTGTTTGACAATATGTTCCCAATTACCTGGAGTCCCCAATTTAACCAACAAGTCTCTTAGGGCAACTCTTTGAGAGTAAATACGTTGACTCATGGTGACTAAATCTTGTTTCCATTGATTTCTCAAAGATGGAGTAGTCAAGATCTTGGAAACAATCTTAGCACCATAAGCAGGTGGATTGGATAACTCTGATCTGATGAAGACCTGTAATTGAGACAAGATGGCAGGTTTGTTATCTGGAGTTGGTAAAACCAAATGGAAAGCACCAATTCTTTCACCATACATACCAACATTTTTAGCAAATGATTGACAGATTAAAATTGGGGTTTCTAAGACTTCAACACCCTTTTGGATAGCCCAAGCATCATTTTCCAAATCACCACTTGCAAAACCTTGGTAAGCAGAGTCAAATAGTGGTAAATGATTTTTAGCTTTTATAGCATCCAATATTTTGACCCATTCTTCTCTAGTTGGGTCTAAACCTGTTGGATTATGAGCGCATGCATGTAACAAGAATATTGAACCTTCTGGAGCATTGTTAATATCTTTCAAGTAACCTTCAATGTCAAGACTCTTGGTTTCATCGTTCCAGTACGAGTATGAGGCGGTCTTTAAACCTAATGATTCAAAAACTTGGAAATGGTTCGCCCAAGTTGGTCTTGATAAGTAAACTGTTTGGCTTTTTTTGTAGAATTTTGAAATGAATTTAGCAGCAATATGTAGAGAACCTGTTCCTGATAGTGTTTGAATTGAGACTAGTCTATCTTCCTTGATAGCTGGGGATTCATCACCAAGAATAACTTTAGCAGCAGCGCTGACAAAACTAGCAAAACCTTGAATTGGTAAATATTCATGGTTGAATGCTGGGTCTTCGTGGATCAATTTGTCAGCTTCTTTAACAGAGGGCAAAATCCAAGGTTTACCATTCTCATCACGGTAAGCTCCAATACCTAAATCAACCTTTTGTGGACGAGAGTCAGCGACAAAACGAGCCTTCAAACCAAAAAGGGCATCAGGTGGAAGTTGTTCAATGGATGCAAAGATATGGGACATTTTCTAAAGAATAACAAGCTAATTCAAAGCAAAGATACTAATATTCTCAGCTGAATTGTAATTGTATTAAGTACCTTCGGTGGATTTGGGTTTTATTTTCCAATTTCTCCATGACTCAGTTTATAGCTCAAACAGGCGAAAAAGAGGAGTGAGTTCCGAGGCTAAAATGCCGGTCACGTGAAGCTGCCCTCGCTATTCAGATTTGTGTGATAAACAATCAAATTCAGATTGTATAAACGGCTTTTTGTGTTTGATCTGACACATTTCATCATATAACTCTGGCTAGCTGGCTCTGGTCAATTCCTCATGTCGTCTACCACTCTCAACAACATCACAACGACAGAGTTCAACACAAGCTACATTAATAAGTCTTCACAATCATGGTTCGTTCCCCGTATATTTAATTCCTTTACCAAAGCGGTTGAACAACAAGCAAAAGATGCTATACCTGATAGAAATGCTACGCTGAGTTTTGGCTACTTGGTTAGCCCCTATGCTGGTGCATGTATGACTATGGCTATTATCTTAAACAGAACAGTGGTGTTTGCATCTTCAAGAAGAAATATCAACAGATTATCCACAGTTCCGAAAATTGCATTAAGAATTATTTCAATAGCTGTTCTAATCAAAGCTTTATGGGATATTTTTATGCAGTTCACTGTTATCACACCAGATGTTAGAAAATTTGTTGGTGCTTTTGTCAGTGGTGAAGTACCAGAGGTTAACATTTTTCTATGGAGAATCTTTATTTCATTATGCATTTCACAATTTATTGAAACATTTGTGTCAATTACTTCAAATCAGTCAGCTCTTAATGATACCGGGTTAACTTTGTTTGAGCATTCACTAGCTTTCCAAGAATGTCAATTCCTATCAATCCCATCATCACAACTACTCTTCATATGTCTTTTTTCGATTATCAACCAGCTTGTGATACATACCCTTGGGATAGCTAATTTGAAAAAATATCAACTCATACCATCAACAGTCTTGGGTGTTTCTTTTTTGATCTTTTATTGTTATAATATATATACTGGTGGGCTGGTGTTTTTCCCAACAGTGGTTATTGTATCAATTATTCCACAGTTTCTGGTGTTTTCAATAATATTTCTTTGTCTTCTGATTTATTTTCTAGCTGTGCTCGTGAATCAAGATTCATCAGGCTTAACATACACAACCATGGTGAGAAACTTGAAATCCTCTATCAATCTGCAACTAAATGATGATTTTCATTCAGCATTAATGAGATTTGGTTATATTATGTTCAATGCTGTGGAAAAGGAAGAGTATGTTAATGAGTTATCAAATTTGACCCTGCCAAGTACAACATATCTTGAATCAAATGGACATTTGGTTAGTGGGTATTTAAACAATGTTCAAAGTAACCCAGAACTTTCATCTCAGCAATCTCAGAAAGTGGTGGATGATGATGAATTCAAAAATTCAAATTTTGCTAGAAGAATGGTCAATTGTGCTAAATTGATGGGTGGTATCGTTAGGTTGGTATTCAAAAAGAAAAAGAAACCAACTAATGATTTACCTGCATCCATATCTGATCAACCTAAGGCATTTAGTAATTATGAAATAAATTCAGATATAACCCCATCAGATTATAAGCTATTTTTATCAAATGATTCCAAAAGTTTATTGCCAGAAAATGATTCTTCTGAAGATTTTGTTTACGAATCTGAATCTGATATTGATCCATTAGATTTCGAGTCAGACATTGAGGATATTGATGAAATTGAATCTCCAGGTTATCTTTCATCAGCTGCAATGGCCAGATTATACGATTCGGGAAACTTAGCTCAATCTATTGCAACCGAGAGCCCAACCAAACAAAGATCTCATTCCAAAGCCATTGATGAGTTAATTGGCTCAAACGATTTATTAGAACTCATTACACCGAAAAATATAGAACAGGTTTCATTCCTCAATAGTTTAAGAACACACATGATTGAAGATAAGAGATTGACCAGATCATCATATTCAGAAATTAATCAAGATGAATTATTAAGAGAAGTCATTTTACAAAACAGAACCGATCATCATAATCATAGTCATCATGAAGAACCTCAAGAACTTGCATGTGTTGTTTGTCAAACGAACAATAGAGAAATCATTGTTTGGCCTTGTAAGTGTTTTGCATTATGTGAAAATTGTCGTATTTCGTTAGGTGTGAGAGGTTTTAGTATTTGCGTTTGCTGCAGAAGAAAAGTTGATGGTTATAGCAAGATATATATACCTTGAATTGATAGCTTTGTATAATAACTACACTTGTACTAGTGAACAACTAAACGTCTTATCAAAACATTATTTGAATACATAACTGTCGAAATGAAATAAAGCCAATACTATCATCATTTTTGAAGTTTCGCCAATGTATCAAGTAAACTTTGAACATTACTTCCAGAATTTTGAGGTTGAGATTGTTGAGGAGGAGGCTGTTGATAATTTGTTGGTTGATAAGAATCGTTACCACCTAATGGGTTGTAACCTTGGTTGCCATACTGTTGTTGAGGTTGAGCTTGAGATTGAACTTTACCCAATAAGGATGCTAAATCAACTTGAGGAGATCCATAAGAGCCTGCTGCTGGCTGTGGCTGGTATGGTTGTTGATAAGGTTGTTGAAATTGTTGCTGAGGAATTGCAGCAGGTTGTTGACCTTGTGCCATTGCCAATAGATTTTGTAAAGCACTTGGTGGTAAGTTTTGTAATGATTGCAATAATTGTTGTTGTTGAGGAAGTGCTTGTTGTTGAGCAGGTGGTTGATAAAAGTTATTAGATTGTTGACCATATGAAGGTTCAAATTGTTGTGAGAAATTATTTCTTGAACCATATGAATTAGAGTTATAACCACCTCTTGGAGCTGCAGCTGATGGGCCACCACCGGTGAATCTGCTTTGTTTAGCTCTTAATAATAACTGGGTGGCATCTTCAGCGCTAACACTTAAATATTCATCATATCTTATACTTCCATCAGGAGTTTTCTCATAAATTTGAACATCACTGTTTCTATTCTTATTGATCAAAACAACACTCAAGATACCATTATATGCAACATCATTGATTTTTTTACTTAAATCTTGGCCAGGTTTTAAAAATTCATATTCAGTTGCAATACCTGCAGATTGAAATTGACGAGCAACATCTCTAGCATATTGAGGATCAGCAGTTCTTTTAACAAAAATTTGACATTCAAGTGCACCACCTCTTCTTCTTCTGGTACTTCTATCATCAGAACCCTCAAAATGATCTTCTCTACCTCTTTTTCTATCTTGATTGTGGAAGTTATTGTTATATAAACGATCATTAGTAGTTTGTTGATGACCTTGACCTGGTCTTGAATTTTTTGCAATTTCCAAAACTAAATCTTTACCATTGAATGGAATGCCACGTTCAGCATTGATTGCCCTTTCCACAGCTTCAGCATCACTATATTGAATAAAACAATAAGAGCCTTTAATAGAAATTTGTAAAATATGACCATATCCGTTGAAAAGTCTAAACAAGTCTTGTTTTGAAGTAACATTTGCTGGTAGATTACCAACGAAAAGTCTTGAATTTGGAGCAGGAGTAGGTCTTGTACTAGAGTATTTAGCTTCTCCATCAATGAAAGCATTATATTTTGAAATTTCTTCGATAGTCATAGGAAGACTTAAATCAGGTCTATGATCTTTAGGATAAGTTTGAGAGTTGAAATCTGTGTAATTAGGAGCAGGAGCTGAATATGATGATGTTGATTGTGTTTGTTGAGTTTGGGTATTATTATTAGTTCCTAATAAAGTCAAGATTCTCTGTTGTTGTTCAGTTGGTGATAGTTTTAAAAATTCAGGGTCAGAGAGTACATTAGAGCTCATGATTTTAGCAACAGATTGTTGGATATCAGGATTGGTGTTTGAGTTAGATGGCAAAGAGGAGGCCAGTGAAGTTGCTTGAGTAGTAGGAGTAGCAGATTGTTGATTAGTTTCTGTAGCAGAAATTCCAGAGCTAACAGGTTGAGCTTTAGACTCTTCTTCATTTGTTGAGACTTCAGCAGTAGGATCATAGTCGTCATCATCCTCTTCTTCTTCTTTTTCTTCTTTTTCTTCTTCCTTTGTTTCTTCCTTTGTTTCTTCCTTTGTTTCTTCTTTATCTTGGTTGACCTCAAGTTCCTTTTTCTCTTCAATGTTTTCTTTAGATGATTCTTTTACAGATTCAGGTTCTGAAGCTTCATTACTTGGTTCTTGAGAATTAGATTGAGATTGGATTTTCTTTTCCTCAGCATCCTCATCAACAGATGAATAAGGATCATCGCTGTCAGCATTATCATTTCCAACAGTTGAAGGGTCATATTCTTCATTGTCCTCTTCTTCCTTCCCAACTACTTCTTCTTCAGGTTCTTTCTCTGTATGAGTATCATCCGGAATGTCGAAAGTTGATTGCTCATTCTCGTGGAACTCGTAAACGTTATCGTCTGACATCTTACCTCTACCGCTATGATAATCTGACGTTGTTGTTGTTGTTGATAAAAGTGTCGTTAATTTGCTGGTTTTTATCCAGAAGTTTTTTTTGGGTTTTCAATTATGGAAATGTCGCGCATTTTACCCGCCTCTTCAAGAAAATGTCACGTGCACAAATAAATTAGTATTCGCGAATTCATCGCTTTTTATTTCCGCCATCTTGATTGGCTGACTCTACGGCCTCTGTGAAAACGTTCCAAATGTATGTATAGTGCAAATTGTACAACTATTTACAAAACCCCTTTAAAAACACCGTTAAAATCAATTGAATATTAGTTTTCCCTGGCTAACCACCGATATGCTGTATTGTATGTTATATTTTTTGTTAGGTCATAAGCGTCATTAATTCTGTATTATTTTCTTTGAATCTTGATGTTCAACTTGATTGTATGATTTTTCATCTTCATTATTTATAGAATGAGCTGGACATGGCATAACTGAACTACCAGCAACAGTGACGAATGCAACAGCGAACGTAGTGTAGAACAGATTGTTTGTGAATTTGGATCTAACAGCAGCTCTCATGGTTGGTTGGTGGATGGGGATGTTTGCAATGAGGTTGATGATGGGCTCACGTTAAAAATTGTTTTTTCAACTTTTGTTAGTGGTTGGATTTTTTTTTTACTTTTTCGCGGATATATGTGCCCCAACCAGACAAATGTTATCTAAATCATCTACAATGTTAACAGAGAGTTTGAGTATTCATTAGCCTATTCATAATTTGTCATGTGTATGAGTTTGACGTCATTCTCTGTTGTACACAGAATTCCAACGTTTAATCAACCCATATAAAGAGGTGGCCTCATTTTCATCATTCAATTGTGATTGTTCAATACGATGTCTAACTTGATTAATTTTTTTCAAAGTATCATCATTCTCCAATTTAACCTTTTCCTCATCTTGGTTTTGCTCTTGTTCAATCTGCAATAGAAAATCATGTAGAACTTTGAAATGTAATTGTAAAGAAGGATTTTTGAAATCTTTTGGTTCATATCCATTCTTCAATTTCAATCTTCTTAAAAGCTGTCTAGTTACTAATTTCATCTCTTGTGAAGGTTCATTATGATAATCATAACCTTCTGGAAACTTCCTTATGTCATCTAGAAATGGCAATCTGATCAAGAAAAACCCTTGAGGGAAAGGTTTGGAAGTTGGTTGTAATGCAAATATACTAGGTTGAGCACCTTTCCTTAATTTACCAAATAATATTGCAACTTTATTTAGTTTCTTCAAGCTTTGGAAAAGGGCACTTAGAGTTCTTGTTGAACCTTCAAAAGTATCCTCATCAGGAACGATAAATGGGATTTTTGATGTATTATAATGAAATTTTAATCCAGTTAATTCATCTTTAAATCCTAAAATCCTCATAAATGATTCATATTTTTCATCATATTTATTAACAAGGTTCATTTGCTCATCACTCAATTGAATATAATCCTCACTTGTACCAAATTTATACAATTTGGTAGTTTTTTCAAATTCAACACCAGTTTTTTCATTAATAAATCTTCTTCTTGAATAAACATTTTTCCTAGAATCTTGATTTTCATAAATGAATTTTGTTTTGGAAACACGTTCATGTGAATAAATTGAATAACCTTTCAATCCAATTGTTAGGTCATCATTGAATATTAAAGGGCATTGAAATTGAATTCTTTTGATTTCCTTTCTTCTTTGTACACGATCTTTAATAGATGCTGCATCAATAGGCCTTGTATTTGGATCATCAAAAATTGAGTCCTCACCATCATCTTTATTAATCAAGACCAATTCCGAGTACAATTGATCATTAAAAGGTTTATGTTCAGATGACAAAAAAAATGGAACAATATTGATAAAAGCATCATCCAAGTCACTAAACAACCTTCTCAATACATTCTTCTCCTGGATGCTTTCTTCTATTATAGGTTTATCATTATCAGTAAATAAAAACACCTTCTTATTATTATATTGTTTTTGAAAATCCTTTTTAATTAGAAATTCATCTTGTAACGTTACCAAAACTTCATATAATGGATTTTCATCTCTTTCACCATCAAACACCTTAAACCTCTCTTCAAGTGGTACATAAGGTCTGGATTCATCTTTACTCTCCATATTTTCCTCCAAAATATCTTGAATATATTTCATATTTTCATAATTCAAATCAGTTAATTGAAACAAGCATTCAATACCAGGCTTACAACCTTTTGAAGTGGTATTGCTATTGAAAATATAACACCCATAACCGGTATTTGGTAATGTTATAATTGAATGTGACATTGACTCTTGTAATGCTTCAAAAATTTCTTGTAAAGCTGATTTACCAGTTTTGGGGTTTGGTACAAAGATCGTTGAAGTTAACTCAATTACAAAGATGATCCCTTCATGAACTTCATAATGGGATCTACCCTTAACTTCTTCATACTCTTCACCTTCCATATTCTTTTCTTGCTAGGCCTCAATAGGATACACTTTGCTAAAATGCTATGTGTATTTTGGTTGTTCAATTTTCGTGTCTATTATGGTGTGTCCCCTTGAACAAGTTTTTGGTCGCGGTTTCGCGAATTTACCCGCAAATTCACAGGAAAAATTGTGAAAAATCATAAAGTGAACAAAAATTGTACTACTAATTAAATCAGAACAATCATTTAAATTCAGTATACATTTACCAAATCAAATATGTCTTTTTTCAAAGTGACGCTTAAAAGATCCCTTATAGGGCTTCCTCAAAAAACCAAATTGACAGCTGAAGCATTAGGTGTTGGTTCTAAAAGAACAGGACGTACAGTTTACAAAACAATCAATCCAAGTAATGCAGGTTTAATTCTAAAATTAAAAGAATTAGTTGATGTGGAAATTGTTGATGAAGCTAAAACACAAGCTGAAATAAGTGCTTCTAGAAAATCTAATCCAGGGTTTGTTGTTGAAAGAAAAAATAATAGTACAACTGATCAAAGTGTATGAAGTGATGAAAAAAAACGAATAAAGAAAGAAGTTTGTACATAGGGTTTACTGTTCCAGGTGAAAGTTATATATTGTATATTAATGAATACTGCATGTGTTTGTCCAAAAGTGATGTGGCTTTATCTCTTGTATTCAAAACTAAACTCAGTATTTTGTAGCAGATTCTTGGTATCATAATTATGTGACTGTTGATTAGTATTTGGATTTGTATCAGGTATATGAGAATCATCAGCCATTATACCACTACTATCAACTAATTTAACATAATCATTTTTATCCATGGCTTTACCTTCAAAACTTAACTCCATTGTGGTATCTTGTTGTAATTCTTGTAATCTTTTGTTCTTCTTGACAGAACTACTTGCATCGACTAATTCATCTCTAATTCTTTTCAATGGTGTGGTACTTCCAGAATTTAATGATTCATTTTGTAAAAATTTGTTAACCAACTTGTTATTACCGTTGTTGTTATTATTATTATTTGATAGTACATTGTTTTTCTTGAAAATATCAATTTCGATCCCACCTAATTTGAATACTTTAGCATTTTGTCTTTTGAAAGTGACAATTCTAACTGCTGGATCATCAATATCATTAGATTTTCTCAAATTTGTATCGGATTTACCTAAATTGGTTTCCTTGTACGTTGAAGCTAATAAACAAGAATTAATCAATTTAGCAACAGGTCTTTCAGTGAAAGATGGTAGATCATTGAACCTATGTGGACCATCAACTTTAGGGCAAAATGAAGGTATAGGATAATTTAATGAGCCGTATATAGTTCCCTTGGTGTACTCTTTTATGTTTGATATGTTTGCTATAGTTTTTCTTGGTTCATGATGGCTGTGAAAATTACTTTGTTGTTTATTATTATAGTAATTGTTGTGGTTGTTGCTGTTATTGTTGTTGTTATGATTGTATTGATCTGGTCTCTTTCTTTGTGTTTGTGTCTTCTTTCTCTGTTGCATATTCATCATCCTGATCCTTGAGTTCTAGCTTAACCCCTACTGAATCATTTCAAGTTGAAAGAGTTTTTGAATCTGTTTTTGTTTGTTTACTTTTGAGATCCTAATGGTACGGCCAGAATGTCGTGGATTCGATTCTCCGAGAGAGCTTTTGTTATTGAATTTGAGGTCACTTTGGGATTTATTGAACAAAAGGGTATACATTGATAACTTTGGGTTGCAGTACAAATCTCGTTATAGCTAATTTGATACTGAACCTCATGCTTGTAATTGATTCGTAAGCTATAAATGGAATTTTTCGTATAGATTATTCAATATTCCACGTAATTAGTCCCCATTTCCAGGCATTTAACCATTCCAACATAACAGCCTAAAACTTTAAACTCTTAAAACGTTTTATTGTGAATCAACTTCCATCGTATCCTCGTTTAAAGTCGTTGAATCGGCACTGTATAGAAAAGCTGAGCATTATCAGTTCAATCCGTGTCCGCATTCACGCGTCTACAGACATGAAAAATTTAGTTAAACGAGTACATGTTCGTATTCCAAGACAACTAACAACGATGAGAGAAAATATATAAACAATCATCGAGGACACACTTGTTTCCATACATTCTGAAGAGAGTCAAGATCACTATCACTAAATATTCAAAGATGCTAGAGAATGAACAATTACAAGAGATGATTTCAAATGGCCATGCCAGACGTATGGGACATATTGAAAACTATTTTGGCATAGCTCAACGTCAAAAACTTTACAAAACATTTGCAGTTATCGCTAAATTCAACACAAAGGTGAATGACAAGGCTCTATTATTCCATGCTTTGAGACCTTTATTGTTGAAATACCCAACTTTAGCTTGTACTATAGTGGATACTGATTATTCAGATACAACAATCCCAAGACCAATTCATGATTTCATAAAAGTTATTGATGTTTTGAAACTAAAAGATTTCTTGTATGAGTTGCCTCAAGAGATCAAAGGCTTGAAACAAGATGATCCTGAATTATTTGCCAAATTGAATGAGATTGTGTTACCTTATGCTGATGGTAATACTTTGTGGAAATTGGCATTCTTGGATGATTATACCATGGTTTATATCACAAATCATTGTTTATCAGACGGTATAAGTGCTAAGAATTTGTTACAAGATCTTGAAAATGAATTTGAAAGATTATCATTGGATGATGATGGTGAAGATTATGAGTCCAAGATTTTATTAAATTACAACTCTGATAAATCAATAATGGAGAAATTACCACCATCAATAGATTCAATTGTTAGTTACAAAACACCATGGTGGTATATTCCAGAATACATTTATAACCAATTTGTCATCAATTACTTGAGCTTTGCATCAGGCGTTGTGGAACGTTCAGATACACATATCTATAAACAGGTTCATATCCCACCAAAAGATTTGGAAATAATTAAACAAAGACTAAAAGATAATGAAGCTGATCGCAAAATTACACTAACCCCTTTCATTCAAGCTGCTTGGTTAAATGCTCAATATCAAGCTGGTATTTTCAACAACTTTACTCAAGTTTCTGATGTTTCATTACCTTGTAATACTAGACAATATTTACCATCAGGATATGATTCAGATGCTTTCAAATATGGGGCAAATACTTCAGGAAGTCGTAAATTCTTCACTCCAGTTAAAAAGCTTACTTGGTCAATTGTGGATTATTTCAATTCTTATTATAAATATCTCTTCAAAACTAAAAGATTCCTATACAATATGGGAATAATGACACTTGAAATTGTGTTCAAGAATCAAAATATGGATAAAATCATTTCAGAATCTTATTTCGGGCAACCAAGAGGTAATACAGTTTTTTCAAATATTGGTTTAGTTCATGATTCAAATAACAAAAAATATAGAATAAGTGATGTTCACTTCTCACAAAGCCCAGGTTCTTTAGTTTTCACTTTTGCAATGAGTACAGTTTCATCTGTTGATGGTGGATTGAACATTGTTCTTGCAATGGCTGAAAAGACAATCTCAAAAGAGAAATTTGAATTCATCGTTGAAAAATTTACAGAAAATTTGTTAAGAGATGATATAGAGCAAAATTAGATAGTATAGCTACAACATAATAGAAAACCAACACATTTATAACTCCAATTTTGTAAAATTTGCACCTCCTGAAGGTGGTACTTGTAACCAATTCAATTCATCATATTCAGCAGCACCATCAATAACATGAAAGGCATAAGCATATCTTGAGCTATCAGAAAAATTCAAATTAGATCTATGCAACACTGAATTATGAATCAAAATCAAGGAACCTTTCCGACATTTGATCTTTACATAATCTTTCTCATCATTATCATATTCATCACGTTGCTCTTCATTAAAATAAATAAATCCAGTACCACCTCCTTCCTTTTTAACAAATCTTTTTTGAATAGGAACCAACTTATGACTCCCCGGTAAATAGCTCAAACATCCATTATTCTCATCACAATCTTCTAATGCGATCCAAAATCCTATAGCACTTTGAGGTTTTGTAAATAGAAAAGTTCCATCTTGGTGACTTGGAACTTCACCACCAATCTCTGGTTGTTTACATATTATCATGCTTTGTAAAACTCTTGGATCTTGAAACCCTAATTTATCAACAATCTCTTTGGTTGTTGGATTTATAGTATATGGATAGAATACAGGATCTAAATGAAGCCCATGACCAATCTTATTTATAGCCTTATCTTTTGGTTTGGTCAATTCGTTTCTTTCGTTGAAAGCACCAGGCTCCATGAAAAAACTAATCTTATCTGAACTGTTTAGGAAATAATCATCACCGACATGACCTTCATTATCATTATCTCCTGTGGTAAACTTGGTTAAGGGATGTGAACTGGCATCAAATTCATCAATTAGCTTATGGGTATAATTCAGCAATTTGGAAATGTCCTCCTCAGAGAGATAATCTGGTATACAAATACATCCTTCTTTATCAAACTGATCAGCTTGCTCTTTTGTAAACATCTCTTTAGTCATTATGACTTTTTGACCCTTTTTCTTATACTCTTCCAGTATTTTGTTTTGAACAATAAATTTAAAATTCACAATCAGTTTCTAATCGCCATCTCTCGTATTCCGAATTGGGAAGGGTTTTTGCCACTGGTGACAGCTTTCCGCGAATTCTGTGTTTTTTTTTTGATTTTGGTTTGATGAATTTATTAAGCTCAACTATTTCAAATTCATTTTGGACTCAATATTAACAACTACCTGCTGTTTTATATCTCTTCCAGACTTTCATAATAGGTCATCACAATGGATAATACGGTTCGTTTGCTGATACGATTTGTTGCTAGAGGTTTCTATGGTAAACCGTACGTTCTCATTTTGGATGCTGTTTTGTTGCATTCGGTACTTTCAGAAGATGATTTATCACATCTTTTAGGTATACAGAGAAAAGAACTGAGATCATTGTGCTCTAGATTAGTGGAGGATAGATTGTTAACAGTGCATGTCCAAAAGGAAGAAGGACCTCAATTGAGGCCGATCACTAGAACGTATTATTTCATTCATTACACTGAAGCTATTGATTCAATTAAATGGAAGGTTCATTCGGTGGTACAAAACATTAAAGAAGATTTGCATATGGAGAATAATCCTCAAGGTTACATTTGTCCTGTTTGTAAAACAAAGTATTCACAACTAGATGCAGTTGCTCTATTAAATTATGAGAAGAATGAATTTTTGTGTTCTTTATGTAATGAACCATTAATTGAAGATGATTCTGGAAAGATTGCTAAAGAAAATCAAGTCAAATATTCAAAATTAATGAATGATCTTGAACCTATTATTGATTATTTGAAAAAAATTGATGAACGTCCAATTCCTGAAAATAACTATGAAACTTCATTATCAAGAGTTATTCCTGCCCAAGCTTCTTCAAATGCTTCATACTCTGTTTCAAACTTCAAGAGCAGAAAGATGTTCAGCAGAGACTCTTACTTGAACAATGCAAGCTCTATGAATGCAGGCTCAAGATCTCAAGCTACATTACATGTTAATATCACAACTGCTAATGATGATAATTTGCAAAGAGAAAAACAAGCAATTGCACAAGAGGAAAAGAGAAAACAAAATGCTCTGCCATCTTGGCATGAAGAGAGTACTATCGGTAAAGGACTGGGTAAACTGGATAAAGAAGATCCTGAAGATTTGGATTCTTCTGAAAAGAAATCAACTGAGGATTTAACTAATGAACAAGCTCAACCGGAAACTGATAAGGATGGTGATGTAAATACTGAGGTTTCAACCAATGCAACAACCAAAGATACTGCACCATCTGTCTCTACTGTTGAGGATCAAGATAAAGAAGCTCAAGATGCTTTGGCTGCTTATTATGAACAATTGGCTCAAAAGGAAAATGATGAAGATAATGATGAAGATGAGGAAGAAGAGGAAGATGATGAAGATGAAGAGTTTGATGATGTTGATTTTGAAGATGTTGCAGGAGAACAAAACAGTAATGAACAAAGTACGAATAATGAACCAAAAGCTGAAGATTTAGTTGTGGAGGAAATGGAGTTTGGAGAAAGTGATGAAGAATAAGTCTACATTGTCATGATTTAATAGCATTAATTAAATAAATATAGTTATATATATAGGACAAATCGAACGTTTTTGTTTATTTCACCACTTGTATCATTTTTGAGATCAACAATGGTGTACAAGTTTATTTTTTTGGATATTCATAACCAGCTTGTTCCCATGTTGTTAAATTTGGATTCATATAAGCATTCTTATGTCTTTCAATATAATCACCAGTTGGAAAGTCACCTGGATCACAAGTCAATTGTGTTTTTAACTTTGGCTGATAAATACGAACATAATCAATTTCAAAAGTAACTGGAAAATTAATATGAAACCAATCAATTTGTGACCACGCTGTAGAAAGACCCAAATTCAAAACCATAGACATTGGTTCTTTTGGCATATCTCTCCATCCTATATTACCATCTGGATGCATTGCACTACCCTCTATTGTAACTGTAGGCTCATCTCCTAAAAAAAATCTAACATAAGCATCCTCTTTTCTTTGAACTTTACTCAAATATTCAACTGCATACTTTTGAAAATAAGTTTGATCATCCAAAATAATATTTGGATCATCTGGATCAACAACATATTGAAACCAAGTCTCGTTAATGGTTGTAATAGTGGAAACCATCTCTTGGAAAGGTGTACCTCTAAAAGAATTTTGATTTGATTTACTCAAATTATGAATTGCAATAAAATCATAGTCAGGTTGGTACCAAATATCAAAAGGGGCAACTTGAAGAGTTTGAGAAGCAACACCAAAGATAACTTTAGTTGAATGAGCACCTTCCAAAAGATCAATTTCTGGAGCTCCTCTACCAACTCCTCTGTTTGGATGATCTTCCCCTTTACAAGTACATTTATTCAACTTTTGTCCAGGTAATTGTGACAACCCATCATCGCTTGATTGATTTGCAGTAATACCAGCATCACATTCATCATAACTGTATGGCCATACACCATCAGTAGTAGCCATATATCCAGGTCTGGCCAAGTTACCAAGAGTCCATAAACCAGGCCACAAACCAGCAGTTAAGGAAGATCCAGGTAATTTTGCTGAGATTTCCACGATCCCTTCACTATGACACATTTTATTCCAACTTTGAAGCATACCACTTCTATAAAATAATCCATGATTTTGCAAAACATCCATCCTCAAGTTCAATGTACCATTAGAAGTAATCACTGCGTCAGGATCATACCATTCTAAATCTCTAGTAGCAGCATAATGTAAATCAACAGCTTCCCAAAATTGATCCATTCCTGGATAAAATGTTCTACCTTCAGCATTAAACTCATCAGAAAAGACCAATTCCCAATCTTCACCATCTCTATTCTTTCTAACATAAGCCTCTCTTGGAGTATCTTCATCAACCATATTGGTTCTAATACCAGATAATTGAGGATATATATAGTCACTAATGTGTTCAAAAACCAATGGTGGAGCTTCATGATGTGGAAATCTGTTTGAGCGAGCAATAAATGGAACAATAAATGACAAAACACTTATTATTATAATCAAAGAAATCAACAACATCAATCTTTGACAGTTCATTGTACCAAAAGCTTCTTTCGATCTATTTTTTGCCTTTCTATACCTTCTCTTCAACCTACTGATAAAATCTTCATCTTCATCTTCACTATCATCTTCTCCCAATGCTTCACCACGTTCAGCAGCCTCAAGCCTCTCATTCTTCTTTAGATACTTGCAATTATAATACGGATTCTTGGAATCAACAGCATTTTCGCCAGCACTGTTTGCTGATGAAGTTTCAGTAGGTGAAGATGTTCCACTTGAGCTGTTCAAAGTTCTTGTTCTCACTCTGGCGCGTTTTGGCGGCTTTCTCAAGTCTTCGTCAAAAATGAAATTTTCATCATCACTATAAGTATCTCCATACTTTGTAGGATCGTACATTTCAGAATTATCAAGATAGTTGTTTAAAATATCATCCTTCTTGAGTCTCAGTTCTTCTAAATTGTCAAGCTGATAACTTGAATTGTCTTTAGCTTTTTGTTTATTAAAAGGATTCAAATTCTTGAGCTGAAATGAGGAACCAACTTTCTTTTCTTGACGTTCTGGAGAGACGTCTCTCTCACTGATGACAGTTTCTGAAGTTTTTAAGCCAGTTTTGACATTTTCTTCACTTGTTGAATTTCTTGCTTGTTCTGGAGCTGGCATGTTATTTTTCTGCTTCTAGTATATCTGTCCATCAAGATGTTGATAGATATCAATTCTTCACTTGAAATGCTGTGGTGGTGAACTCTTGAAAACAGTCTGAATATATATTATGTTATTAAAAACAACTGCTTGAGATAGACGTGGTAGGTGGGTGAGAGCCAAATGTGGATTTATCTTTATTTTTATTTCTTCAAATGAAATGTACAGTACTAACGAATTGTCTATCTCATTAAAGTTACTCATAATATACAGAGTACACACACTACAAACCTGCAAATTGTGCAAAAAAATCTGTTTTGTTCGAGTTTTGAGCATTTTACATAATTGATTTCTCATGATTTACTATATCCAGAGCTCTTGGTAGATATAGTATTGATCTTGTCTGTTATTATTGTCAACTATTTTTCAGTAAAATTCTCTCTTCTCAAGCGATGAAAAACGCATTTATCCCTCTTGAATGGGAAAAAAATTCATACATTTTTTCCAAGGAGAACCGGCTGTGATAAGTAGAAGTGATACTGTATGCTCATACTCAACTACTACAGTTTGTGCACTCGAATGGTTCAAATTGACAACTTTCAACATTGGTGTACAAAGGGTTTCACGAAACCTAAATTTGGGTTCAATCTAAGAAAGCTCCTGTACATCTGGATGCATGTTATTTTGGCACATCCACAAATATATTCAAGCTTGTTTGAACTACAGATGAAATTTCATTGTTCTAGATGTTCTGATTCTGGATTATGAAAGACTTCGAAAACAGATACAATATGTTAGAAGCCGCAAAAGACTAGACGCAGACGATATGGAATCTCTTGTAGAGGAATAAGAGTTTCTTAAAATAACTTTCGAAGATTGATAAGATGAGCGTGGGCAAATTCACGTATTTGATTATGTATCATGCCAAATTCCATAGTATTCTTGTTAAACGAATGTGTCAAAAAATGCTTAAACTTTAGCCTGCATAAACTCCATTCAAGTCCCAAAGAGGTATATTCCGATATAACTCACGTGATCGACATCGGAATATTGTTTTTCACCATCAAATTTCGAAATAAGGGAGAAACAACAACTTTCAACAACTCTTGATGATCCAAATAAAACTTTCATAGGAACTAAGTTATCGATATGCCTACTCTTCCAACAGCCTTTGCAGAGACCACAAAGAGAAGCTTGAACTCGGGCGAATTGAGTCAAAGAGTCTTGAGTCTTTACAGAAAGTATTTAAGAAGTGCCCCAGTATTTATTGAATTGTACGAATTAGATCTACCAGTTGGTGTCGTTAGAACTAAAATCAGACAAGAATTTGAAAGAAACAGATTTCAAAAAGATATCAACATCAACAATGTGCTACTTGCAAAAGGTCAAATGGAATACCAAGAATTGATCAACTTTTGGAAACAAACTCCACACGTTATGCGTTACTTTGAATTTGAAGGTGATACAAGATTCAGTAAAGATGCTAAAATTGCGGACTCATTTGTTGGTAAATTCTTGAAAGGTTTTTGATTATACAAGTTTCCAGTCTTGGTTCAATGATTGCATGACACCCCTTATTTATTATTTATTGTCAATGACTTATTTATTCAACCTATTTATTCATCTATTTATTTATTCAAACTATTGAAAAATACAAACACAAGAATACTCTATAACTGTATGTGTATTGCATATATTTTTCTCCCCTTTTAAATATAAACCATATTAATATACATTTCAAAATAATCCTTCAATATCACCATCTTCACTGACTTCCACATTCATGTAACCAGCATGGGTTGGTAAACCTGGAATTGTTTGTATTTCGTCAGCTAATGCATACAAGTATCCAGCACCGATTGATGCTCTGATATCTCTGATTGGAAATTCAAATCCACTTGGAACACCCTTCAAATTAGCATCATGTGATAAAGAGTACTGAGTCTTTGCGATACAAATTGGCAGGTTACCAAAACCTTGTTCTTCATAAGTTTTGATCTTAGCTGCAGCTTGTTCAGAAACCTTGATGGATGAACCGTTGTATAGATTTGTAACAATTGAAGATAATTTACCTTCGACAGAATCATTAACATCATATAAGAAATTAAATTTTTCAGGATTTGAATGTTTAACAGATTCAACAACAGCTTTTGCTAATTTAACAGCACCAAGACCACCTTCTTCCCAATGATTACTTTCAACAGCATCCAACGCACCAGCTTCTTTAGCTAATTGTTTGACCAAATTGACTTCAGCTTCGGTATCATTCTTAAATTGATTGATGGCAACAACAACATTGACACCAAATTTCTTAACATTTGCAATTTGTTTTGCCAAATTTGCAGTACCGATTCTAACTAAATCCAAGTTTTCTTGCAAATATTCATCTGGTAATGATTGACCTGGTTTGACATTTGGAGCACCACCGTGTAATTTCAAAGCTCTAATAGTTGCAACTAAAACAACAGTGTTTGGAACTAAACCTGAAGCACGACATTTAATGTTCAAAAATCTTTCACCACCCATTGTGAAATCAAAACCAGCTTCAGTAACAACAAAACCTTTTTGATCAGATGGATCACTGGAGCTTGAACCAACAAGTTTCAAGGCCAATTTATCAGCAATGACAGATGAGGCACCGATAGAAATGTTTGCAAATGGACCAGCATGGATCAAAACAGGTGAACCTTCTAATGTTTGCATTAATGTTGGTTTAACAGCATCTTTTAATAAAGCACTAATTGCACCTGCTGCACCTAAATCATCAACAGTAACTGGTTCGTTATCATTGTTCAAAGCAATGACAATGTTACCAACTCTTTTTTGTAAGTCATGTAAGTCATTGGATAAAGCTAAAATAGCCATCAATTCAGAGGCAACTGTGATATCAAACCCAGTCTTTCTAGTGAAGCCTTTTTCAGTTGGAGCTTGACCAATAGTAACTTGACGTAAAAATCTATCGTTAACATCAACAACACGTTTGATAGTGATGGTATCTGGGTTAATGTCTAATCTAGCAAATTTTTTGATTTCTTCAGGGGTCAACTCGTCTGGGTTAGTTTTATTGATACCTAATTTGTTCAATCTCTTCAACATTGATTTAGTGAATTTTCTTGAACCACCTTTAACCGGGACTAATCTCTTATAAAAAGTCTCATCTTTCTTTTGTGTAGCTTCATGGAACATTCTGGTATCAATAGCAGCAGCTAGTAAATTGTTAGCAGCTCCAATGGCATGGATATCACCAGTCAAATGCATATTAAATTCATCCATTGGAATAACTTGAGCATAACCACCACCAGCTGCACCACCTTTGACACCAAAAGTAGGACCCATAGATGGTTGTCTAACATTAGCAATAGCTGGAATGTGTAAATGAGCAGACAAGGCTTGAACAAGACCCATGGTGGTGGTTGATTTACCTTCACCTAAAGGAGTTGGGGTGATACCTGCAACTAAAACATAATTGGCATCTTTACGATCTTTAATACGATCATATGCCTTCAAGTTGATTTTGGCTTTGTAATGGCCAAATAACTCTAATTCATTTTCTTTCAACTTCAATTCTTCAGCGACGTCTTTGATTAACTTTGGAGTTTGAGCTCTTGAAATGGCAATATCTGATGGGACAGGGGTTTCTAATTGTAAAGGAAGAGGAGAAAATTGTGGTAAGGATTGATCTCTAGCTAATTGTCTTTCAGCTGCTAGTAAAACATTTTGAACCAACATCGCAACAGTCATTGGACCAACACCACCTGGAACTGGAGTGATGAAAGATGTTTTACTTTTACAAGTTTCAAAATCAGCATCACCAACTAATTTGAGACCAGATTTTTTGGATGAATCTGGGATATAATTGATACCGACGTCAATCAAAACAGCACCTTCTTTTAACCACTCACCTTTAACAAAATTTGGTTGGCCAATAGCGGCAATGACAACATCAGCAGTTTTCAAAATTTCAGCAATATTTTTAGTTCTTGAATGACAAATTGTAACTGTTGCATTTTTCTTTTGTAACGAAGAAGCAACAGGGATACCGACAATATCAGATCTACCTAAGACAACTGCATTTTTACCAGATAATTCAATACCAGATTCTTCCAATAGTTTCATACAACCATTTGGGGTACATGGAATAAATTTTGGATCACCACCTTTTTTGGAAAGTTCACCAATATTATAACGACCAAACCCATCAACGTCTTTATCATCGGAAACAAAATTGGTAATCTTTGGTTCATTCAAATGCTTTGGTAATGGTAATTGAATCAATAAACCATGTATCGAGTCATCCTGATTGATTTGATCAATCTTATTCAAAAGGTCTAATTCTGAGATGTTTTCATCCAATTTTTCAATAATACAATCAACTCCGGACTCTTTGGAAGCCTTAAGCTTCATATTGACATAAGTAGTAGAGTCTGGTCTGGATCCAACTTGAATAATCTTCAAAGTTGGTCTAAATTTTGGGTATGAAATTCTGATTTGTTCAACCTTTCTGGCTGCTTCATTTCTGATTGATTTAGATAATTTTAAACCTGAAAGTGTAGTGTAGTATCTCCAACGCCTACTCAGGACGTTAGATCTTTTGGTTAGGGTACTCAACATGTCTTTGTGAGTGATTTGAATATGGAAGAATATTTGAAGGTAAAGTTGTATTCAGATTGAAGTGTGAAAAATTCAATAACGTTTTTGTCATAGTTTTTACGTAATACATGTGAAAAAAAATAAACTATGTAATTTGCGGGTCACCTCATCGCACCGCAAACGGCGGTACGGTCACTACCCTGACAGGTGTCTGCCCTTTTGAATGAAGAAGTTCAATTAAATGTATAAATTAAACATCGATAAGCATAATTTGCTTATATTAACTAGCAAGCGTTATTCTACACTGTATTTCCCACGCTGTATATAAGTTTTTGGAATTATTATTTATTAATTTCCACAATTAGCCAACTTATTAAATTTAAATTCAGCTTAAAAATCTATACAAAAATATTTGAAATTTTTTAAACACGTTTAAAAGGAGATTTAAGAGCATTTAAGCATAAAGCAAAACTAGCATATTGCTTTAAAGAGGAGAAAACACTATCTTCTTTAACAAATTTTCTTATTAATAAATGATTTAGTTTGACTTCCCAGGGGTGACCCGGCCGTAGTTAAATCCGTAAAGCGCGGCCCGCGATCTTCGGCGATAAAACTTTTAGTTTTTATCAGGTAGCCAGTTTATTTTGTCATAGGAGTTACTGTTGGTGCTCAACTTTGAGAAAGATTGGAAAGGATATTAGTCCAAAAAGTGACTATGTTGCTTGAGTATCTGCTTAGCGCGTAGATTTTATTTTATGCAGATGATTTTACTTGGTTTTGAAGACGAATTTTCCTTCAGTTCATGGTGTATGGATTACCGTGCGATGCCTTCAATCAGTCAATGAACCACGAGAATTAGAGCAGGATCTGATATCTACTAGTATTTTGTCCTCTGTGCTTGAATTAAAATGTGCATTTCACTCTAAATTAATTTTGTACTCTTTCCATTTACCAACATGTGGTGGACCTTTACAAACAGTCATGACACCTTTTGTCAAATCATAGACAACACTTGCAACAGTCACCAAAACTTCATCATTTGCAGGCTCGGATCTTGCATTTTTTGATTCTGATAATGCGCAAGGAGCACAAGCTCTATCTGAAAATGATTCTTTTACAGCATTAGTTGAAATTCCTTTACCTCTTGGGGTTTCTCTGAAAGCATCAACTATTCTGGTCAAAATTCTTCTGTGACGGTACAATGAGGAGCCACCTGGGTTACGGCAGTAAAGAACACCAGCTGCTGGTGAGTAACCTGAAGAAACAAAATGATTTGAATGGACTAGAACAGCACGACCATTAGAATGAGGTAAACATTCACGACCTTCTTCATCAACAAATGTTGGATAAATTGTAAAATAACTTTGAGGAATCAATTCAAAATCAATAGCTTCACGTTCTTTAGTTGCAACCATAACATTACCACCAACGTGTCTTGGAGCACCAACAATATATTTTAAACCATTAGCATAGTTATGACAACTTAAATATTTTCTTCTGGCAAAACTAATTGGAATTACAGCTGGATGTTCTAAGGTTGGGCCTGGTTTAGGGAAGTCAAAAGAATCAATATTTGAATTCAATGAGTTTGCACATAAACCCAAACCTTTGGAATTCATACCTGATCTACCTAATTGGCCAACTTCACCAAGTGTGATAATGGTTTTTGGCAAGTTTTCATAATCTTCAGTGTGTGCTTCTAAAATGACACATAAATCATGATCGAAAACATAAGCATCTAAATCCCAGTTTTGAGCAATTTTAACACCAGTTTCATCAATGATTGTAGCAGCAGTACATTCTGAATCATCTTTCATCTTGTAAAGATCTTCCTTGTTGTTCTTATATTTGGTTAAATCATATCTTGCGTTAATCAAAAAGATCTGTTCAATTGGCAATTCACTACCTTCTGCAATACCTTTGATTTCATCATAAGCTGTAGGATCATATTTTTCCAAAGCTGGCATGTAATAGTTTTGAATTATATGTTCACAAAACGACCATTTTGGGATATCAGCTTCAGTCAAATAATGGTTAGCTAACTGTTGAATCTTATACTTCAACTGTTGACCATGTGATAAACCTCTTTGGAAAGGATCACCTTTAACAATAATATGTGGGTAGAAATCTGGGTTAACTGTCATTATTCTTTTAATTGACTAATTGGATGAACTGTGAATTTGGAACCATTAAACAGTAAAGACTTTGAGCATCTTTTATAGCTTTTTGGGAAATGAGAAGGTGCCCATGAGAGTCATGATTAAACGGCCAATGAACAAATACCCTCATTTCGTTGATCAATAAATGAAAGTTATGCCTCAACAGTTATCTTCATCATCTTATTACACTTCGGACTAATAATACCACGATTGGTATCAAGGGTCCGGACAAGCTTCGGAGGATTACTACTGCTGGAAGTTAGATTTCGGCGCCTCTACCATATCGGGAAATATCCGAGATTCCGCTTGTTGTCGATGGCAGAGGGCCCGAATAATTTTGTCAACAAAGAGTCATTTTGGTATGCAGCTTCTTGATTGATAAAGCAGCTACGAACGATTACATGGAGCTAAACAGAGATTTGCAACAGATAGCACTCGCCTCTTTATCATCATTTATACGGAAAATGATCATGATCTGATGATAGTTTTAGTACTCCAAAACTACTCCCATCTTTGATCAAGTGACTGATAAGCTCCATCTTTTTACATCGTATATAAAAGACTTGAAGAACCCCAAACCCATCGCATTTGAGTTTGTTGAAAGAAGCATAAAGTTAAACACAAACACTGCTCATTTGAAGCATACTATGATGAGTAGCTCTGAGTTAAGTATCGCATCACGTGAGAAGAAAGGTGGTTATGTTATTGGTGTACAAGATGTTGAGTTACAATCTGGCTTCATTTCCAAATCCTTAGATTTAAGACAACGAGAAATCATTTTGGGACGTTGTGGTCATGGTGTTGTTGAAGAGCAAGATTTAGCTGACATTAGTACTTTCCCACCTGAAGTTCAGTATATGGTGGAAAAGATTGAGGAATTGAAAATTAATGACGCTGTTCAACATTTGAAAGATGCTTTACTCCATCATCAAGGTGACGCAAACTTTCCAAGTGAGGTATATGCTTTAATGGAAGAACTAGTACAAGGCCATGAAGCTTCTCATTTGAATGAAGAGGAGTGGGAATTCCAATGTAAACTGGAAGCTGGTTTGATTGTTTTCCACTCGCCATATCCAGAAATTAGAGCAGTTACAGACCCAGTTGATGATTTAACAATTCCTATTGAGACCATTCGTGCATACTTTCTGGGTTTATTTTGGACAATTATTGGTGCTGGTGTTAATGAATTCTTTATGCATCGTAAACCAGCTATATCGTTGAAATCACCAATGATTCAAGTCATGTTATATCCTTGTGGTAAGCTTTTGGCTAAGGTTTTACCTGATTGGGGATTCACAGTTAGAGGTACAAGACATTCTTTGAATCCTGGTCCTTGGACTTACAAAGAACAAATGTTTGCAACCATTATTTTTAATGTTGCAATTCCTTACACATATGTTAGTCATAACATTTATATGCAAAAATTACCAGTTTTCTTCCCTACCCCTTGGATTGACTTTGGCTACCAATTTTTATTGATGGCCTCCTCTCAACTATTAGGTTTTGGATTGGTTTCGTTAGTTAGAAGATTCTGTGTTTATGAACAAAGATGCATATGGCCAACATTACTTCCAACATTAAGTTTGAACAGAGCTTTATTGAAACCTGAAAAGAAAGAAGTGATTAATGGCTGGAAAATTAGTAAATATAACTTTTTCCTTGTTTGCTTTTGTGGTATGTTCCTATACAACTGGTTTCCAACGTTTATCTTTGAAGCTTTATCAACTTTCAGTTGGATCACATGGATTGCACCAAACAACTTTAATTTGGCAACAGTTACTGGTTCTCAATATGGCTTAGGTTTCAACCCATGGGTTACATTTGATTGGAATATTGTGGATTATAACTTTGCTTTGACCATTCCATTTTTTTCCCAGTTGAATCAATATATTGGTACTTTCATCGGGTTCTTTGTTGTTTTGGCTCTTTTTAAATCCAACTATAAATGGACAGGCTTCCTACCAATCAATAATAATGCCATTTATGACAATAAGGGGAAGAAATATGTTTCAAGCAAGATTTTAGATGCAAACAGTATGTTGGATGAAAAGAAATATCAAGACTATTCACCACCATTTTATACTGCAGGTAACTTGTTAGTTTATGGAGCTTATTTTGCTATCTATCCATTTACTTTTTGCTATACAGTTGTTCAAGAGTTTTCAACAATCAAGATGGGTATGATTCAATTTTACAAGAATTTGAGAAATCTTAAAAGATCAACATATGCTGGGTTTAATGATCCACATGCTACTATGATGAAAAAATACAAAGAGGTTCCAGATTGGTATTATTTTGCAATTTTAGTTGTTTCCATTGCTTTAGCTATAATCTGTATTAAGGTTTATCCAGCCCAAACACCAGTATGGGGTATTTTTTTCATCTTGGGATTGAATCTTGTTTTTTTGGTTCCAATTACCATCATTTTGGCTACAACTGGGTTCTCATTGACTATGAATGTTCTTACAGAATTGATTATTGGATATGCTTTACCAGGTAACGCGTTAGCTTTAAACACATTGAAGTCACTCAGTCACAATATTGATAGTCAAGCTGAATCATATATTGCTGACCAAAAATTGGCCCACTATGCTAAAATTCCTCCAATGGCGATCTTTAGAGGCCAATTGGTTTCTACTACTCTTCAAGTTTTTGTTGCTTTAGGTGTTATCAATTGGCAAATCGAAAATGTTGAAAACATTTGTACATCAAAAGCTGCAAACAAGTTTTCTTGTCCAAAAGAATTGAATTTCTATTCAAGTGCTACATTCTGGGGTGTCATTGGGCCAAAGAGAGTTTTCAATGGTTTATATCCTGTGTTACAGTATTGTTTCTTGATTGGGTTCCTGTTAGTTTTCCCATGTCTATTAGCTAAAAGATATTTCCCAAGAGTGACAAAATATTTTGAGCCAGTTCTGATCATTGGAGGTTTATACCAATATGCACCATATAATTTGTCATATGTCACAACTGGTCTTTATTTTTCATTCTTCTTTATGTATTATGTGAGAAGAAAATACACTTCATGGTGGGAGAAATATAATTTTGTTTTAACTGCATCCTTCTCTGCTGCTGTTGCATTCAGTGCTGTGATTATTTTCTTTTCAGTTAACTACCATCCAAAGAAACTAAACTGGTGGGGTAATACTGTTATTACAAAAGGTGTTGATGGTGGTGAAGGTCGTCAAACTTTGTTGAATGTTACATTGGGGGCCATTGATGGGTATTTCGGCCCAAGATCTGGAAGTTATCCATAAAGGGGTTTGTTTTTTTATGAATTTTTAATGAATATGATAGTTCCTAATTTTTAAAAGTATTTTATGGAGGAAAACTGTAATGATTCGCCAATGAGAGTAAAAATGTATATTCTTGCGGCTTTGTGCGGCTCTTGCTTATTTAGGACGATCTCTCAGATTCGCGGAGATATCTAATCATAAAAATGCTGGAAGTCAAAAGTTGGAAACCTTCATCTTCACTGAGGTTCAGGAGGCCAAAAGAATGAGTAAAAGGAAGTTTGAGCCCGAGGATAACAAACTGTTCAATGTCTTCACCTTTAGTTCGAGGAGAGTGCCATCTGGGAGGAAATCATGCTCGTTCTGTCGTGAAAAGAAGGTCAAATGTGTAAACAGTGAAGACAATGATGAAAGATGTAAACAATGCAAAACTAGAGACTTGTCTTGCAGCTTGTGTCCAGCAAAAGCAGCTTCTACGAATCATTCATCGCCTTCCACTGTGGAATCACCAGCTGTTTCAAACCCTCAAAGCTCCCCTGTGGACTTCAACATCAACAATGGTGCCCAATTTTTAGATCTCATTGGCGACATGGATTGGATTAATGTTCTTGATGAGGAGCTCTTACAATCTGACTTTCCATTAGCAGAAGCAATCAGTATAAACCAGAACCCAGGCTCGACTACAAGGATCTCAGGCTATAATGCAGATACGAATGGTGATGGTATTCCGATTGACAAGAGGCATGGAGACACATCATTTATGTATTATGGGTTTTCAGGGGAATACGATCCATTCTTGCGGTTCAATTATTATAGCTATGATGATAATGATGAATGTTTTTTCAAGCAAAAGTTTTTCAGGAAATTGGGAGATTCAGAGATGCCAGCTGTATTTTCATTTAAGACTAAGAAGTTGTTAAGAGAACAGACTAAAGAGTATTCAACTCCAGGATTTGATAAGAAAATGATCAAAAAGCTTTACAAATGTGCACCAAACTTGGCAGTATTATATATGAAGTTTATTTTCCCATTTCTTCCGATTCTTGATGGTGATTTTTTAGGAAAGATATTTTCAAATGAAACAGTGGAATTTAATGATATAAGTGGTGGGTCTCCATTGTTCACATTACTTTTAGCCAAAATCGGTAAAGGTTGGGAAAGGCATGATACATCAATGTCAATTTTCTTTGATGACCAAGAACTTCCAATTTTAAAGAATAGAAATGAGTTGTTCACAGTGGCTTGGAACCTTTTACAAGATGAGCTTCATACCCCAGATCTCACCACTGTTAAGTCTTTGATTTTATTTTTCCAAATTATTTCGTTCAAAAAATATTCACAATCAAACTCTTTCGAAAGAACGGTTTTATCTAATTTGGTTTCTGTTTGCTTTACTTTAGGACTTCATGTTGATTGCAGTGATTGGAAAATACCAGATGACGAAAAGGCATTAAGAAAGAGGTTGTGGTGGACGGTGTTTATCATGGAAAAATGGAACAATTTTGTTGTTGGAACTCCAAGCTTGATTAATGAAAAAAGCTACAATGTTGAAATTCCCTCAGATATAAATGAATTGTTTGAAGATGTGTCCCAATATTTCTCTGATATAAATAGTAAGAAGTTTTTCCTGAAACTGATTGAACTAACTTTCATTTTGAATGATACTGATGAAAAGCTTTTTTCTTTTCAAAGTGTTCCTAAGGAAGAAAAACCTGATGCAATAAGAGGTTTTGAAGAGAAACTGTCCATATGGTATGATGGTTTCAAAGAAATTGAGTCTGCATCCTCGGTCCCATTCCATTCGATAACATTGTCTTATTTTGTTCTTAAACTAATTTTATTCCGCTCCAGGTTTCAAATTTATGGCGTGAATAAGTTCAAAGATATTTGTTTCGACGATGCTAAGGTTCTCCTTCGCGATATAGTCAAATTCTTAAGAAATTTACCATCATTGGTTATCCATGGGTTTTGGTATAACTGGTCGAGATCATTGTTTATGTACATCAAAGATTTTTCATTGTTGTTAGTTGTTATCTCCTCCACAAAAGAACAATCTTTGGAAGTTCTGAACATTATCAAAGATTTTAGGGAATGGTTGGAGATGAACTCCAAGACACTGTGTCTCTTATGGACAACACTACTGAGAATCAACACAGCAACATCCAGTATAGGAACACAGTTCAAAAACAGCCTGAAAAGGCGTTAATAGATAAAGTTAATAATCTAGATTGAAATTCGTAACGTTCTATCTGCCACGTTCTCACGTGCACATAAGCGATAACAGAACGTGACCCGGAAATTCGCGCTTGAAAAGGGACGTCGCAGACAAAGCCAAAAACCTTCATCTATTGTATAGAAACTTCTAGTGAACAGGGAAAGTATCAAGGATCACATTTGCCCCAGTCGTTAACACTGTCATGCTTGAAACGTCTTGCTCAATCTATAGGGACCCCCTGAAGTCAACTTTTATCACATCAGTTTTCATATCGATAGGGATAGTGATATCTTACATACCTCAACATGTCAAAATCATTCAAACAAGGTCTTCTGTTGGATTATCTCCAGTGTTTTTATTACTTTCATCATTATCAGGTATTACAGCTACTTCAAATTTGATATTGCTGTCATTTATATCATTACCTTGCTGCTCAGAATTATCAACTTTTGAATGCGTCAATTCACAAATATCGTTAATACAAGTTGGGCTTCAAACGCTATCAACTTTATTAGTTGTCCTACTATGCGTCCTATTAACGAATACTCCAGATGATTTTTATGTCTATGAAGAAGTTGCTAGAGCTTGGAGACATATAACTTCATTTATGATCTTCATGATCATCACATTGATTGTTGCAAGTTTGTTCTTTACAAATGATTCAATTTTACTATATGCTAAAGTTTTGGGTGTATTTTCCACAACAGTTGCTATTATTCAATACTTACCACAATTGAAGACTACGTGGACTTTGAAGCGGTCTGGTTCTTTGTCTATTCCTATGATGTGTGTTCAAACCCCTGGTGGGTTTATCTGGACTGCAACTTTAATGCTGAAACCAGGTTCAAACTGGAGTAGTTGGCTGCCATTTTTGACTGCTGCTACATTACAAAGTGCCTTATTGATTTTATGCTCTTACTATGAGTATTTCGCAGAAAAGGAAGAGGTTTTACTTGTTAACGAAGATCAATATTACACAAACGAAGATGATTCATAGAACAGCGAAAAAAACAAACAAACATCTATGCATTAACAAAAGTTCTTTCCTATAACAATAATGATATAGGAATATACAACTACCCTTTTGGTTTTTCTTCTTCTTTCTCCTAAACACTAATGGTCTTCCAAACGTTTAATCCATCAGTACCTGTACTCACTAAGGCACCTGGTATTTGTTTATGCCATTTTACATCTTTAACATCTTTTTGCCAATGAACAAATAATAATTGTGGTGGAATGTCTTCCAAATCTTTTGCATCAGATTTTTGTTGTTTAATTTCTTCATCATCAGCTTCGACTGATAAATCCCATAAAGTAACAGTATTATCTTCTGAACTGACTGCAATAATTGACTCATCTAATGGGTTGAAACTGATAGAAGTGATTGCACTTTTGTGGAAATCATATTGTGCAACTGGTGAAGGTTGATTACCTGGTTTGAAGTTTCTCAAATCCCAAATACCCCATTTACCATCATCATCACCACTAGCTAGTAGATAATTGATCTTATCACACCAAGAAATAACATTGATATCAGTTTTGGAACCAACCACAGAAATAGCTGGTTTATGCTTTTTGGATCTAGTATCCCAAATTCTTATATATCCATCAGTACCTGCTGTAGCAAAAACGGTTTGTTCAGCTTTTGACCATTGTATATCTTCTATGGATTCATTATTATCTACTGTGAATGGGGTTTTATCTGTCACCCAGTTGGAGCTAGTTCTGTTTGTTAAATAGACTCTTCCTGAACAATCACCAGATAATAAACTACCGGTATTAATTAATGGAGACCAATCTAAACCATAACCTTCAACATTACCATGGTTTTTAATAGTATGTATTGGTTTTTTAGCATTTTTTGGAATTGTATGACCTGGTGAATCGAATGCTTTATATTGTGAGCTTAAATCATAAATTAAAACTTCACCATTTTCACTTGAAGTAGCTGTAAAATATTCACCAGTTGATGAAGAATGTGGTGATACTCTTATTCTATTAGTAGTATCACGTAATGGGATTGATTCACTCTCCATGATTGGATCACCTTCATATTCTTCATCTTCATTTTCATCATCAGCATCTTCTTCTTCATCTTTAACCAAAGTTTTAGAAAGTTGACTTAATTTCAAAACATATAATTCATTATCTTTCTTCTTTTCAGCTTGTGTTGCAGTGGTGACATATAATGAAGCTGGGAAATTTCTTCTTTCGTTCCCTAAATGATCTGGTAAAATATCTAAAGTAAGACAAGGCCATGGTAAATTGACATTATGTAACATATCATAAACTGAAGGATCGGCTTCTAAAACTTCATCAGGGCCCAAAGGTTTTGATTTATGTGGTAAATATATTGTTGATTCTTTCAAATCTTCACCTTGATCCTTTTGAATAACATCTTGTGCATCTTCTTCACCTTCACCATTGGAATCAATTTCAACAATTTCTTCATCACTTTCAAATTCATCACTATAAGGATCTTCAAATTCACCCATATCAACATCATTTTCTAATGCTTCAATTTTGTTGGCATTTGGAATATCCCCGGCAGCACCCTTAGAGGCTGTATTTCTTGGGATGTCCTCCACATCTTCATTTAATCTTTTAGACATCTTTAATCTATCGTTCCCAATGGAGAAAACCTTGACGTAGTATATAATTTCAAGATGAGCTTATGCTTCAAATTTTTTTTCTTGCATATAATTTTTTTTTTATTTTATTACCCTTCTCGAAATTATAGTCAAATTCTCAACATTAACGCCATGGAACTTGAGACTGTAAATAGGGGGTTATATTCAAGTTTGTACGATGTAATCTTTAAAGTGATTTAAAGCTTTTAAATTAATTTCAGAAATTTTGGAAAGCTGTTAATTAGGCTATTCCTAATTTTGGTAGTTCTAACTAGGAAAAAACGAGGGTAGTCACATGACAGCCATAGCTACTTTGAAGCCCTCGGATACCAAGATCTCTCAAAAACAATTGCGAGAAACGTTAACACGAATACACTAAGATTATCAAAGGCTATATCCACAAAACCCAGTTTCAACCAATCCTTATCACTCATATCATGTCAAACTACATGCCAGGGCAGGCGCAGGACATCAGGAACCGTACGGTTGAGTTCCAGCAGTGTGTGACTACTTTCAACAAAAGAATAAACAAATCTCAACATCAAAATAATCAACAAGTTGCACCTCCAAACATTAAAAGATCTGAATTTCAACAAAGAGCTTCAAAGATTGCAAAAGATATATCGCATACCTCGGAACTATTGGGTAAGCTAGCATTATTGGCAAAAAAGAAACCACTATTCGATGACAAACCTATTGAAATTTCAGAGTTGACATATGTTATCAAACAAGATATTGTGAAGATTGAAAAGAATTTGAAAAACCTACAAGATTATTTAAAGACAGGAAATGAGACAAGCAATGAAGAGTTGAAAACAAATTCCAAAAATATCGTTCAATTATTGAATACAAAGATGAAGAACGTTAGTGGTAATTTCAAAGAAGTTTTAGAAACTAGACAAAAAAATGAGTTAGAAAATAAATCAAGAAAAGAGAAATTTTTCTCTACATTACAACAACAGCAACAACTTACAAATCATGCTACAACAGTAGCATCTGATAATCCCTTCCTAATGGACACACCTTCAAATGGGGGTGAAAACAATGCATTGTTATCATTACCACAAGACCAACAATTACAATTACTCGAAGAACAATCATCACAGTATATGCAAGATCGTAATTTGGCAGTGGAGACTATAGAGAGTACAATTAATGAGGTTGGTAATTTATTTCAACAATTGGCCACAATGGTTAATGAACAAAGTGAAGTTATTCAAAGAATCGATACGAATGTTGAAGATATCGATTTAAATATAACTGGAGCACAAAGAGAATTGTTGAAATATTTCAATAGCATCAATCAAAATAGATGGTTGTATTTGAAGATTTTTGGTGTTCTAATAATATTTTTCATCTTATGGATTCTGGTGAATTGAGGAAAAGAAAAGGGACGAGGAACAAAAGGTCAATTATGCTTACACATTTTATAGAATGTAATTGTAATAAAAAATTAACATTGATAAAGGGCATTATCAACAACAATCTACAAGCATTATACTATTCGTAAATTAAACCTTCACATTAAATTATGAAAAACCACACATACAGAGACACGATAATTTCAAGATATATCAATTATAGGAAACCGAAAATTTCTAAGCAAGAGGATGGGGTGTATGATTCATCTTACAACCCCATTTCTGCTTGTAAAGCTTTCAAAGCTTTTTCATCTTCATCTTCCTCTTCTTCTTGTACAGCAGTCTTATCTTCCCTAATACTGGTGTTTGGAGCATCTGGTAGTTGAACTTGGCTAGTCTTTGTGCCACTATTCAAGAGTTTACTGTCAACTTCTTCTTGTTGAAGTGCTTCCAATTCATCTTCTAGTTCATCTTCATCAATATTATCAACTGGATAAGCTCTTGAAATAGCTTCACTAATTTCTTCACCTAATTCAGCTTGTTCTCTAATTTCATCCATTGTTTGGTCAACCTTATCCACAGTAAGACCACCATGTATATTCTTCATAGCCTTAGCACCTTGTTTCATTGCATTTACAGTTTCAAGGTTCAAATTGGCACTTTCAATAGCACGTAGTTGACCTTCAAGTGCATCAATTTGTGAACTTATCTTTGTTGCTTCATTATCTAATACCTTCTTTCTCTTCAAAGCATTTTTGGCTTTTGCCTTGTCGCTTGATATAAACTTTCTTGCTATAGCATCTTGTTCATCAATTTGAGTGTAAAGATGGTTTTGCTTCTTTGTAAGCATATTGACTTGTTCTCTTAGTGTGATTATAGCCTTTTTAGGAGCATCTTTGTCCCTGGCACTTCCTCCAAACATATATGACCACATTATTGTTGTTATTTGATGTGTGTAACTTGATGAAATGAAATCAAATAAAGGATCAAACTAATACAACTATTATTTAACAATTAACGGTATGCCCCCTAGCCTGACTTCTTAAATCTGTACTTTTTACAATAGCTCTCTTCAGATCAACCTGAGCACGTTAAAGCTGTTTAATAGTTGGCCTCCTGACTGTTGTTATCACAAAATTAGAGCTCACTCAAAAATCTCATCAAAAATATCTGGTGTTAGGGTGAGGCAGTGAAACTATCCCAAAATGGCAGCTTCTTGATTCGGAAATGGTTACGTTTGTTTTCCTTTTTTTTTTTTTTTTTTATTGATTTTTTTTTTAAATGTGATGTGCAATTTTTCAGTATAAACAACTTTTGAAGGCAAAGACTCAAATTTGTTTTAAGGAAGTCGACTCTCGTTAACTTATCCAAGGCGTTCGTTGCGGTGCTTAAGAACAACATGCTGAGAGCAATCACCAAGAACAGGTACGCTTCCAGACTAAACCCATCGCTTAAGAGTGTGATCAAAAGGGCAAATAGTACTGAGGCTAGTTTAATTCATCGAAATATTATTCATGAGTTGAGACATATTCCAGCTGCCAATGATATGGAGAACAGAACTGGTGCACCATTAGCAGATGCTCATCAAGAGAGCTGGTCCAGTCCATATGATAAGGTTTTCCGTCAAAGTCATTCGAAAGATGTCATGAGATTATGGTCTTTATTAGATGTTTGTCTTGATTCCCAACAATTTGATAGAGCTGAAAACATTTTGGAGGCTTTATACCAATTATCCATCGACAATGACTTTTCATTTATGGATGATTTAAACAAATTTTTATGGAAAAGATCACAAGATGCAACACAACGCAATCTTGATGATTACATTAAAACTTGGTCAAAGAACTTTCATGTTTCACCAAATGCAAGAACTTATGCCATTTTGATCAGTGCAGCTATGAACAACGGTGCTCCTTATCGTAAATACTCGAATCAGTTGATTGGTAAAGCTGATGAAATGACCAAGGTTTTAGGTAATGTTGATGTTTTTGGAGTCAAAAATTTAAAAGCTTTTGTCTCAGAAAATGCTATCAGCCCTAGATTAGTTCCACAAGAGTATAGATATTTACTGGAAGACGTTAGAACTGATGATGGCGAAGGTAAGCAGAATTTTGATTATTTTGAAGAAGATAGTACAGAGCTGCCTCCAACTTTAGCCAAAGCAAATGCAAAAGAATTAGTGGCTGTTGATACCTTCGGTATGAAAGTTATTAGACATACTTTACTATCTTTGAAACCTCATTTACAAACCAAGTTATTTGATGACTTGAATGAGAAATTAGAAGGTAAATTCAATTTCTTAACTTCAACAAGTGAAGATACAACAAATTTTTTCAACATTTATAAAACTTTGTCTCCTGAACATCAAAGAATATTCGAAAGTGCCCTTGATGATTTCAACGTCGAAAGACAATCTCAATTAGAAAGTAGATCATTTGATGCTGCACAAGAAAGATGGAGACATGATTTCGAAGAATTGACACAACATGGTACTTTGAATTTAAGTAAAAACTTGAATGCTAGATTATGGAGTTGGTATGAAGCAATGAAACCAATTGTCAAGGAAGAAATTGAACTTTGTAAAGAGGTTGATAATGTTAATGTCAAAGATTTATCAAGGGTTGCTAAAGCTCAACACAATGAAAGAGTGAAATATGCCCCTTATTTACGTTTATTGGACCCAAATAAGACTACTGTTATTACTATCTTGGAATTATTGAAAAACAATTCAACAGGTGGTATTCATGAAGGTATGAGAACTGCAAGAGCTGTTGTCTCGGTTGCTAAAGCATTAGAATTAGAATTTAGATCAGATCAGTTGTTAAACTCTGAGAAGAATATGTTCAAAGGGTATGACAAGAAGACATTAGCAAGAGCTGATTTAAAAAAATATGCTGCTACTATGACTGCTTTCAAATCTGAGAAATTAGGAAACATGAATATCGTCTGGCCTCAAGACGTCAGAGTCAAGTTAGGGTCAGTTTTAGTTTCAATCTTGATGCATGTTGCTAAAGTTGAAGTCACTGGTGTTGATCCTATCACCAAAAATCCAGTTAAGGGTGAAGCTCCAGCCTTTTATCATTCTTATCAATATCATAATGGTGCTAAAATTGGGATTTTGAAAATTCACAAGGCTTTAGGAGCTCATTTATCTGCTGATAAACTAGTTGGTGCTGTCCAACCCCAAATGTTACCAATGCTTGTCAAGCCACGTCAATGGACTGCATGGAACAATGGGGGTTACTACTATTCTCAAAATTTGTTGGTTAGATCAAGGGATTCTCCTGAACAATTGGCTTATTTGAAAGCTTCCACTGATAGATTAGATCTTGTGTATGAAGGGTTGAACGTCTTAGGTGAAACTGCATGGACTGTTAATGAACGAGTTTATAAAGTTATGTCTGAAATTTGGAACACTGGTGAAACATTTTTAGATATTCCAAAAGATCAAGAAGAAATGAACGTCCCTGATGCTCCACCAAAAAATTCAGATCCAAGTGTAATCAATGATTGGAAACAAAAAGTTAGACGTTTGCAAAATGAATTCGCAACAAATAGATCAATGAGATGTGATGCTAACTATAAATTAGAAATTGCAAGAGCATATTTGGGTGAAAAATTCTACTTTCCACACAATGTCGATTTCAGAGGTCGTGCTTATCCATTAAGTCCAAACTTTAACCATATGGGTAATGATTTATCAAGAGGGTTATTGATCTTCTGGAAAGGTAAAGAATTAGGCGACGAAGGTTTGAGATGGTTGAAAATTCATCTTTCTAACTTGTTTGGTATTGATAAAGCTCCATTGGAAGAACGTGTTGCTTTTGCTGACGAAAACTTGGAAAACATCAAAAAGACAGCTGAAGATCCAATGGCTAACAAAGAATTTTGGACAAAAGCCGATAAACCATGGCAAGCGTTGGCCACAATTTATGATTTAGCTGACGCTTATAAATTAGAAGATCCAACTAAACACATTTCACATCAACCAGTCCATCAAGATGGTACATGTAATGGTTTGCAACATTATGCTGCTTTAGGTGGTGATGTTGAAGGTGCTACCCAGGTTAACTTGGTTCCAGCTGATAGACCACAAGATGTGTATACCCATGTTGCAGGTTTAGTTACTAAGAGATTGGAAGCTGCAGCTGCCAAAGGTGATGAAATGGCTGAAACTTTGAAAGATAAAATCAAAAGAAAAGTGGTTAAACAAACTGTCATGACTAATGTCTATGGTGTTACATATATTGGTGCTACTCATCAAATTCATAAGCAATTACAAGATGTTTTCGATGACACCGAAAGCTACAAATTGAGTACTTATTTGGCAAAACATGTCTTTGCATGTATGAGAGAATTATTTGAAGGTGCTCATTTGATCCAAGATTGGTTGGCTCTTTGTGCAAAAATGATTTCTAGATCTATTAGAATTGACGTCGACACTTATGAAGTGATCAATCAAAAGAACAAACCAGCATTTATGGCTTCAGTTATCTGGACCACTCCATTGAATTTACCAATTGTTCAACCTTATCGTGCTGTTGTTAAAAAACAAGTTTCCACCAATTTGCAAACCGTTTTCATTTCTGATCCATTTGAAATGCACCAAGTTGATTCAAGAAAACAAATGGCTGCATTCCCTCCAAATTTTATTCATTCTTTAGATGCCTCCCATATGTTGTTGAGTGCCATTTCCTGTAGAAAAGAAGGATTAGAATTTGCTGCTGTTCATGATTCTTATTGGACCCATGCTTCTGATGTTAAAACCATGGGTAACTTGTTGAGAGAAGCTTTTATTGGATTACATGAAGTTGATCTTGTTTCTAAGTTGAAACAAGAATTTGATCAACGTTATCATGGGTTCTTGCAACTAGTTGAGATTCCACTCAAAAGTTCAGTTGGTGCTCAAATCATGGAACAAAGAAAGAAATTATCAAAAGAATTGGGAAGACCTGTTACATTAGGTGACGAAGTTTACATTGAAAGAAAGAGACAAAACCTATTGAATAGTACAGAGCCAGAAGAAGTTGAAGAAGGTAAAGCTATGGTTACCACTGTTAGTTTGATTGAAGATGTCGACGTTGAAAAATTAGCCACTGTTAAAGAATTGAACAAAATTGAAAACAGCATTGGGACTGAAGATGAAGATCTCTCCATAGTGAAAGAATCGGCTGTCTCTTCTGGAAAACAAGGTGTTTCAAAGATTAGAGTGTTTGCCCCACTTAGATTACCTGAAATTCCTCCAAAAGGTCAATTTGATGTTCAAGATCTAAGAGAAAGTAAATATTTCTTCTCCTGATCCAATCAAACTTCTTTAATGCCCATCACACATACACCCACATTTTTTACGAACAATATTGTACATTAGAGCATATAGCTGGTGTTGTATTGCAACATCAAAGCTATCAGGGAAAACATGTATATAGTTTACTTGATTTGATTTATTATAAAAGTATTTTTAGCGTTGTCAGTTTATTGACTAAACTACATTTTTTCTGTAAATATCTGTCCTTTCTATTTCATTTTAAATAATCTTCCCCTGTTGTTGAAGAACCTCAATAAGGGGTGATAGTGGGTCTAACTCATTAACTTCAATCAAATCAAATTCCTTAACAAATGATATGAAATGAGCAAAGAAAGAATTCCAATGAGCTTCTAGTGAAAGATTCAAAATTTTATCAAAATGGTTGTAATAAATATGGGCAAATATTCTAAACATTTGCCTTGAAATATTTTTAATAATTTTAATGAAATTAACAGCGAATGGAACACCGGTCTTTGTAGGGAATAACGTCTGGTCACTTAATTTCAAGCTAATCCAATTCAACACATACTCAATGTATTGATTAGCGGGAAGTTGGATTGTCTTGTTATTTTGATCAACCCATAAATAATCTGTTTTTGGACCAGCGTTCATTGTTGGAAATAATTCTGGTTTGACATATTCTGCAATGATCCCATAAAACTGGTTCAAGTTGTTATACATTTCGAAAATATTTAATGCAATCCACTCATTTTGATCAACATATTTTGGAAGTTGTACAATTGTTTTGAAAGAACCTTTGACTAATGCGGTTTTAACAAATGGTTCAGATAGGAATAATGGTTTAACTTGTGGTTGTTCTTGAAGCTGTTGATGTTGTTGTTGGAATTTTTGTGCATTTGAATGTATACTTTTCACTGGAGAAGGTGACCTCCTTAGAGAAAGATGTGATCCATTATTACTTGAATATATTGAGTTCTGATCTTTTGGTTGTTTATTCTTTTTGGAGCTTCTTCCGAAACCTCTTTAATAGAGCGTTAGTTCTCGATGATTCGAAGATCAGGTGATCACTATTGATTTGCTGTGTTAGACATACCTTATAGAACTGAAAAAGGACATTGTTTAGGAGAGTTCAGCTTGTTTCTGTTGTATGTTTCAAAGTCTTTGATCTAGCTATGTTTATTCCATTTTTTTTTCGTGCCTGGGATTTGGATTTTCACGAAATCTTTTTTGATTACCGAAATCAGTTGACTTCCCGATTCGGAAGTTTTACAGGTTTTATTAATATAGAAGAATTTATTACAAAATAAATTAAATTATAAATGGGCTTCAAGAATTTCTAGCATCTAAGACTTGCTTAACAGAATCGTAAACCTGTTTCTTGAGAGGAATAAAATCATACCCTCCAACTAGTTTGATTGTCTCATCATTGTTCCAAGTGACACCTTGAATAGTTGATTCACCAGCTGGATCACCTTTACCAATTTTACCTCTTAATTCAGGAAATTGTTCATTAATCAAATTCAAGATTTTTTGGGATGAAAAGTTTTCTGCAATTGGGAGTAATCTATGGCCTTCAACACCTTCTTTTTCAAGCGGAATCAAATGGAAAGCAGCAACATCTCTGACATCAGTGGAAACCATAACGTGTTCATTGAAAAGATGAGTGTCATCTGGACTTGATGAAATTAAATCCATCATGATTTGAGAAGATGTGTTTAGTTTTCCTTTAGCATCTTCATCAAAATATTGTGGCCCATAAATGTATGGAGGATTAACAACTGTCAAACTAAAATTAACCTTGTTTTCCTTAACAAAGTCCCAAGCAGCTCTTTCAGCTAAAATCTTAGAGCTGACATATGCCATCAGCCAGTTATCTTGACATTGTGCCCATTCTAATGGGTTCCATACCTCTTCAGAATGAGTGAAGGTTGGATCAGCAAGTTTATCAAAATTCATGATAGTGGCCATCGACGAAGTGACAACCACCTTTTTAACTTGAGGAGCAAAGTTTTTGATTGAGCTCAAAACATTTTTGGTACCTTCCAAAGCTGGTTGTTTATAACCTCTTTCGAAATCATCAGTTTCAGTTTCAGAGAATGGTGAAGCAGTGTGTAAAACAGCTCCAATGTCTTTATGGGTCTTGAACAAGTTGTCAAAAGCATTTTCTGCTGCAATATCTTCCACAATAACCAGCTCTAAATCAACATCATCACCGAACTTCTCTTGGAATTGCTTGTACAACTTGTCAGCTTTGGTTTGGGATCTAACAGTTCCAATAACTGTGTATGATTTTTCAATCAATTGACCAATAACGTGTAGGGCCACAAAACCAGTTGCTCCGGTAACTAAAACTTTTGACATTTTTTTGAATTTGCTAATTAAAACAGGAACGGGATTGAAGTAATTAATAATCTCAATTAAAGGATGAAAGTAATTTCAAATGATTCCATGTTGGAATACTGGTTGCTTTATATACACATGTGTTTAAGTGTTATATGTTCCTGTGGACTTAGGAAATAGGAGTTAGTGGGCATTAATTGATCTTTCCAGTAAGAGAGTCTGTCAAAAATCAACGGTCATAGGTCCCTTAACTGCGACGTCAAGAGTCGACGAGACCTTTAATCCTTTAATTCCACAAATCTGCATAAGCTACAAATCCTCAAGGCAGTGTTAGAAAATAAATAGAATTCATTCATTATAAATCAGTTGTATAAACTAGTACTCTATACGATCTTTTCCGAGACGAGTTATTTTTTAGCAGCTAAGATTTGCTTAACTGTGTCAACAACTTGATCCTTCAAAGGAATATATGATTGATATCCCAATAGTTGCTTCGATCTTTCAGAGTTATTTCTAACCTCAGTTGTTGTATAAGCTTTTGAAGGACTTCCTTTAGCAACTTTACCTGATAATTGAGGAATATAGTCATTGATGACATTCAAAATCTTTTGTTCATTGAATGGTTCACCTGATGGGAACAATCTTTGATTCTTCACACCACGTTCAAATGCTAAGATATGAAACTCGGCAACATCACGAACATCAATACTAGCACCACTAACACCATTAAAGAATTTGGTGTCATTTGGATCTGATTTCAACAAATTGACAATAATTTCATTAGATGTATTCAATTTTTCATTAGCAGCATCTTCATCAAATAATTGAGGTCCAAAAACATAAGGAGGACAAACAGTGTTCAAGTTAAATTTAACATTATTCTCCTTTGCGAAATTCCATGCTGCACTTTCAGCTAATTTTTTGGAAGCAATATAAGCAGATGTTTCATCTTTAACATCATCCCATTCAATAGGATTCCAAACAGTTTCTGTATGTGTAAAACTTGCATCATCACCCTTGTCAAGGTTCATAATTGATGCATACGAGGATGTAACAACAACAGTAACAACATTCTCACCATATTTATGAATAGCTTTCAAGACATTCAAAGTACCGTCGACTGCAGGTTTCTTATAACCTTCAGCTAAATCATCAGTGAAACCAAATTTGAAAGGTGAAGCAGTATGTAAAATATACTTGATGTCCTTCTCTTTTTGTAACAATGAATCAAAAGCACCCGGTTTGATGATATCTTCAATGATTTCAATCTTTAATTTAGGGTCTGAACTATCAGATTGAAACTTTTTATAAATATCATCAGCTTTATCTTGAGATCTAACAGTACCAATGACGTTATAACCTCTTTCTAATAATCTTCCAATAATATGAAGGGCAATAAATCCATTGGCACCTGTAACTAAAACTGTTTCTCCACTTGACATTTTTGTTTCTTTAGATTGTTTATGTTAAGTAATTGAAGATATTTGATAATTCACATCATACAAGGGCCCTTTTATATGTATAATTGGCTTCACCTTCGATTGCTTTCCTTTGCTATTGGACTTGAAATCGGATATTCCGAATAGTCTACGTTTTCGCGAAACGAAGCAAAGTAAAGTCTCGAGACCTCAAGAATTAAATAAAAGTATACACACACTTATTTTTTCGATTTAGCTTCCAATATTTGTTTGACAGTATCAACAACTTGATCTTTCAATGAGCTGTATTCATACCCCCCCAAGTAACATCTTTGATGTATCTGAACTAAGACCAACACCTGGTACGGTATATGCCTTTTCGGGATTACCTTTGGCAACTTTCCCATTCAATTGAGGTATGTATTCATTGATAATATTCAAAATCTTTTGATCATTAATTGGTACACCTGATGGGAATAATCTGTGGTTTTTAATTCCCCTTTCAAATGCCAGGATGTGAAATTCAGCAACATCTCGAACATCAACAGCAGCAAGTGTATGTCCATCGAAAAATTTGGTATCCTTTGGATCAGATTTCAATAGATCAACAATAATTTGATTTGAAGTATTCAATTCATCATTAGCTGCATCCTGGGAGAAATATTGAGGTCCAAACACAAATGGTGGAGTAATTGTGTCCAAATGGAATTTGACATCATTTTTCTTAATGAAATCCCAAGCAGCTTTTTCAGCTAGTTTTTTTGAAAGTGAATATGCTTGGTTCTCAGTTTTGGCATTGTCCCACTCATCTGGATTCCAGACATTTTCATTATGAATAAATGTAGGGTCTTTAAGCTTGTCAGTATGTTTGATTGCAGCAAAAGATGAAGTAACAACAACGGTAACAACTTTATGACCATATTTATGAATTGAATGTAAAACTTCAAGAGTACCTTGAACAGCTGGTTTTCTGTAACCCTCATCATAGTTATCTGTGAACCCATACTTGAATGGCGAAGCCGTATGCAAGACATATTTGATCTCTTTCTCATCAAATAAAAATTGAATCAAAAGCACCTGCTGCAGTAAGATCTTCCACAACAACCAGCTTCAAGTTTGGATCTGAATGATCAGTTTCGAACTTCTTGTATAAAGCATCAGCTTTCTCTTGAGATCTAACAGTCCCAATAACTTTGTAACCTCTTTCCAAAAGTTTCCCCAAGATGTGTAGAGCAATGAACCCATTAGCACCTGTAAGTAAGACGGTTTCTCCAATAGCAGCCATTTTTTCTTTGTCTTAAGATTCAGTTGTGTATCTAAAATGGAAAGGAAGTTAGGCCCCCTTAAATAGCTCTTGATTTTGCCACAAAAGACTGGAGATCTCCAAGGTTTCACCCGGGGTCAAGTAGTCTTGGTATGGATCCCCTTCATATTCAGTCCATTCTATTTTTTTTAAAACATGGATGCTGCCCAATTGATCAAAGGTACTCAATTCACCCAGAAACCTGAGATAATAAACCGTAACTTGTTGGTTATTATTGACTCTATCGCCACTGGTGTCGACAGGGCTTTGGATTCTTTCGCGATACGGCCCTAGGCGGGATCAATTTTCGCTGACGTTAATTCGATTGGCAGAAGACAACAAACTTGGCCCATTGACATACAAAATAACACTAAATTGAAATATGATCGCATCTTCCTATCATAATAACATAATCCTATTACTCCTAGGCTCTTATAGTCTGGTTGGTCTGTTGATTTTGTCTCTCGTGTTTCCTTCATCTCGATTGGCCAATACTTTAAAGCTGTGTTCCTACCATGTATATTGCAAAATTCCCTTTTTTCCCAAATTTTGCAAGCCAAGGAAATTTAAAAATAGTGTAATACGATACCAACAATTACTACAACCTACCAAAAAGCCCACCAATATTTTCAATGAAAGTGCTATCAACTTCAATAGCATTACTCAGCTATGTCTCGATGGCATTAGCTGTCAAACAGTTCAAGTTCTGTAGGGAGTTTACCTCACAACCAGCTGATGCTCAAGAACAACAGGGGGTAAATATCACTCTTTTACAAGATTCAACAGTTTTATTATTTGGGTTGAAAGATCTTCCAGATACAAACATTCCTTTATTATATGATGAAAATTTCAATTTGAAAGAAAATAGAGATGGTTTTGTTTTATGTACTGAAGAGTTAGTCGCTAGTGGTGAATGCTCTAAAATTGGTGAATTTAGAATCAAAAAAACTGCGGATTTACAACAACCATTGTTGAATATGTTTGGTGAAAAAGGTGATCAATTCTTTTATCCTGTCAATAACAGTGGTGTCTATTGTCTTTATGGACATCACTCTTCTGAAGAACCTGGTGTTGAATATAGGTTTTACAAGCCATATGGTAGTTTAACCTCAAGTGACGCAAAAAAATGGAAATTCGTCACCTTCGTGGCTATTCCATTAGCTATTATCCTCCTTTTAGGATTTGGGGCAAAATTCCTATTCACCAAACGTAAAGGTGATAAGACAAGTCTTGTTTTTGGGAGTGTCGATGCTGCATGCGCTTCGATGTTAGTTACGCTCTTTAATTATTATATGCTACTAAGCACCAAACTTAGTGCATTCAATGATGAAGGATACAACTCACCACAGGGAGTAGGTTTTTTTGGTTTGGTCAGTGACAGGGTGTTCTCTGAATATTTCTTGTCCATCATGCACTTGTTGGTATACTCCGTTTTGCTTGAGTTTAGTAAAGGTGGTTATGGTACGGTGTACGATCAAAGTGTTAAGCGTACCAGAGCTTATGGATACGTTTGTTTAGCCATTTTATTTGCTAATGTCTGGGTGCAAAGTGGATCATACGGACTTTATGAAAAATTTGATTTATTGATGAATTTGATCAATAATTTTGGTTATTATGTGATTTGGGGTTTTATATTCCAATATTCAAAGATTACAATCAGTGAAATCACAAACGAGAGCACAAAAAGAAAATTCATCAGATCAAGAAGATTGACAATTTTTACACCTGTGTTTTTGAGCTTGATTTCAGGCTTTTCAATGATAGCTTTAAGCTTTAATGCTTCACAAAATTTTGTCAAAGAACATCCAGAGATCGATCCAGTCAAGGATATGGACAAAGTGTTCATTCATACCATGGAGAATTCGAATTCAAGATCAATTATATTGGCTGTTTTAGAAAACTTGCCCTCATTGAGTTTCTTCATTATCATTTTGGGATACTCTGCAATTTGGCAAACCACAAAGAACGATGAAAAGCTAGCTTCAAAAGACAATACTATGTCGGATCCAGATACTGAGAACCTTCTAGTTGATTTCAAAGAGAAGGTTTGATACAATTTGATTATACAACACATTATGACACATTATGAAAGTTTATTATATACTTTTTTTGTAAAAGAGATACATATGACATATGACTAGATCGAAAGACTAATTCAATCCGTTGAATTCTTCACTTATCTCAAGCTGTATAGGTGCTATATTTAGCCATTGAGTGGAAGAGTCTATACTAGAAAGTTCAGCCGCAAGTTTTAGCTTTAAAATTCGCGAAAAATTCGCGAAGCCTTTTTTCCAATTTTTTTTTGCCGTCGGATAGTTTAGAACAACAAAGTCTCCGAAGCCATTCAACTTTTCTCAAAAGACAGAGAAAAAGCCCAATTGACTCCTCTAAAGAAACCGTGTTGATACTGGATTGTATTTGTCAAGAGGCAGGAAAGCTCAATTTACAAAGAAAGCGCTCGGATTACCTCAAATTAGCAAAGTTACTGTGTTGGGCAATACAATAGAGTCTATTCGGAACAAGGAACCACAATTTACCAACAACAAGTCTGTATTATTAATTATGTCAGATCAAGACCAGAACCCACCATTGAAGAGGCAAAAAATCAAAAAGGCTTGTGATAACTGTCGCTCAAGAAAGATCAAGTGTGATGGTGAGCAGCCATGTGTGAAGTGTCGAAACAGTGGTGCTAATTGTCTGTATACTCATGTGGAAAAGAAGAGGCAAGTCACCAAGAAGGATGATAAGTCATCAACTATTCAAAGTCTTGACCAACGGATGAATAAGATGGAAAGCCTTATAACCACATTGATTGAAAAGTTGAATACTCCAGATGGTTCTTCTTCTTACAAAGATTCTACAGATGGTGCTCAAAGTTCAATAAATCTTTCAGCTTCTTCAACTGATATTAATAGTCCGCAAAACACAGAAGTTCAATCTCAAGTATTACCGTCAACATCACCAGTACCACCCGCCGATGATATTGGTACAGCTGGACTAACTACAAAGAGCGTTAATAAGTTTGAAGACAAGTATATTGGGTCTCAGTCCTCATTATCAGTCCTATCACCAAGAGGTTTAATGTGGTTAGCAAAGAAAGCCAACGATCCAACAATTATAAGTCAATTCAAAACTATTGTTACAAAATCTCATGGGGTTTTCTATAATTATATGAAGAAATGGATCGAGCCTATAGACAAGTCTCAAGTTTGTCAATTACCCCCAAGAGAAACAATGGATCAGTTGATGAAAGTTTATGAAAAAGATTTATTACAATTTTCATTCTTCATGCCATTAGATGAAGTTAGAACTATGATTGATACATATTATGGCATCCAAGAGAAAACAACACACAAGAGACTTTCGAATTCTGAATTCTTAGTTTTGCATTGTGTTGCAGCTATATCTGCAAACCTTTTAGCTGAAGAACATGCAGGTGATTTGACCACTTTGAGAACTTTGAAAAAAATTGAGGATGATAATGTAAACACAGCTATCCATTATTATCATAGAATTGCTATTATTGGAGAAGGGATTAAATCTGTTCAAGGTATTTTATTATTGTTTTCTCATACAAATTTCTCTTTATTGCCACAGGCTAATTTTACATTGATTTCAACAGCTATTAGACATTCTCAAGGTATTGGTTTACATAGAAAAGAAGCATTGTTAGGACTACCAGAGGAAGAAAAGAGAAAGAAGAGAAAAGTTTGGTGGTGGGCTTATCTTGCTGATCGTACAGATTGTCTTAAAGCAGGTAAACCATTAAGTATAGGAGACTTTGATGTATCTGTTATGGATCTAGAAGAATTTAGAGATTTGATTTTTGAAGGTTATTCAGAAGAATTATTGAACAATATCTTTAGTGGGGAAGTTGATTTGATGGATCCTAAAGCCAAGGGATTAACTAATTTGAAAGAACCTTCATTACCATTTGATATAAACGCAGTCATCTCATATTTTATTACATGTTTTTACAAGAACACTGGTGAAGCTTATGAAAAATTGTTTTCTGCCACTGCTTTGATTGGTAAAAATGCTGATCAAATAATGGAGACAATCGAAACATTGAACCTGAAACTAGAGGCTTGGAATGAGAATGTCCCAATTTCAATCAGACCTGGTGCTCCTTTAAGACTTGGGGTGTATAATGATCTGGTTGATGATAAGCTGTTGATGTTACATTTCACTTATTATCTCCACGTGATGATTATCAATAGAATGGCTTTCAAGCGTTCTTGGTTAAACCATGATCAAGAAACAGTGGATGACAATTCCACAATACTACCAAGACAAAGAAAATCCATCATCAAATGCTTAGAGGCTGCTAGAACTATTCTTCGTATTGTTCAGCAAATGAATGCTTGCAAAAGTTCAAACTTTAATATTCCACTGTTTGTTTTCACATCAGCTTTTTTCACATTATTGACTGCTTGCTTAGAATTTCCTACTGCTAATGAATCCAAAAATGATTTGATTTTAATTCAACATACCATTAAAGTTTTATTCACAAAATTACAAATAATGTCAAATCAGTTAGGTGATGATAAGATCTACAATATTATGGCTCATTCAACCAAGTTTTTTTTAAGAGTTGGTATTTTAGTATACAACAACGCTAATGTGGACAAGATTGATTCTAGTGCGTTGGATGAAGAACTAAGACAGTATCAAAAGCTTTTGGAAGAATCAACATCATCACACAAGAGAAGGAGATCTGGAAATTTGAAACCGTCAAGTCAATTTTCACCACCCCAACCATCATCCTTAAGCCACATGAGATCAACAAATACTGAGCAGGGTGTTCCTCAATATGGACCATCCATACCATCAAGCCAGGCGAATACTCCAAATCTAAACAATATTTTGAACGACCCACTTTCGCATGCTACTGGTCAGCCATATGATGGTGTTTCAAACCCTGCTTCTGTTGGTTCTGTTTCTTCTACTGATGGATTTGATCCTTTCAATTTATCAGAGATTGATATTGCAGCAAATAACAATGTGTTTAAGCAATTGTTTCCAATGCCAAATTTATATTTCAATGGAACAGATCAAGGAAATGATTCTCTCCCTGTTCATTTTGAATGGTGAGGAAACAAGTTGGTGTATTTATGAGTTTGATAAACTAGGATCTGAATGATGAAAAAGTTATTCGTGTAGATTTATTAAGGCCGATGGAAAAAGAAAAAAAAATGTAATCGATCCTATTTACAAAGCTGACATCAAAGACGAGTTACCACATTATACATAGAATGCCCCCAAGAGTTTCAAAAGCAAAAAAAGCTACAAGACCAACGGTACTGGATGCTGATCAAATCAAAGAAAAAATTTTCTCAAACGAAATGCTTGTTGAAAAACCTCAACCCAAAAAACCAGCAGAATTTCCTCAAGATCCTCAAAACAACAATGTCAGATATTGGTTAATAAAATCAGAACCATTATCAAGAATAGATCCCAAAACAGGCAAGGATGTCAAATTCCCTTTAAGTGAGCTACAGAAGCTCGAATATGAACAATGGGATGGTGTTAGAAATCACGAAGCCAAAAACAATATGCTAAATATGTCGAAAGGAGATATACTTCTATTCTACCATTCAAATGCCCCAGTACCCGGTATTGTTGGAGAAGCTAAGGTCCACAATGAAGCACATCCAGATTCGACACAATTTAATGCAAAAAGTAACTATTATGATCCCAAATCTACGAAAGAATCTCCAAGATGGTGGTGTGTTGACGTTTCGTTTGTTAGAAGATTCAGATCCAAGGTTTCTCTTGAGCAATTGAGATCAAATGAGAAGTTGAAAGACATGACTTTGGTTAAAAGAGGGAGATTGAGCGTTACACCTGTCAGAAAAGAAGAGTACTACGAAGTTTTGAAGATGGAGGAGTCAAAAGAGATCAATGATGATATTGACTGTGTGATAGATCAAAAATATATCAAAAGAATAGAGTAAAGAGTGATACGACGAATAACTTGGAGTCGCAACATATCCAATATAAAAGATCTTATAACCCTTTCGTAATTTAACTCAAGCTAATGCTACTCTTGAATCGTCTTGATCACGTCCAATTTCTAAAGTGATGGTTTATACAACACGAAAACGCGTGGCGCACGCGTGTCTTACCGGGTAAATTTTGCTTTCAAATCTTCTAAAATGTAAACAATCAAATCAAAACAAAAACATAATCAAAATGCTTTTTTACAAGCTCTTTTAACGAAGGCAAAAACCAAAAACTGAAAATAATGGGTAGAAGACTGCCTAAAAAGCCCAATAATGAGCTTGGTACAGGTGCTGGCTTAAAAGCCGGTATGCGTCCAAGAGCTGTCACTGATCTTGCTTCAACTTTATCAAAACCTTTCAAAATACCTTTCAAGACTAGATCGAGCGCCATCAGTTCTCATGGCAAACCAGTGAGATCAGCAAGACTTAATGGACCAACTTCATATGCTATGATGTCCATTGAGGAAGATAAAGAAAACGATGCTGTGATTGATATAGATGGCAAGACAATAACAAAGAGAAAGAATGCCTTGAGTGTGAGAAGACTGGCTAATGATAACACATTCATAAGCTCTATTGAAACAACATTGAAAAGATCATTCACATGTCCATTAGCTACCAAAACAGATCAACAAATTAATGCTGCACCACCACCACCATTAGGGACAAAGAGAAAACCAATAATGGTACCGAGACCTCTTCATGATCCATCTGATGAATCTTCAATAGTTTTGTATGATCCAACTGTGGAGAAAGTCATCAGTGATGACGATTTAGAGGCTTTAGATAGAGCTATTGCAGAGGCTAAAGCCAGAGACGAGGGTAAAACTTTGGAATCTTTGGAAGATACAGATGAACGTCCGGCTAAAAGACGTAATGTTCATAGAAGTTTGAATGAAATACTCGGTATTACGAAAAATCCAGAAGATGCTGAAAAGAAATTCCCAGATGTACCTGTTGTTATTGACCCTAAATTGAGTAAAATTTTAAGACCACATCAAGTTGAAGGTGTTAAGTTTTTGTATCGTTGTGTTTCAGGGTTGGTTGATCCAAGAGCGAAAGGTTGTATTATGGCTGATGAAATGGGGTTAGGTAAAACTTTGCAATGTATTGCTCTTATGTGGACACTATTAAAACAAGGTCCACGAGGCAGAAAAACTATTGATAAATGTATCGTTGTTTGCCCTTCTTCTTTAGTTAGAAATTGGGCTAATGAATTGGTGAAATGGCTTGGGGAAGGTTCGGTAACGCCGTTGGCAATTGATGGTAAATCAACTAAACCAAATCAAGTTGCATCAAGTATTGCACAATGGTCTTTGGCAAGAGGAAGAAATGTTGTTAGACCTGTGTTAATCATCTCTTATGAAACATTAAGAAGAAATGTGGATCAATTGAAAAATACAGAGATTGGATTATTACTAGCTGATGAAGGTCATAGATTGAAGAATGGTGATTCTTTAACATTTACAGCTTTAGACAGTTTAAATTGTAAAAGAAGGGTTATTTTATCAGGTACACCTATTCAAAATGATTTGTCTGAGTATTTCGCATTATTGAACTTTGCAAATCCTGGGTTGTTAGGCTCAAGAAATGAGTTTAGAAAAAACTTTGAAATACCCATTTTGAAAGGTCGTGATGCTGATGCTACCGATAAAGAAGTTCAAGCTGGTGAGCAAAAGTTGAGCATGTTATCAACTATTGTTTCCAAGTTTATCATTAGAAGAACAAATGATATCCTTTCAAAATATCTTCCTTGCAAATATGAGCATGTCATTTTTGTTAATCTTTCGCCAATGCAGTTGAAACTATATGATCATTTCATTACAAGTCCAGATATCAAAAAACTTTTAAAAGGTGTTGGCTCCCAACCTTTGAAGGCTATTGGGTTATTAAAGAAGTTATGTAACCATCCCGATTTGGTGAATCTTGATGAAGAATTTGAAGGATCAGGTCATTTGATTCCTGATGACTATGTTAACTCAATCACTGGTGGAGGTCGTAATAGAGAAGTTCAAACATGGCATTCGGGTAAATTTGCTATATTAGAAAGATTTTTGGCCAAAATTAGAAATGAATCAAATGACAAGATTGTGTTAATTTCCAATTATACTCAAACTTTAGATTTGATTGAAAAAATGTGCAGAAATAATCATTATGGTAGTTTGAGATTGGATGGTACTATGAATATTAATAAGAGACAAAAATTGGTTGATAGATTTAATGATCCTGAAGGTTCTGAGTTTATATTTTTATTAAGTTCCAAGGCTGGTGGATGTGGTATTAATTTGATTGGTGCTAATAGATTGATCTTAATTGATCCAGATTGGAATCCAGCTTCAGATCAACAAGCTTTGGCGAGAGTTTGGAGAGATGGACAGAAAAAGGATTGTTTCATCTATAGATTCATCACCACTGGTAGTATTGAAGAAAAAATATTTCAACGTCAATCAATGAAGATGAGTTTAAGTTCTTGTGTTGTTGATGAAAATCAAGATGTTGAAAGATTATTCTCCACTGACAATTTACGTCAACTATTCCAGTTCAACAAAAAAACAACCTGTGATACACATGATTCATTCCGTTGTAAAAGATGCAAAGGTGAAGATTCAAAACAAATGATTAGAGCAGATGCTATGCTTTATGGTGATGCTACAACATGGAACCACGTTAACCATGAAGGCTTGCAAAAGACTAATGATCACTTACTCAAAAACGAGGCCAACTTTAACGATATCAGTTACGTTTTCCAATATATTTCACATGTATAAACATAAATTTTAATGAATTCAGACACTTTGATTTTTCAATTGTTTCGTATAGATTTTTGGTTTTGGTTGTGACACGTAATTTTTTTATGTAAACAAACCGCCAAAAAGAATTTATATGTCACATTCCATCGAAAAGAATCAAACCATTTTTTAAAATTGTTAGTGTTTCGAGTCTATCCAAATTAACTTCCAATATTTTCTAGTATTGTGGAAATATGGATGAAATTCTTTCAAAAGTATGTGTTTTCATTGGAACAATTGCCCAGCTGATGGCGCTTAAAGTGAAGAATTTACTAACATTCTTGCTATGTTAGGCTGGTAGTCAAGCGGTAACATTTGCCATCAGATCAGGTATCTCAATAGCGTCAACATATGCAGTCAAATCAGTCACAAAGTTTTTGGCCAAGGTCCCAGATGATCAAAGAATAAGACTTGAACGTACAAAGCAAAAATTACAAACAAGAATTGAGATTGTGTCAAGTGCTATTGATTTAATAAAATTGGTTGCTAGTCGAGGTAATACAAATCTTGAAAGTACTCTTAGATTAACAAAAGATTTAAAGGAAGAGATTGATAGGTTTGATGATAAGATTCAAGAAGTTTCTGAGAATTATACTTCTTCCAAAAAAGACAACCAGTCTGTGAATAATGTTGAACTTTATATGCTGGATTTATTAAGTAGGATTGAAGAAGCTATTCCATTAATCAATTTATCATTAACCACATCAGGTGCTAATTTGAGCGGAACATTATCAAATCAGGTGTCCCCTGGAAGGCTATTGCAAGCTTCAAATCATGTTAACAAATCAAATGAAAAATTCAAAGGGGAATTACTGCAAATTGGTCCAACATTTGAATTGACACTTTATTCAATTTTTTACCATAGAGGAAGAATAATCAATAATAGATTGAATGAAATCAGCTGGAAGGAAGAATTTACAAGAGCTGATATATCTGTATGGAGGCAACCTTCTGCCATTGATGAATATCAATATGTTTTGAAAATCAAGGAGAATTTTAATGATGATCGATATCATGACGATGAAGATGAACCACAAGTGATGGAGTTGGATATAAGTACTATAACAAGATTATTTTTCAGTGCTTCCGGGAAATTGTTGAAACTTGAAGATAGATCCACGCCTGTATTAGTTTTAAAAATTAACAAAAATTTCCAAGATATTGAAAGTGATGAAGATGAAGATGCTCAACATGAAAGCAATCCAATTGAATGGTTATCATTTGGTGAATATGAACAATTGTATGATGGTTCAGATGAAAGTGAAGATTCAGATGAAGAAGATTCGCCAAAATCTGCTAAAAGTTCAATACAACAACCTTTAAAACCTCATAATTCATTATCATTATTAGAATACATCCTAAGACTATGTGTATTACAGTCAAATGATCAATTATCAATCTTGGAAGTCAATGATGAAAGATTAGCACTATATTTGAATGATGAAAATAACAGTGAAAGAAATACAATAATAACAACTAATGAGACTGAAAATTTTGAAAATGAATCATCATCATCACCTGTTCGTATCATTGAAAGAAAACAAAAGAAGTCAAATACAACACCTAAATCATCATCAAAAGTTAGTGATATTACAAGTAAATTGAAGAAGATTGAAGTTAATGATGATAAAGAACCTAGTACACCACAAAAAAATGGAGATAATAAGAATGGTGATAGTCCATTACCTGGTGAAGTGGAATCAAATGTTAAATTAACACCATGGGAAAGAGATAAGATTTCAAAATTATCAAGAACTCCATTAGCCAGCTCAGCTGGTAATCAATATGGTACTCCAATAAATACCCTAAGAAAAAAAGTCCTGAGAAGAAACCTGAATGATTGATTAAGGGCCCCTACAGGTAATAATATTCTTTTAAAACCAAATGTATTAATTAATGTACGCGACTCAACATGCGCTTAAAATAATGATCATATAAATAAAATGTAATAATTAAACCGAAAAACTCCCTTTGTAATAATAAAAAAAAATCATAGACGTGATAATATTAAAAAAAAACTGTTTAATGCAAATCACCAGTGGCTCAATAACAATAATTAACCAAATTTATAAACCAGATGTTGTCAATTTTGTATTGAAATTATTGAAAAATAAATTATTTTCTGTAAATTTATCTGAACCTTCACCATTTGAAAATTGACCAGGTTCTCTTGGAGTCAACATATTTTCATCATCTTCATCAGTTTTAGAACTTGCATTTATTAAATTTGAATGAATTTGAGGAACTGTAGATTGGTGGTCCTGGAATTTGTTACTATAATTTGCAGAATTTGAACTTTGTAAAGAATCAATACTTGGTGTGAATCTGTGTCCATTTGATTGATGTTGTTGATTGTTGTTACTATTATTACTATTATTGCTGTTGTGATGACTGTTTGCAAAATAGCCTTGTTCATTCTTAAAATCTGTGGGTATATCCAAAAAACTTGGTGTTAATGATAAAACTTCAACACTCTGTACACTTGCAGCATCATCATTGTTATTAGAGTTGTTGTTGTTATTGCTGTTGTTTTGTGTTCCAACGGTTTGATAATTCTGCTGTTGTGGATTGTTGTTGTTATTTGGAAATGTAAATTTTTGACTTGAAGGCTTATGAATCATACTATCATAATGATGATAATTCCCACTAGTTAATGAATCTGAACTTCCATTTATTTTGGACATTTGAGAGAGTTGTATATTACTTTCAACACTTGATAATGACATCATTGAATCATTTCTTGGAAATGGAGTATTTGAAATTTTTGATTCTGGGGAACCAATTTGATTCATATTGTTATTACCTCCATTATTGCTATTGTTTGATAAAGTTGAAAACAATCCACCATTCTGGTTGTTTGAAGCATCAGATGGTGAACGAATATTATTATGTACCATACTATCCGAGTTTGTTGAATTACTTGTGGGACTAAACATTCTAGTGGACTCTTTTTGTTGTTGTTGTTGTTGATGTTGTTGTAATTGTTCATTATTTGGGTTTTCATGGAAATATGGATTAACCGAAGTCATATTACTATTTGCAAACAAATCCAATAAACCATGACCTGGTTCAAAAGGTAGTGGTATATCCTGAAAGAAGACATCAGGAATTTTATCATTAACATTTCCAATTCCATTTGAAGTATTTGGGATATACTCATTTATTGGGACTGAAACTTCACCAACTCTTGTTCTTGTTGATTGACCAGCAGGTCTAGCATTAGCCAAAGGATCCATTCCAATTTGTCTAACTTTGCCATTTGATTGCTGTTGTTGTTGTGGAGTTAATGAAATGGATGAATTTGTCCAGCTAAATGATGAAGATGAAGGTAAATTCACTGATGATGAAGACTCTGGTTGAGGTGAAGTGATATCAGAAGTTGACAATCTTGATAAACTTGGTTTTGAATCATTTCGTTTTCTTCTACCATGACAAGTACAAGGTTCACCAGTCTTACAGGTACATTTGACAACCGCATTCACTGGTTTCTTATTTTTACCACAAGTACATGCACCTGAAGGATGTGAGTTTTTGTTCTTTCTCAATTCTTTGCAATGTTTACATTGTGATGAAGGACGTCCCTTTGGCTTAATCATCATTAAAGGTTGATCTGTATGGTTACATGTTGTGACTCTGTGACCTCTTATACAACGCTCACAAGCGTATTTGACACCTCCGATGAGTACCATGATTTGATGTGTAGTTGATTAATTATTAATGTTGTTATTATTCTGGGTGAATATGGATTTTTTTTTATTATGGAATTGTAGTCTCGTTCCTCTTGTTTCTCGCTTATTCTTTCTTTTCTGAATAAAGAGTTCTCTTCTTCTAGTTTGTGGTTGATGATGTTTCTTATAGGGCTAAAAGGGCATAATATTGCTCTTTTGGTACTTGATCTTTGAATTTGAACTAGGATTTGTAATCTAGGGTATATAGTTCTTTGTTGTTGGTTGTGGTGTGGGATGGCTGCAAAATAGGAACTGTCTTGATCAGGAATGGATTCTGTTTATAGCGTGCAACCACCTGGATTACGGGATATTTAATGGTCTCAAATAGCTCTGAGTGCTCTTGAATAGTAGCCGCTGGGTTGTGGGATAGCCAAAGGATGGGTTTGTTGGGATAGAGGAAAGGTTACAATTTGTTCTGGAGGTTGTTTTTTTCTCTTTTTTGAATATTTTTGGTTCTAAAAATCAGTCAGGCGAATTCAAGAAAAAAAGTGCACCCAACGAAAACTTGGGCTCTGGCTGGACAATGGACATTCGCGGATTCCCTTGGGAAGAAAGAGTCCTAGCTGGTTTAATTTATAAGAGCTGTTCATTATTATTTGCATCTGGGTATCAAGGATTACACGTTGATAGGGTGTCGATGTCGTGATGTTGGTTGTAAAGTGGTTGTACAAACTCCTTCCTAAAACCACTAATCACAGCTTGCTCCTAGTTTGTGTTGTAGCCTCGTCGAGTGCTAGGCTGAACACCAGCTTTCAGCCCCTCAACTGGTCAAAGACCTAAAATTGATTACGATACCCACTAGAACAAACTAGTGCCTCCATCTCGAAACCTAATCCAGAAACCATGTTTTCCTGTACTACTTATGGCACCATCTGCATAGTGTGCTCCCGATTCCTCACTTTCGGTATCCACAATCACCCATTGTATTGATCATGCTCTTCATCCTCATTTCTACATCCTATTGTTTTCATCGTGATCAAGGTTTCAACATCATCCCGTGTTCTCCATAAATTATGGATGTGCATAAACCCTTGAAAACTCGAAAACATCAAGAAATTTCTACATCCAAGCTTTGCTATGAGATGATCGTCCACAAAAGGATAGATGGATGTGATAGCCATACTATTATAGCACAATAGCATCACACAACGACGTTCTTCTGTAACTTGCTTTTCAAAATATAGATACGCTTCTATCGGTGAACTATTGTGTCAAACCCCTACAAATGCAGTATTGTACCTGAAAACAATACATTCAAAACTAAACTGTCTTTAAAGCTGACTAAACAGAATCTATTCAAAAGTTCTTATCAATCAATTGTTTAACTAATTTCCAATCTTCACTTTCTGAATAATCTAAAACAATGATACCACTACCTCTACCAAATGATTCTGCAATATTATTTTGATTCAAACCTTCAGCAATCTTTGATGGCCAACAATTTGGATCAAAGAAATTTGAACCTGAACAGAAATTGATAAACAATTTAGGATCATTTGAATTGGTTGAATTATAATCACTTGCAGTTTTAGATAAATCTTTAATATATTGAGCTTTTTTAGAAATATCATCAGCTGAGGAAATTTCACACCAATCTTGAACTTGGAAAGAACCACGATCATCATTTGTACAATTATATGACCACCATGCTGCATCAATACCAAATTCTCTTTTACGGTCTTCATTCTTAACACCAAATCTTCTAAATATAATGGCTTTACCTCTAGCTTCACCAACTCTTGGAATATTTGTGTTTAAATACCAACGATCTTTATTTGGATTAATATATTTATCCCAAATCAAATTACCAAATTCATCATTGTCATTATCCCAAGTCCCATTACCTTCTTGTTTAATACTAACCAAAACACTTTCTGAACGATGTTCTTCCAAGAATTTATAGACATCATTTAAAACATCCTTTAAATAAACATTACCCAATAATTTAACTGGGAATTTACCATGAATGATAACTAAATCTTTTTGATCATTTTCATCACTTTTCAAAACATTTTTAGAAACTCTTAAATCTAAAAATCTAACACCATGTTCCAGTTGTTTTAAAACTGATTCACCTTGACATTGAACAGATGGTAAAGCTGTATGACTAGCTGCTGAATTATGAGTACCTGGAATTGCTAAAGATGATAACAAAACATCATCCCTTTGTTCTTTTAACCATTCAGTGTAATTGACCATTGTGTAGTGTGTTGTATGTGATACTATTCAATTGAGTTGTAACTACGGGTATAAAACAAGTTTGGAAGGAAAACATTGAAATTACCATGTTTTTTTATATCTTGAGCAACGCAATTGTGAAATTGGCTCGTTCCAGGTTTTACTTTTTTGACACCAATTTTTGAGAATTCGCGGGTTTCTTTGCCCACAGCCAAATAAAAAACTTGGAGGCTGGGGGTCTTTCCACACAAGGGAAAATGCTAGAGACTTGGAGGGAACAAATTGAGATATGTACATCAAATGAAAATTGATTGTTCAATTGCAATTTAACTTTGAAATTTTAGAAAGTTTGTTTGTGGTTCTCATACACCATTTAAGGTTTTTGATTGTGCATGAATCAAGTTTCGAGGGTGAAGTCACGCTTATTCAGTGGTCGAGATACCTGTTTGGGAATAAAATCACAGTAAGATTTGGCAGACTTAAAAATTAAATCTAAAAGATCAAAAGTTTTATTGTTGTTGACCAACATCTACCTATCACCAAAGGTTTCATTATCTTGGTGCAAATGACCTTATAGGAAATATCGCAGCCCCCTATCATGTCGGGAGCAAACGTTGACCCAAATAGAGTCGAAAAGACTATCAAAAATGAAGTTGAAGAAAAATTTGAAGATACTCATCCTTCCAATGAAGACCCCGAACAATCAATAAAGAAGGAAGAAGGAGAAGTTTACATTTTAGGTCATGAAATTGATTATCCTGGATTTGATAGGAATGAGCAAATCACATTGGAGTTACTAGCAGACACAATCAACGATACTATTAAATACCAAATCGAAGACACTACTAGAAACCTTGAAGATAATGGACTAGATAATGATTTAAGAAGGGATGCGTATATCAGAAGAATAAAAGCACTAGAAGCAATCAAGATTAAAGTTCTTTCAAATCCTCATACTTTATCATATACCGTTGATATAAATGAACCAATAAATTCAGAAGCTTATCAAACTACTATGAAATCTATTGAAGGTGACATTGATGAATTTTTATTGAAAACTAGCTTTCGTGCTTCAAAAAGTACAATGTTTAGTGTGTTCGGTGGTCCAGGTTACGAAGAACTACGTAACTATGAATTAATGAATTCAATAGAGACGTACCGTGGCTTGTCTTGGAACACATGAACACCGTAAAAAATTTGAAGTTGATTAATAGTGCCTAATAATATCAGAACTCATGACAATTATTTTAATACAACTAGTGGTTAATCATAGGCCTAATATGGTTTAATTGATTTCAACGTCTTGAGATTCCGTGTAGAATATGGATTAATCTAAATAACATTTCGACAAGATGATAGACACTGTCTTCAGTAAAATTCAAAGAAACTGATATATGTATATTCATGGTCTTCCACAGGTAGCAGACGCCGCCTTTTCTACTCGAACGAGATCCGCATATTAGATCACAATTTCAAACTAAAAAACTAGATCATCACTTAATACTTCATGAGTCTTTCACCGTAAATATGTGAGATGAATCCATCATTTGTCTCTAGTGAAACCTTATAAGCTGCCATCAGGAAAACGTTGATGTGCACTTGGGATGACTGCAAGATAGAAGTTTGCTCGGTCATATTTGTGGGCTTGAAGCCTGCAATCTATAATCTTGAAAGTTAGTCACAGATCTCCAAAGACGTAGCCAATAGAACAAAACAATAGGATAAGCTCATCACGCACAGATCCAAAGTAGGTAATCTCCTACAGTTTTCTCACGTAAAAAATCTCCTCTCAACTTTTCGAGACCTCCCCCAGTGAGATTTCGCCAGCGCAGTATTTTTCAACTGGGGGAACTTTAACTCATCAAAAATGTTTTCGAGTCTTGACTATGTTGAACACTGTATCAAAGTCACAGAACGCTCTGTTTGTTTTTTCGGGTCATGATTATGAGGTGATAAAACAGTTGATTAGATTGAGAAATTAAGATCTCCCCCAGTGGAAGCTCAACTTGTATTTAAGCCAGTGGTATTATCCTAAAGAAACACATAAAGCTCAAGTGATAATTAAAGATGAGTGAACCAACCAAAGATATCAATATGACTGAGGTCAAGTCTGCATCTGAAAATAGTTTTGTTAATGGTAATGTCAAGGAATTAGGTGAATTTGATGATCTTTCGATAGACCCTGTCAAAGAGGCTAAATTAGTTCGAAAGCTAGATCGTTTTATTTTACCAATGTTTTGTGTTATTTATTTCTTGTCATTTTTGGATAGGTCCAATATCGGTAATGCTAAAATTGTTGGATTAGATGATCAATTAGGTTTAACTCAATCACAATATTCCACTGCTGTTTCGGTTTTCTATGCAACTTATATTTGTGTTGAGATTCCCGGTGTGCTTTTAGTCAAAAGATTAGGCCCTCATAGATTTATCACAATTGCGTTAGTCTGTTGGAGTTTAGTTACTATTTTCACCTGTTTTGTTAGAAGCTATGGTACGTTGGTTTTAACTCGTTTATTGCTTGGTTTATTCGAAGGAAGTGTTTTCCCATCGCAAAGTTTATACATTACAATGACTTATAAACGTCAAGAACAAGCTAAAAGATTAGGTTGGTTATATGTTTGTTCTTGTGCTTCTGGTGCATTTGGGGGGTTGATTGCCACTGGTATCACCAAGATTAAACCAAGAGGTGATTTCTTGAGTTGGAGTTGGTTATACGTTATTGAAGGTTGTATTTCATTATGTGCAGGGGTTTGGGTTTGGTTTGGTTTACCAGATGATCCAACAAAGGCTAAATTTTTAACTGAAGAAGAGAAACACATGATGAGTATAAGAGCTGAACAACAAAGACGTTATATGGGGAACCAAAAATTTGATAAGAAAGAAGTGATCAAAGCTTTTATTGATCCAAAAGTTGCCATTAGTTGCTTGATGCAATTTTCTGTTGATTTAGTCTTGTATGGATTCTCCACATTCTTACCATCAATTTTGAAATTACAATTAGGCTATGATACAATGGCTGCTCAATATTTATCAGTTCCTGTTTATGCTGTTGCTGCGATCTCTGTCGGTTCTGTTTCATTTATAAGTGATCGTTATAATATCAAATGGCCATTAATCTTAGGATTAAACACACTGGGTATGATTGGATACATTATTTTATTAACTTCGAAGAAAGGTGGTGTTAATTATTTTGCCACTTATTTGATTGCGTTCCCATTATATGGATCAGTTGGTTTGAGTATTACATGGTTGAATAATAATATGGCTCCTCATTATCGTCGAGCTACAGCTCTTGGATGTAATCAAACAATAGGGAACTTGGCTGGTGTTGTTGCAGGTCAAATCTACCGGAAGTCTCCTTATAAATTGGGAAACTCATTTTCATTAGGATGTTCAGTTATGGGGATGATTTGTAGTGTTGTTATGGTTAAATATTTGCATTATGAAAATTCCTCAAAGCAAAAGATCATGGATGGTGATAAAGTTGATAAGAAAGTTGAAAGAACAGGTTCAGATGCTTTAGATTTCAAGTATGTTTATTAATATTAATTTGACACAAAATATAGTTTGAGATGGGTATAACTGATTATGTAGTCCTGAACTCAAAGGTTACTTGTCCACACCATCAAGTGGTGTACCACCATTGTTCATTCCCAAAGAACCACCATGCCACCTCTTGGACAAGGACATCTCGTATAACGAGATGAGCAACAACACACTTCGAGAACAATGTAGCTTTCTTCTTCGATAGTGAACCATCACTTGATCAACAGACTATAGATATTGACACATTACTATATAGCCACCCATGCACTTCTAACCATTTCCACTTTAAGCTAACTTCCTCTTTGGGAGCCACCCGAGAGCTCCTGTCCTTCCGGGGCTCCCTGCGAATGACCTATTAGCCAATCACGGCGCTGGAAATTCTCAGATGCTGACATGCCCGGAGGTTCTGTGTGTTGGGCCTACCGGGAATCACCAGAACGGGACCGATGACCTTTTGGCCGCCTATGGATTTGTATGTAACAGAGAGTTGTGTTGATGAATGAAAAACTCGATCATACACATATTTTCTTCATCTTATTGTATCTTTTTCCTACGTATTCCCCTTAAATATTCTAAACACATTATACACAAAATGAACACATTGAGAAGATCAGTGCTTTCACTTCCAAGATCATGGACTGCTGCCACTAGAGGTTTAGCCACAACTACAGAAAAACCAGCTTTGTTGAAGAGTTTTAAAATTTATAGATGGTCTCCAGATAAACCACAAGAAAAACCAACATTACAAGAATATCAAGTTGATTTAAACGATTGTGGTCCTATGATTTTAGATGCTTTAATCAAGATCAAAAATGAACAAGATGCTACTTTAACTTTCAGAAGATCATGCAGAGAAGGTATTTGTGGGTCATGTGCTATGAACATTGGTGGTAGAAATACTTTAGCATGTTTATGTAGAATTGATAGAGATGTTAAAAAGGAAACCAAAATCTATCCATTACCTCATATGTTTGTTGTTAGAGATTTAGTTCCAGATTTAACTCATTTCTATAAACAATATAAATCAATTCAACCATATTTACAAAGAGATTCACTTCCAGAAGATGGTAAAGAAAATTTGCAAAGTATTGAAGATAGAAAGAAATTGGATGGTTTATATGAATGTATTTTATGTGCTTGTTGTTCAACTTCTTGTCCTTCATACTGGTGGAATCAACAAGAATATTTAGGTCCTGCTGTTTTAATGCAAGCTTATAGATGGTTGATTGATTCAAGAGATCAAGCTAGTAAAGTTAGAAGAGAAATGTTGGAAAACTCAATGTCCATGTACAGATGTCATACCATTATGAACTGTACAAGAACATGTCCAAAAGGTTTGAATCCAGGTAGAGCTATTGCTGAAGTTAAAAAATCTTTAGCTTTTGCTTAAATTCGAAGTTGAAGAAAATTTATAACGGGTTGTTGCATTTTTAATATCATTTTATTTTTATATTTATCTTGAGTGGGAGATTGAAAGATTGAAAAAGAAAAGGTTGAGCCTTTTGAACATACTATTTATACTATAATACTATTCTTATGAAGGCTTTAAAGCTCAAAGGAACAAATATAAGAAGACAAGATTGAACATATCAATATTGTATAGGGAAAAAAGAAAACAAATATGAAAAAAAAATTAAGAAATTAAGAGATGTGTAGTTTCGTATTGATCATTTTAATTGTTGCGCTGTGCCAATTAATTTCTGACAATTTTGAAAGGTTCTTTAAATTCAAACCAAACTAGTTCAGAAACTAAGAGCCAAAATAAAGGTCAAACATGATCAGTGAAGCCCAATATAATGAACAATTACCTAGACTATTGAGTCGCATGGCGAAACTGTCAGCTATCAAATCAATCCAACAATCAACAACATCCTTTTCAAGCAAAGATCTAATCAAGGGAACTTCATCACCATCAAACGTTAATACACCAGGTCATATCCAATTCATGATCCGTTACAACAACAATTATGCATTGCCAATCCTCTACTTCAAATACTTTAAGCCACAATACATTATCCAAGATGATATGGAGATTGAAACATCAACATCAATCAACAAACTTGAAGAAATCCAGTCTTTTTTACAAATACCTTCGGAATTTCCAATAAGTTTAGGACAATGTGAAGATGAGACTTGGTGGTTTATACATCCTTGTAATACTAGTGATTTCCTACAAAATAGTGAAGAACAAGATTATTTGAACAATTGGTTTAGTGTTTATGGTGGGATACTGTTTAATGTTAAAGTTGATGAGTTTTATTGAGTTAGGCTGGGTGCGTGCTGGAATTTACGTGAAGGTGAGCTCTGCTAGGCTCGGAACAATTGAGAATCTAGGCAGAGTGGGCTCAACATCCCTGTGTATATCTGAGAACACAGTGATCTAAAAAGTTTAGGAGATAGGAATGCTTTGATCAAAAACAAACACAAGAGAACAATTGAACATTGTGACACAATTGATCAGAGTTGAAACAAACAAGGGTACAATGTCTTCATTTTCATCAATAAGATCACAGGCTGTTTCATTAGAAAATCAAACAAGCGCGCTCTTGTCTAGATATTCAAGTTTTGCTGTTTCATCAACAAGTAGTCCAACAGCCGAAGAGACCAAATTGGAAAAACAGATTGAAACGATATTGCATAAGGTGAGTTTGAATTAACATTGACATCGTAAAACAGTCATTTGCTAACAACCGTTAATCTAGAGAGATGAAATCCTAAACAACTTGACTAGAATCACGGAATCAGATTCTTCAATATCAACGGTTAAATTACAACAATTATCAAGACATAAAGAGATTCTACAAGAAAATTGGAAAAACTTTGGACAAATAAGAAGTTCAATATTACAAGAGCGTAATAAATTAAATTTATTATTCAATGTCAAATCAGATATCGAACAACATCAAAAAACAAATCAAATTGAAAATGAATTGGATTATATTCAAGATGAAAGTGTTCGTGCAAATAGATTGAATAATTTCGCAGACACTTTAATAAGTAGGGCTTATGAAACAAGAGAAAACTTGTTGAGCTCAAACTCTGTTATAAATAATGCATCAAGTAGAATTGGGAATAGTATGAGTTCAATTCCAGGTTTAAATGTTGTCATTTCCAAGATTAATACAAGAAGAAAAAGAGATGCTTTGATTTTATCTACATTGATTAGTGCTTGTATATTGATTTTATTCTTTACAAGGTGAAGAGATGATGAAAGGATTTTAATGAATGATACATTTAATAGCATTGGTCAAGATTGTAAGAGTCATAAAAAGGTGTTAAGCCTTCTTTGCATAATGCCTTTCAATATTTTTCACATCTAAACATGAATAAACCATCCAATAGTATCACCATCCTTTTCCTGTTCCGTTTACAAATTTTCTCATTGAAGCTGTCGTTCCATTTCTTCAGCCGTTTTATTCTTTGTTCCTTCTCACCATACAGTTCAATTTTCCACTTCCACGGATCAATTAAAAGTCACTCATTTGCTGAAGGGCATTGAGCTTCAACGGCCCAATCGAGTATTCGTAGCCTTTCTCCTACTTCAGTCCGCCTAGATCTAAATTCGCTTATAAACTGATTGTTTTCTTCAAGTTTGTCTAGCTGTTTTTCTGGGGTGCGCTAAGCTTGAGATTTGGAGTAAAAAAATAAAAATGGCCCAGATCTTTGAAGGATTAGAAATTATTAGGTCTTTCAAGTTTTCATCATGAGTCATGGAGATTTGTATAAAAAGAGTTGGATTTGACTGAATATCAGTTCATTATGATTAGGTTAAACTACGTTGTGCAAGACCAGCGCTTCAAACAAAGGAAGAATTAGAAAAAAACTCTCAACTACAAAACAATCAACCTATAAAGAAATAATCTTATTGAATTAATATGTCTAATCATGATTTCGTGAAAACGTATAATTTTGTTGTTGTTGATGATTTTTGTTCAGATGTTGATATTAGGTTTGATTAATGGTTATTATAATATGAATATCTAATAAAAGGGTTAATGTTGTTTTTGAATAAATCTAAGCCATTTCATGAGCACCATTTTGTTTTGCTTGACGTTCCACATCAAAATCTGGCTTCATATCCTTCATTCTAAATGATCTAATATGGGCAGATCTTTCATGTAAACCAAAATCAGATTGATTTAATGGAGAATCATGACCTTGATAAATGAAGACATCATAAATGAATGCACCAAGTAAACACCCAATTAATGGAATAACTAATGGGACCCAGAAATAATAATTACCATAAGTGAACAATTCAGCACCATATCCACCAACAGAAGCAGCAGCTAATCTTGGGGCAAAATCTCTTGCTAAATTAATAGCATAACCGGTTTGGTAACCGAATGAAGAACCAATTCCATAAATCAAAAGGAATAAACCAAACGGAAATGAGTTACCTAATGGATTATTATAAGGATCAGTCATTGCAAAAATACCCATTTGTAATAATGCAGAGGAAACCAATTCAGATGCAACTTGACCTCTTGTATTCAAGAAATCTTGAGAAAAAGTACAGAAAACACCAGCACTTGCATGATCACCAGTAACTGTTCTAATATGTCTTCCACCTTCAAAATTATCAAAACTTTGAATATAAGTTCCATAAACTAACAAGGCACCAATATAACCACCTAAAACTTGACCAAGTACATAACCTGGTAATTTCCTCCATGGGAATTTTCTGAAAACAGCAGCAGATAAAGTGACACCAGGGTTTAAATGAGCACCAGAAATACCAGCAGACATTGTATAACCCAAAAACACAGCAGTGGCCCAAGAGAATGCAATAGTGGTATAATTACCAGATTCACCTTTTGATAATTTTGTTTGAGCAACAACACCATCACCAAACATCACTAAAACCATTGTTCCAATAAATTCAGCAAATGGTTCTCTAAAAGCATGTCTTATATGTTGCCATCTTGTATATAGATGAGGTTCTTGTCTTGATACATTTGTTGCTGCACGTTCTAATCCAGAAGTTGGAGCTATGTTATTTGGGTTAGTTAAATATTCTTGTTCTCTATTTTGAGATGATGATGATTCATAAGCTGTTGATGACCCTGGTATGGGTATTGTACCATCATGATTATAATTTTGATTGAATAAATTGTGCTCATCATAAACTGTATGATAATTTGGTTGATTATATGTTGCTATAGAAAGTTAGTCTCCATATTTAAAACCAAGTGGTTGAATATTAAAAGGAAAACATAATGTTCCAAAATGAAAGAAGAAGGGGGTATATGATGAAAATAACTCACTTGATTGAAAATAGGAAACAACAACTCTATTGAATCATAAAGATCTCAAAACAAAAGTTTTCCTTTCTATATAAAAGAAGTTCACTTACCAACTGGTCTTCCTGGAAGGTTTTCCTCCAAGAACTCAGAAGTTATATCATCTGAATGGAAAATTTCAGGTTTACTTCCAACAGACATTTGATCTTGTTGATGTGAGATATGATGTGTAATCAGTTGATGATCTTGAAGATTAACTGAGCAAATGTGTTTTTTTTTTCTCAAGGGTTTGTGAGATTATTTATACTGAAACTTGAGATGAATGATTGAAATGAATAATGATTATGTACCGAAATTAACAAGTCATCTTCTTTTTCTAAAAAGAAATCAAATTGTAAACTGTTTGCGTTGTTTTTAAGTACCCATTTTTTTTTTGCTTCCAACAACATCACCAGCGTGCTTGTAAAAAAAAATTTGTCTCTTGATGGCACCTTTTTGTTCATAACTCAATTCCCAAAATTTTGTCTTGTGCTAAAAAACATTTCGGACACACCGCATATGCGAGCTCGCGGGGTGTTGCGTTTGTCCACGTAACGGTTATTTGGGATTGGGCGGTAGGCTATTTACGAGACGACGATCAAAGACGTATGAGTCTGGGGAATTTGTGCGAGGGAAGACAAAGTGTTATTGATCGAACGATTCATTATAACAACACCTTTACAAAGAATGGAATATTGTGTATAAGGATTAGTTAAGATGTGGTTGGGGATGTTGCTAGGCTCCTTCGGATATTCATGAGATTGTTCCTGTCGTATTCAAGAGTATTTGTTCTCGGATTCCTTAAATTTGTTCTCCATGTTTTCCAGCTCACATCCAAGAAGTTTTGATATCTCAACTGTCAATCCCTTAAAATTTTCCTCATATGTAAACTCATTTGTCTCGATAAAGTAGTCATCTATAGATTTGCTGTATGTATCATTCTGGGGGAATTTCAATCGTTTGATTCGATACAGATGCGCTGTGCACACATGGGAATATCGTCTTATTCAACACAATCTACGGCATCTATGAGAAGACCAGAACGGACTTGATTAAAAGATCGGTGATTATTTAATCATTTGTTCTCTTTAAACACAAACCAACCAATTGTTTAACCTCTCCTCTATGGTCATTTAAGTTAACCTTCTATTGTTCTCATAGGCTTGTACAAACGCCTGAGTTGAACAAATTCCTTCTAAATCCTTCAAGTTACAAAGCGGTGTGCAAATTACACTTTGAGAGACCCCTTGGACGTAATCATTTGAATCCCAGAACTTTCTTGGCCTGGAAATATGTGTAAAAAATATATAGCCTACTTTTGGTATATTTAACCCACAATTTGTTAATGGACTTCCAAGCCCATGATGAAAGTTGTTGATGATGGTGTTAATATTGTCTTGGATCCTCCAACATCAACACCAAGGATGATTGTATCCACTTCTATGATCAACTGTAAAGGGTATTGAAAAGATTCTAGCTGATAAAATGGTTGGGTTTTAGGTTCAATTTCAAGACAAATTGGACAATGTACGCCTAATTTGCGGATCAAACTTTTGGAAAAAACGAGGGAACAACATGAAACCAACAAAGCGTACCGTCAAAGCCTTGAAACAAACAATTGTCTTGTGAAAAAGGGGGGGCTATTGTAGTCTATGTCATGGTGCTGGTTTAGGTTTGTTTGTAGCTCCTTGTTAAACCTTGAGCAGAGATTCTTAAAAACTTTGAGATCTATGGGATCACTTTAGGAACTTGAGCCTCGGAGTCTTTGATTCATATCCTTATGAATATTAATTGTTATTACCGATTCATGGCTAGCTATAATTGTAGCAGTTTCATAATAATAATACAACTCCTAATAATAATATGGATTGTGCCGCCTTGGAAGTTGGAACTTGGGTGTACACAATTGGGAAGGCTCTTTTTTAACGCTGCCGCTTTGGGTTTAGCCTTTAACCCCATAGACTAAAATGTTGATGTCTTGAAAATACTTTGAAAATAATACAGTCTGAAGCGTGTACCTTGAATCAAAACTTGGGGTTGGGGGTGAAAATTTGTTCGACGCGGTTAATAATTGTGACTCTGTGATTAATCCTCCTTGGTGAACATATTTCCATGATCCTCGAGGGACTTGGGTATCAATTATACCTTGAATGAAGTAATATGTAGCAATATAACGAAGACACTTCATGAGTAATGAATATAATCTTTGATATTGTCCAGGATTTTACCCAAGTAGTCATCTTTTAAGAAATTCCCCACGATCTTACAGATTCATGTAAACCATCTTAAAATCAATTGAATCATCAAGGTAGTCATTTGAACGTCAAAATACTTTAACATAGAGTCTGTCCAACAAAACTTCAATAATATTTTAAACGCGTCAACAACATATGGATATGATCAGTTCATAATTTCTCATCCTGGTTCCGTAAATGAATGTGTACAGTAACCATTAGCCCAGGATATAATTGTACCCCATGAATTCCAACCAATTTCTTGTTGAATTGTTGATATCTATTGGTCTTGTCCAAATTGTCCAATAAAAATGTATGAAGGTGAAGCAGCATTTTTCTTCCAAATTGGAAATGTTAACCTATCGTATCGCACCCCTTTGGAAAATTGAAACGGTTTTTTCTTCACTTTCATCAACTGTAGAAATAACCACTAATTCTTTGGAGTGCATTTGTCGATTCGACTGTGGTTTTGTTGTACTTTTTTTGCCTTGGGGGAAGAATTCCAAAAAATTTTACTGCAGCAGTTAAGCCTGATTGGACAACGAAAAAACCACCAAAAGAATTAACCGCAAAAGACAAAACAATAGATTTTAGCCTGGACAAAGGTTGATTGTTCCCCAAAGCAGTGTATGGGTGTACTAGTTATGGGTTATTTAGCCTAACCCAACTTATTGTCTCCGAGCCTGGACTTCAAAGAGGTTCTGGCCACCAGGGACAGGCAGGTATTTGTTCAGTCCTTGTTACAGATGCTTGGGATGATTAGCCTGAGAAGAATTTGACAAATGCTGTTGGAGTGGTCATTATTGATGAGTAGACAGCCTTGAGATCAAGAGGAGAGTGTTGGAGTAATCCTCATGGGATGTTGTTTGTAGATGTTCTTTTTGTCGACTATTTGGCCAGTTGATCAAGAAATTTGAAAATTACCTTGTCCGGTTTCTCTTGTTGTTGTTCCGAGGGAGGCAGATCATGTCTATGGGGGATGCATACAAAGAGGAAGTTGTAGAGAAGAATTCGAGATTGATCGAGATGGGAGTATTTGACTCTGTAGCGTAGTTATTTGAGAGTGATTCACTGGCAATACAGATGGTTATTGCTCCTATACTCCCTGATAGCTATCCCCCTGTGCTATTCATAGAACCTCTCTCTAGCAGTTGCTCAGTTTTTCCGAAGCGCTTTTGTGACTGTGAAATTGGAGGTGAATCAGAGATCTACGCTCCAAAGAGAAATTCACAAAGGGCTGGCATGTACTGCCCCATAGTGCTTTGCAGAGATAACCACCTTTTCCGGGGAGTGTGCTGCACAGCGAGTCCACGCTGCTGCTTCTCATTGGCCAGTGCTGGGCCTGTAGGCTATTGCTCGCGATGCCTGTACAATTGCTCACCCACTACAAGATAGCTATTCCCTTGACTATTGTATTGTGTGTATTAAAGTGTATTACCACCAGTATCTATTATAACCTCTCTACCCGTCACTTCATAATGCCCCTAATTCTTCTCTATTTGTCTCGACATTTAGCCCTTTAATACACCCTACAAACGTTCAACTTGCTGCTCACTGTACGCGCGCTACTTTTTTTTTCTTCTCACAAAAAAAAAGTTTGTTTTTTTCGATCATCAACGAAAATGCGGGTTCTCCATAAAAACGCATTCGCTCAAACCATGATCAATGATTTCCCAATTGTCAGATATTTTATCACAGAGTGTATAAATATAGCTCACAATCCCTCATTCTTTCCATCCTTTTCCCTTTCTTTTCAAACAGTATCAATAACAACTGACAAACACAAATCATAACCAATAATGACCGACAAATCTACTCAACTTATTGCTTCAATAGATATCGGTACAACTTCTTCAAGAGCAATCCTCTTCAATAGAAAAGGTGAAGAAGTTGCAAAGCATCAAATTGAATATTCAACTACTGCAAACACAACTGAAGATGGTAAAACTCATATCTATACCGCTGAAGGTATAACAATCACTGCTTCTGAAGATTTGGAAATTGAATCAAATGATAACTCAAATGCTGGTCCTACTCTTAGATTCCCAAACCCAGGTTGGGTTGAAGTTAAACCTGCTCATGTCTTGGCTAATGGTGTTCAATGTCTTGCTGCTTGTGTTGTCACTATGGAGAGATTAAACAAAGAGAGAGCAGAAAAGGGTGAAGCTCCATATAGAATTACAAATATTGGTATTGCAAACATGAGAGAAACTACTATTTTATGGTCAAAGAAGACTGGTAAATCTATCAACTATGGTATCGTGTGGAATGATACTAGAACTGCTGATATCGTTAACAAGATGAAGTCTACAGTGGATGCTGCACATTTGGAAAAATTGAGACAAAGATCTGGTTTACCAATCTCAACTTATTTCAGTGCTGCTAAAATTAGATGGTTATTGGATAATGATGATGAAATTAAAAAACTATATGATCAAGGTGATGATTTAATGTTTGGTACTATTGATACATGGTTAATTTATAACTTGACCAAGGAAAATTCATATGTTTCAGATGTTACAAATGCTTCAAGAACAATGTTTATGAATATTGAAACTTTTGAATATGATGATGAATTATTTAAATTGTGGGATATTTCCCCTAAAAAAATTTCATTCCCTAAAATTGTCTCCTCTTCAGAATTTTACGGTTCTTTCACCGTTCCAAACTTGGCTAAATTGGGGTATCCAGGCGCTTTAAGTGAAGTTGCAATTTCAAAATTAAAACATATTGAAAATGTTCCAATTTCTGGTTGTTTAGGTGATCAATCTGCTTCATTAGTTGGTCAATTGGCTTTAAGAAAAGGTGCTGCTAAATGTACTTATGGTACTGGTTGTTTTCTTTTATACAATACTGGTGAAAAACATTTAATTTCAAAACATGGTGCATTGACAACTGTTGGATTTTGGTTCCCATCTTTAACCAAGGATGAAAATTTCCCTCATTATGCCCTTGAAGGTTCCATTGCAGTTGCTGGTTCAGTTGTTCAATGGTTGAGAGATAATTTGAGATTGATTGCAAAAGCTCAAGATATTGGTCCTTTAGCCTCTTTGGTGCCAAATTCTGGTGGTGTTGTTTTCGTTCCTGCATTTTCTGGTTTATTTGCTCCTTATTGGGATCCTGAAGCTAGAGGTACTATTTTAGGTTTGACTCAATACACTTCAGCTTCTCATATTGCAAGAGCCGCTTTAGAAGGTGTTTGTTATCAAGCTAGAGCCATCTTGAAAGCTATGGCTTCAGATGCTGGTGCTGCTGAGGATTTCTTGGATCAATCTGTTGGTACTTATGAACATGCTCCTTTATCCTTATTGGCTGTTGATGGTGGTATGTCCAAATCTGATGAAGTTATGCAAATTCAAGCTGATATCTTGGGTCCTTGTGTTACTGTTAGAAGATCTCCAAATAGTGAAGCTACTGCATTGGGTGCTGCCATTGCTGCTGGTGTTTCAAACCCAGATCCAAATAAAAGATTATGGACAGATTTAACTGATGTCGTTGAAGCTATTGGTGGTGAATCTGATGAATCTTTTGAATCTAAGAGTGAAGATAAAGATAGAAGAACTCATTGGCAACTATGGGAAAGAGCTATTGAAAGAGCTAAAGGTTGGATTCCAGGTAATTAGGGTTTGTTCCTTTTGGTTTCTTGATTAATGATTGATGAGATTCTTTTTTTATTTTGCTTAATGTACACTAGCTGTTTGGTTTTTTTCATTAGAGTGTGATGTTTAATATGCCTATATGTTTTTTCATTTAGGAAAACAATATTTATTTACAAGGGGTTTTTGGTTTTTTGACTTTTTTAATAATAATATTCACCCATCATAAGTTCATTGAAAGTTATATCCATATTTAATAGAGGATTCATGATGGTTTTTTATGATCTGATGATCTTCAATATTCAAAACAATTTGATTTTAATTTTAATACAAAAAGATATTCATGAATACGATAATTGTAGCGCTAGCTCTCTTCCTATCGGTACAATGATCTTAAAGATTTGAGAACGAGGAAGTAAGATCTTGGCTAAATGTATGTAGCGTAAGCTATTTTGTATCTAACTACACACCCTTGTATAACGTGTTTCAGGGTTCATAAAGTCATAACTGCTCCCACCAGTCTGAATCAAAGTACTCTTATTCATCCCTTTGACAATTGCTTCGCTGTATCATCCTGGCCTTGGTGTACAATGTCTTGAATTAACGATTTGGTGTATCTATCTAGTATTTTGACGTCTGCCAAAATTCTATGTTCTTATCAGTACATCCCAACACCTTTAGGGTTTTTGAAATTTCTAACAGTCACATTTTTCAAACCCACTCATTTTTTTCGAAACTCTTCGCGAAAAACTCAAAAATTCGCGACTTACCATGTTTTAAGTATGGTGCTTCCCATACCGAATATTTTTTTTTTCATAGAGGAGTTTCAAATAGGTGAAAAAAACTACATCTTCGATACTCTACGTTCTTGAAGCTGTTATCTATTCCCTTGATCAACATCTTTACAAAATGGCTCCAAAAGGTAAAAAAGTCGCTCCAGCCCCATTAGCTGGTTCAAAAGTCACCAAAGCTAAAGGTTCAAAAAACCCATTAGCTGAATCAAAACCAAAGAAATTTGGTATTGGTCAAAACATTCAACCAAAAAGAAACTTGTCAAGATTCGTTAAATGGCCAGAATATGTTAGATTACAAAGACAAAGAAAAGTCTTGTCTATGAGATTAAAAGTTCCTCCAGCTATTGCTCAATTCCAACATACTTTAGACAGAAACACTGCTGCTCAAGCTTTCAAATTATTCAACAAATACAGACCAGAAACTGCTGCTCAAAAGAAAGAAAGATTAACCAAAGAAGCTGCCGCCATTGCAGAAGGTAAATCTAAACAAGATGCTTCTCCAAAACCATTTGTTGTTAAATACGGTTTAAACCATGTTGTTTCTTTAATTGAAAACAAAAAAGCTAAATTAGTTTTAATTGCCAACGATGTTGACCCAATTGAATTAGTTATCTTTTTACCAGCTTTATGCAGAAAATTAGGAGTTCCATACGCTATTGTCAAAGGTAAAGCTAGATTAGGTACTTTAGTTCACTTAAAAACCGCTGCCGTTGCTGCTTTAACTGAAGTTAAACCAGAAGATGAAGCTTCATTAGCTACTTTAGTCTCAACTGTTACTGCTAACTTCAACGATAAATTTGAAGAAAACAGAAAACACTGGGGTGGTCACATCTTAGGTGCTAAATCTCAAGCTAAAGCTGCTAAAAGAGCTAGAGCTTCTGAAAAAGCTTAAGTTTGATTATTAAAACTGGTTGTAATTATATTTAAAAAAAGTTTTTTAATGGAAAGTTTAAGTTTTGAAATACTGATATTGATGAGTTGTAGAGTTTTTATCATTTTGAGATACCATATATCTGTTTATGATAGTTCATCTTTAGTTCATCTTCAGTTCATCTAGACTAGCATAAATGTATATCAGATCCAATGTCTGATTCGTAAAGCCCCTTTTTGGTAATTTACAGACTTTCTGAAACTTATTGTATTGGTTCACCTCATAAACTCATTACTCTTGATTTCACTATAAAACTACTTTGTCATATAAATTTTATTTGATCTGGTTATATAGATGTGTCTCTTAACAACTATTTTGTGGTAAGACCAACACTATGAAATTTCTATGTCAAAGTCGAACCATTTACAAATTACAAGATCCAGACATAAATTTTGACACAATATGCAGAGTGCTTTTATCTTTATGGGTTTAAATGTGATTTCGACTAGCTCAACTAAAACAGTTATACACGATTTCTAGTAGTTATGCTTAGTTTTTGATTCAATGTCACCCACAAATTCAGGGTAAATTTCGGCTGATTTTCCAGCCAATAAGACAATTCACTTTAAAAATTTCAAAATTTTGTTAGCAATAGGAAGAGTGAGAAAACCATTTAAACAACAACACGGTTCTTTGAGTAATTACCAACAAGATCAAACCAATTTTATAACAATGTCATTCTTCTCAGGTTTAATTGAAACTTTTGCCCCAACATTGGCTTTTGCTGACAACGACGTGAGTATGATTTACTTGATAAATTTTATTGATTCTCGAGATTGCTAACATCAATTAGGCTGAAACCGTTGTGGATAACTCAACTAGATCAACTAACGAATCTACACCATCAAGTACAACTATTGAAGGTAAAGATGAAAACAAAGAAGGTGATGCTAAACCGAATACTCCAGATGCTGACCTTTCAAAAGAAAAATCACAACAAGATGAACCAAAAGGTGAACCAAAACCTGCACAACAAGATGAAAAAGTAGAAGAAAAGAAAGAAGAAGAACCAAAGGAAGAAGAAGAAGAACCAAAGGAAGAAGAAGAAACCAAAGAAGAAGAACCAAAAGAAGAAGAACCAAAAGAAGAAGAATCATCCGAAGAATCATCTGAAGAAACTATTGAAGAATCCGAAGAAGGTGGTGACGATGAAGACGAAGATGATGAAGATGAAGATGAAGATGAAGACGAAGACGAAGAAGGTGGTGATCCATTAGATACATTAAGAGAAGAATGTGCTCAACATGAAAGCATTAAACCATATGTCCACCACTACCAAGAATGTGTTGAAAGAGTTACCAAAGAACAAGAAGAACCAGATTACGAAGACAAAGATTACAAAGAAGACTGTGTTGAAGAATTCTTCCATTTACAACATCATCTTAACGACTGTGTCGCTCCAAGATTATTCCACAAATTAAAGTAATCATTCAATGTCCAATGACCTAATAATAATGAATTTTAAGAGTTTAAAAAAAAGCGTTTTACAGAAATTTTATTTGTTTGAGTTGACCAGTTCAACTCTGTGTACCATTATTTATTTACTAGATGTTATAAAAGATCAAATTAAATATTATAGCATATCACAATTGTCCAATATCCTGGTTAGCTAGGTTAATCATTTTGTTGGGCTTTATTCGGGTATTTTTTTTTCTTCTCACGATGCTTTCTCAAAAAAAAAGATTGTTTCTAGATATTCATTCAGTGATTGATTACAATACAAAACATACATATATTGAAATATAACAATAACAGGCATTATAAAGAGAGATAATTTACCTTGTAGTTATTCTGATGCTTCCCGTATCATTATTGCTTTCGCGCTTTTCCGCGAATTCGATCAACAAACAAAAAATCTTGCGAAAAGGAAAAATGAAATGAGGAAAATCAGGTACCAAAAAATATTAACTTTCGAACCACAACAAATAACTAAAGTCATTGTTCAACACATTGAACTCATCATCAATTATCATCCACCTGGTTCTCACTACTAGTTATCACTGTGCCCCATAGAGCTGCTCATCAGACTGTTTAAATTCCACAATCAATAAGAAATCCTTTAAGGAAGCTGCTTTATCTGTCAAGATCTACAGCGGTATAACTTTCAAAGCCCTTCAAGTCTGTCAAGCATTGCTATCATAAACAAGAATAACTGAGTTGGTCTAAAAAATATCAGAATAGTTAAGAGGAGCCAGCTGAGATTTCAATTAAGACTTATCAAGTGTGAATGGAGAACCTCTACATCATGAAGAAGTTGAACAGGTCAAATTCATCTCCTGTATCAAATACACCTGGCTCACACAAATCAGAGCTTCCAACAAGAGAGCAGGTGCATAGAAGCACAAGTTATTCATCCAAAGTTACAGAAGCTTTAAACAAAACTAATTCCCATACAAGATCTCCAAACAGCACAATAATAAATAGTCGTTCTCCAAATCTCTCATCAAATAACCAAAGAATACCGGTATTGGATTCATCATATTCACCAGCTAGAACACCATCTGGTTCATCAAGATTATCAAAACCAAGAAGTTCCAGTGGTACAAGTACGAAGCTTCCTCAGCCTGCTCATTATGCAACACAGGAGAGATCGTATTTGAGGAAAATCAAAAATGATATAGTTGATGATTATTACACCAAAGAAATCACATCAGAAGCAACAGATAGTGAAGTTGATAGTGAAGAGGAAGATGAGGAATTGGAGGAAGATTCTAAAGAATATCAAAATGGAATTATGCCTGACGAAACTAGTTTGGAAATAGATCCTTATAAATCATTTGATTCTTCTGTATTAGAACAAGGAAAGGAAAATCCAATGGTTTTAGAAAGATTAGAATGGCAGACAATGTTGAGTCTTGTCTTGAATGGTGATGTTGTCAGATCAGAAAAAAGAAGAATTATAACACAAAATGACTTTTCTTTGCAAACTACTTATAAAGAAAACCTCTGGTTGGGTATAAGAGCTTATGTTTTTGGTAGAACCGAAGAACAACAAAGAAAAATAATACATTATGCAAGAACATTAGCAGATGCTGTTTTCACTGATGTCATGAACTTCAAAGTTCAGGACCAAGAACATGCTTTATATGAAGTTTCAGAGTTGCTAAAAAGGTATGATAATGTTAAAGAACAATGGAGGGATCAAAAGGAAATGGCTATTGAAAAGCCGGTATGTGCTACTGAAGGTTTCCAAAAAAAGATTGAAAGTTTAATTTCTTGGAAAAATATAACCAAAGCATTTAATAGAGAAATTGCAGTCTTGAGAGAATGGACTCAAAGCCCCAATTTAGATCTTACTGAAATAAGGAATGACGGCTTCACTAATACTTCTTTTGCTGACACAATGTTGAAAGAGAAAGACATTGCTTCAATTTTTGAGAAAAGGTTGTTTAAACCTCATGTTCCTTGGGTGAATAAGGCAAAGTTATCATACTTATCTTACAAGGACCAATTTGAAGAGATGGAGCTACCAGGTTTCATTCCTCAGTTGTCGCAAATTTGCATGTTCCCAATGAGGCTTATACAGGAAACACTAAGAATTCGTTTGTCTTATGCCAGAAAGATCACAAATCCAACAATGATGATGATTGATGAGATGATTGATGATTTTTCCTCATATATTGAGCTAGCTGTTGAGTTGAAACGTGCATTTCTAGATTATAGAAAAGGATGGGAAATTGATCCAACATTACCTGACAATTATGACGCCACTGTATTGGAGTCAATCCAATACTTGTTCCTATTATTGCACAGAAAGTTATTAGACGGTTCAAGAAAAGGTTTCAGAACTTATAAGGAACCTGATGAATTGGAACATTTCTGGAACCTTCTAAAGAATGTTGGTTATTTTGTTGATAATGCTAGTCCTGAAATTGCATTCCAATTTTCTTCATTGACCACAAGATTAATAACTAGATTAATTTCATTTATTTTGACTCAAGCTAAAGATTTGGAAAACATTTATGATAACAATGAAATCACAAATTGGTGTGCTAATGGATTAGATAATTTCGGTACAGTAAGAAGAAAATTGAGCAAGTTGTCAACAGTCATAAGAAGAGCACTAAATAATTCTGCATTCTTCACTTTGAATAGAGTTAAACCATTCTTAGAACTGCTGAAAAATTCAGGTCATTTCTTAATTCAAACAGGAAGTTCAACTGGTGTTTATTTCTTAGCTTCGAACAACCTTTATGGAAGAGAAAATGACATTATCAAAACTTTAAAAGGTCTAGAAATTGGTACAGACCCTCATTGCCCTGATAATGGAATGATTGAAATTGATCAATATGAAGAGGAAAGAGATATTGGCTATATCGTTGCTATTAGTGCCTTTAGACCAATGTTGTGGGAAGGTTCTATAATGGAAATCAATGTTCCAGATATTTACGTTGACATCAAACCAGGTGAAGCTTTATTAATAACTCAAGGCTCTTCTGCAAGTTTAAGGCATACAAAAGCTATCTTTACTGATATTGTTGATGACAATGTTAGCTTTGTGGAATTCAGATCAAGTTTGCCAAAAGTTCAAAAAGAGTTACAAAAAATCGAAAGATTGTTTTACAGAATGACCATAACAATAATTGATCAATTCAGCACTGTTAAATCCTTGATCCAAAGAACAAACAAAACACATGATTCAATCTACACGATATATGTCTTTATAAGAGATTTTTGCAAAGGTTATTTAAAATCTTCAGATGTGTCAAGAAAATCAATAATTATTATGAAAATGATTGACTTGAGTATTGATTGGGTTAGTTTTATTGTTGATGATTGTGTTCCTACTGATAAAAAGACATTTAGATGGTGTGTTTCTGCCTTAGAGTTTGCTATGGAGATTTCAAAAGGTTTCAACATCCTGGCCTTGAGTGAAGAGCAATTTAATAAATTAAAGGAAAAAGTTGCTGGCTGTATGTCATTATTGATTTCACATTTCGATATTATGGGTGCTAGATCAAGTGAAGCTGAAAAGAAATCTTTAAGCAGTGTTTTCAAACCAAGTAACCTACAGAATGATCAATTAATTTTACAAGCATTTAGTGAGCAGACCATGAGACAGATTGAAGAATTAGAAGCTCGTACTAGTAAAGAAATTGTTGGTAAAGTTTTGGATGATACTACTACTGAAAATCAATTTTTGACATTTTTGGCATCCTCATTTTCAAGTCTCTCAATCAGATGGCAAAAGAGAAAATTCATTGGTGGTGGTACTTTTGGTAGTGTCTATTCAGCTATCAATTTAGATACTGGTGGTGTTTTGGCTGTCAAAGAAATTAGATTCCAAGACACACAATCCATCAAACAGGTTGTTCCATCTATAAAGGAAGAAATGACTGTCTTAGAGATGTTGAATCATCCAAATATTGTTCAATACTATGGTGTTGAGGTTCATCGTGATAAGGTCAACATTTTCATGGAATTTTGTGAAGGTGGTTCTCTTGCTGGTTTATTAGAACATGGTCGTATTGAAGATGAAACTGTCATTCAAGTATATGCTTTACAGATGTTTGAAGGTCTGGCATACTTGCACGAAATGGGTATTGTTCATAGAGATATTAAACCTGAAAACATCTTGTTAGATCACAATGGTATCATCAAGTTTGTTGATTTCGGTGCTGCTAAAGTTATTGCTAAGAATTCAACCAAAAGAGCTGCAACAAGATTGAACAGTATGACAGGTACACCAATGTATATGTCACCAGAAGTTATAACTGGTAATAGTACAAGCAGATATGGTGCTGTTGATGTCTGGTCGCTAGGATGCTGTGTCTTGGAAATGGCTACAGGCCGTAGACCATGGGCAAACTTGGATAATGAATGGGCAATCATGTATCATATTGCTGCTGGACATTTACCTCAATTTCCAGCAAAAGATCAATTAAGTGATGCTGGTATGAAATTCCTGGTGAAGTGTTTACAGCAAGATCCAAATAAGAGACAAACAGCAGTTGAGCTATTGAATGACCCTTGGTTGGTTTCCATCAGAATTGAAGCTTTCGGTGATACTACAAGTGCAAGCACATCATCATCCGAACAATCTTCTGAATATGGTGGTTAATGGTAGCCATTTTGTAATATTATTTTAATAATCACATGTCCTCATGATATAGGTAATAGTATATACCATAATTTTAATGATTTAATATAATTTTGTTTAGTTTGTTTTTGTATCACCGCTAATGCCCGCAATAATTTGATTTTGTATGAATATTATGTAATCGATGAGCTCAAAATTTTTTTCCTTCTGCAAAGAAAAATAGTAAACGTTAAAACGATAACCTATCACTTCAATTAAGCTCAATAAAAGAGTTGATTATACTATAAACGATGGCTACCTTAATTCCTCCTCCTTCCAAAAAGCAAAAGCGTGAAGCTCAAAAACCAAGAGAAGTTGATCTTGTTCCAGCCGACCTCCCAAATGTGTTGATTAAATTCCAAGCCTCAGATACTGGTGAATCTGTTGGTGGTAGTATCAGAGTTCCAGGAAATATCTCAGAGCAACAATTAGAACAATTATTGAATCAGTTAATAGGAGAATCTGATGAACCGGTGCCGTATTCTTTCAGCTTGTTAAATGATGCTACAATAGGTGACCTAGTGGATATCAAAGATAATCTTTATTCATCAGTGTTAAAACCAGGTATAAAAACCACAGAAGATTTTATGACTTTGGTCTATACTCCAAGAGCTATCTTCAAAGTTAAACCAGTCACAAGATCCTCAGCATCTATTGCAGGTCATACCTCTACAATTTTATGTACACAATTTGCTCCACATACAAGTTCTAAGATGGTTACTGGTGCTGGTGACTCGACTGCTAGAATATGGGATTGTGAAACTCAGACGCCAAAACATACTTTAAAAGGTCATACAAACTGGGTTCTTTGTGTTGCATGGTCTCCAGATGGTGAAAAAATTGCAACTGGTAGTATGGATAATACTATTAGATTGTGGGACGAAAATGGGAACTCGTTAGGTGATGCATTAAGAGGTCATACAAAATGGATAACATCATTATCATGGGAACCATATCATCTTGTTAAACCAGGTGACAGTCCAAGATTAGCTTCAGGTTCTAAAGATGGTACTGTTAAAATATGGGATACTGCTAGAAGAGTCCCACTAATGACATTAAGTGGCCATAGTTCTTCAGTTTCATGTGTTAAATGGGGTGGTAGTGGTGTCATTTATTCAGCTTCACACGATAAAACTATTAAGGTTTGGGATGCTAAAGATGGTAAAGTTATCAACACATTGAAGTCACATGCTCATTGGGTTAATCATTTATCATTATCTACTGATTACGCTCTCAGAATGGGTCCTTTTGATCACACAGGTGTCAAACCAGCTAATCAAAAAGAAGGTATTCAAAAAGCCAAACAAAATTATGAAAAAGTTGCCAAAGTCAATGGTGTTATAGATGAAAGAGTTGTTACAGCAAGTGATGATTTTACAATGTATTTATGGGAGCCTCTCAAATCTACAAAACCAATTTGTCGTATGACAGGTCACCAGAAATTAGTTAACCATGTTGCATTTTCTCCAGATGGTAGAAATATTGTTTCTGCTTCATTTGATAATTCAATAAAACTATGGGATGGTAAAACTGGTAAGTTTGATTCCACCTTCAGGGGACACGTTGCCGCTGTTTATCAAACTGCTTGGTCATCTGACTGTAGGTTACTTGTCAGTTGTTCTAAAGATACTACTTTAAAAGTTTGGGATATCAGAACTAAAAAACTTTCAGTTGATTTACCAGGTCATCAAGATGAGGTTTTCTCAGTCGATTGGAGTGTTGATGGTAAGAGAGTTGCTAGTGGTGGTAAAGATAAACATGTCAGACTATGGACCCATTAGATAGAACGAACTAAAATGGTTTAAAATATTAAAAATGATGATTTTATTTGTAAAAATGCGTACAACTTTATAGTAGCTCGGAATTGGATTGAGTTCCGGAAATTTTTCAAGTTTTTTTTTTCATGTTCAAGACTTTGAAAAAGTGAACCATAATACGAAAGAACAGAAGAAAGTGATTAAGATTCCTTCAAAGTTGACCTATCATAATGTTTTCAGTTACTAGACAACAAATAAGGCTACACTCAACCTTTATAAGCAAAGCTACACAATCAAAGTTTCCAAGTTTGAGTGAGGTTACTGCTAAAGAAACTGGTTTCGCATCTGAACAACCACAATTTGGTCACAACAATACTTATAGTTTACAAAGATCCATCCATAATAAGCTTCCTATTTATACTGAATACAAACAAGGCCGTACTCCATATACTGAAATCAGAAAGATCCAAGGTGATATCATACAATTAAGAAATGATTTACAAGAAGCATTACCAGAAGTGAAGAAAGAGAATTTCAAAGTCGTGATGGAATCCAAAAAGATACTAATAAAGGGTAACTATAAAAGACAATTGCATTCAATGCTCAACGGTGTGTTTTAAGTTAAGATATATATAATAGCTGTCATGTAAATAAAGTTTATGAAATTAAAATTGAATAATATTAATAATGTACACACAACTTATAATCCTATCAATTGTTTGAGAAGCTCTTCTGACTCTTCAGAATTGACTTTAACTTTGGCATAAATGAACAAAAGATCTTGCTGGACAAATAAAGAGTTAAATAAAACGGAAAGAGGCTCCAAAGATTTTGATTTTATTATAACATCTAGTAATGAACGACCAAACTCAAGATTAAAAGATTTTATTATGCCAGTATTAAGACCAGCAAAACCCTTTATTGTGGATAATGGTAACCATTCATATTCTGGTACTTTTTTTAATGAATGTACATCTGGATTTGCAGATATCAAAAAGTCAAAATGGCTCCAAATGTTCTCCAATTCCAAAGGATCTTCTGTCTTGTCATAGCTAATATCAACACCAGGGATTGGGTTTAGCTCACCAAATAGTGTAACACCTGTCATGCAAGCAGGAACATCTATATGGACTGATATATTATCATATTTCATATCAAAATCTTGAGTTCTTAATATAATTCCATTCATTTCTTCCAATGCAAACCCACCTGGATAGTTTAATGATGAAGCTCTTAACCAAACCACAGAGATAGCAAACGAAACCAAGGTACTTGTAGCTATTATCAAAGTTATAATCTTGTAAATTAGTGATTTTGAAGCTCTTGATGTGATTACTGAAGCACCATTAGCACCAACTAGTGTGAAAACTGGAACGACATAAACAATGAATCTCCATTCTTTGTGTGGTTGTAATGATAAAATGCTCACATACAAAAATGATGAAATACCTAAAATTGTCAACGATTTTGTTGCTGTTGGATCATTAAACAACCCAAATCCTTGTAGAGCAAGAACAGTTGGGGGAAGGAAAATTAATAACAAATATTTGGTGAAGTACGCATAAATTGGTTCTGTTCCCCATAATTCACTTTTACCATCAATAACATTAAATATAAAGCTTTCCAATTCCGGGATTGTGAGCCTTTGCCAGAAGAAACTATCAATTGCACCACTTACAACTACACCAATGACACCACCAGCAATTGCTGATTTAACCAATGTGAATAATGAAACCTTCTTGAACAATAAACCAACAAATCCAATTGAAAGGGTTAAGGCGAGTAATTCGATTCTAAAGACAACAGTAGAGAACGCTAGAGTTGAAATTGCTTCAAAGTAATCACCAATAATAACTTTTGATAATGCATAGTTTGTCAATGGTAAGGCAATAAAGTTTGGTAAAGTTCTTGAAGAGTAAAATGTTATATGGAACTGTGAAACCAAAAAGATAATATACCAATAACCAACATAGAAGTAGTTTTGCTTGGTTTCCTTATCCTTCTTGTCTTCTTTCTCCAGTTGAAACAACAATGAGTCTTTCAAAGCGATTAAACCCAACGCATTAATCACACCCAGTGCACCACGAACTAATACTTGGACATCTAAATCAGTTATATCAGACTGAATCAACCATTGAACAGGTTTGATTATAAAAGCTAAAGCCAATGAGCCTACAAATGTTCTAGGAACAGCACCTGGGAACACCGTGTGGTCAAATTTTGAAATGTCGAACCCATAAGTTAAAAGATCATGAATTGCCTGGATGTTGAAGCTTTCTTCGACTTTTGTGAAAGGAGCATTGAACAGATGAATTGTGATTATCAGCACAAGGGCTGAATCTATAAATGATACCATCTTTGGGAGTGAACCAGTATAATTGAATTGTTTATGTCTGAAGGATGGAATTGAATTATATCCGAGATGATGATGGAAAAAAAATCATAGGCTTGATCTTTTTACAAGCTCATCTCCCATCAAATCCAGAACAAAAGAGCATATCAAGGGAAAATGAGTGACTTTGATGATATCCCTGACTTGGTAACTGGTGAAGAGGCTGACTTACAAGAAACTCTGGACAAAATCGAAGTTGATTCAAGCCTACGAAAGCAGAAAGTTCGCAACATTAATAAAGCATTAGAATCAACAACAAATAGAGATAGAAATCCTGATAGAAAAATCCCAATAACTATCATTACAGGCTATCTTGGCTCTGGGAAGTCAACTTTATTAGATCATATTGCTAAGAAAGGTGGCAAGAAACTTGCCGTGATATTGAATGAGTTTGGGGATTCAAGTGAAATTGAGAAAAGTTTGACAGTAACAAGTGGTGACAAGACATATGAAGATTGGTTAGATTTAGGTAATGGGTGTCTATGCTGCTCTGTCAAGGATATAGGTGTCAAGGCTATTGAAGATTTGATTGAGAGAAGCGCAGATAATATAGACTACATTTTGTTGGAAACATCTGGGATTGCAGATCCAGCACCAATAGCAAGAATGTTTTGGTTAGATGATGGATTGAAAAGTAATGTTTACATAGATGGTGTCGTCACGGTGTTGGACTCTGAACATATTGAAACTTGTCTAACTGATTTTGGGGGACATTGGCATAAAGAGAATGGACTAGAATTTAATGAAGAAGGTGTAACTACTGCACATTTACAAATAGCACTGGCTGATGTGATTCTTTTGAATAAAACTGATAAATTATCCAAGGATAAAGAACAACTGCTATCAAGGGTTAAAGAAATAAATTCAATTGCTCCTATTTTTGACACCAAGTTTGGTGATATTAATATTAACAAGATTTTGGACTTGCATGCGTTTGAACAAAACATAAAGTTAAATACAGAAGATAGAGGAAGCTTTCATGATTCAAGAATATCAACTATTTCATTTGACTTTGATTTGACAGCACCATCACAGTTTGAAAATCTAGATAAATTCCTTCAAAATGTGCTTTGGGAAAGCAAAGTTTTAGGAAAGGATGTTGAAGTGCATAGATCAAAAGGTGTCATCATTGATACTGAGAAAACTTATGTTTTACAAGGGGTAAGAGATACTTATGATCTGATTGAAAGTCCCAGCACAGAGCTAAAAAGGTCTAAATTGGTATTCATCGGTAAAAACCTTGTCAAGGATGATTTTTTGATAGATTTTGAAAATTTTACAGGAATCAAACCTAATTAAAATCAATACATATATCAAACTAGTAAGCGTGTGTAAAATAAATAAAATCATTGAAGAATATCTAGCGGTTTCAATCTTCAGAATCTTTCATTGAGGCATATTTTGGTTCTTTGAAAGTACGGAAAATTTTGACACCTCCATAAACAACAACTAATAAGAACAAGGCAACAAAGATAAATGTGACATTTTTACCACTTGATTCTGGATTTTGAATTTCAGAGTATGTTTCAATTTGATCATCAGTAATCATGTTATTTTTCTCACCAGAAGATTTGACGATTCTAACATCTTTTTCAGGTCTATCATTTTGACCAGTCTTGACTGTTTGAATTTTTTCCAAAATTAAGTCTAAACCTTCAACAACTTGACCAAAAACAACGTGTTTACCATCTAACCAACTAGTTATAGATGTTGTGATGAAAAATTGTGAACCATTAGAATCAGGACCGGCATTAGCCATAGATAATCTACCAATTTTACAATGAGTTAACTTGAAATTCTCATCTTCAAACTTCTTACCATAAATGGAATAACCACCAATACCTGAACCGAACTCAAAATCACCACCTTGGATCATGAAGTCTTTTATAATTCTATGGAAAATGGTATTGTTATATCCTCTATTCTTTTCGCCCATTTTGGTGGCTAATTCAAAGAAATTCTCAACAGTTCTTGGAACAACTGATCCAAATAAACCTATCTTGATCTGACCAATAGCTTCCTCGCCATGAGCAATATCAAAGTAAACATAGTGCGTTATTGGTGGATCTTGACTTTCAACTGGGGCACCAAACACGAAACTGAAAAACAGTAAAAAAAGACTTATTATCTGGAACTTTAGCATCTTATCAGCTGGAAAAGTATCAAAAAGAGCAGAAAGAGCAGTAAAAAGTCACCGTAGTGTATAAACTTTCCTTGTTCCTTTGTAAGATGAGATCAAATAAGATCAAATAAGATCAAAAATCATGAGGCGTACAATTTTGTTAAAATACGATCTGTTTGAAATTCGCGAACTTTCGCGAAAAGCATCGGAAATATGTGCCAACAAAATCTTGAAAAAAAATGTTAGCCGTATAATGTTTACCACATTTTCTTTGTCAGAATAACCAAATGACTGGCTCAAACTTTGAATTGTTGACATCGTTTGATGTTGAATATGCTCCTTCAACCATCAAGAAATGGAGATCCAAAAGAACTGGTCTTCAAGCGGTTTTGATCGACAAGGAATCACCTATAGTTAATGGGTTCTTTGCCGTTGCAACTGAAGTTGAAGATGATAGTGGTACACCTCATACTTTGGAACATTTAGTATTCATGGGTTCCAAGAAATATCCTTATAAAGGTCTACTTGATACTTTGGGTAACATTGCATTCTCTTCAACTAATGCTTGGACTGCTACAGATCAGACTGTTTACACTTTAACCACTGCTGGTTGGGAATGTTTTAAACTATTACTACCAATTTATCTTGATCATATCTTGAATCCAACTTTAACTGATGAAGCATGCTACACAGAGGTTTATCACGTTGATGGTGAAGGTAAGGAAAAAGGTGTTGTGTTTTCGGAAATGCAAGGTATTCAAAATCAACCTTGGTTTTTATCAGCTTTGAATTCATCAAGAGCTTTATATCATGAAAAATCCGGTTATTCTTCTGAAACTGGTGGTTTAATGGAAAACTTGAGAAAATTATCAAATGACACAATTAGAAAATTCCATCAATCATCGTACAGACCAAATAACTTGTGTATTATATTGAGTGGTACAGTTGAAGAAGATGAATTTTTGAAAACTTTGGATGAGTTTGATAGTGAACTTCCTGAATTAGGAAATGACAACTATAGACCATTTGTTGACTCAAAGTACCCAATTGTTCCTTTGGATAAAGAGGTTGTTAAGAATATTGAATTCCCAGATAAAGATGAATCTCATGGTGAATTGAGTATCAGTTGGGTTGGTCCTAAAAATGAAGAATATGAACAAGATCTTGCTATCACATTGTTATTAGAATATTTATCCGAGTCTCCAGTTGCCCTTTTGACCAAAAACCTTGTTGAGATTGATGATCCATTTGCAAGTGAAATTGAATACAACACAGACGATTATACTCGTATCATTCCATATATTAAATTGAATGATGTTCCAACTGAGAAATTAGAGCAAGCTAAAGACAAAGTTTTTCAATTATTAAAGGAGCATGCCACCATTGAGAACTTCGATCTTCCAAGAATTAAAGAGATTGTTGAAAACTCAAAACATAAATTAATCTTTGCAACAGAAAAATCTGAAGATATTTTAATTGACTACACTGTTACAAATTTCTTATACTCTGATGTTGAGTCTTTGACAAAAAACTTGAAAACTATGCATGATTATGAAACTATTTCTAAATGGACTATTGAACAATGGGTTGAACTTTTCCAAAAATATTTAATCAATAACCATGCTGCTGTTGTCATTGCTAAACCTTCAAAACAACTTTATAAGCAAGTCAAAGATGAAGGTAAAAAAATGATTGAAGATAGATTAGCTGATCTTGGTGATGAAGGCTTGAGAAAATTGAAAGGGAAATTAGATGAGGCACAAGCGAAAAATGACGCTCCTATCCCAGAAAATATTTTAAACAGTTTCCCAAAACCAGATCCATCTAAAATCAAATTCATCAAGACAACATCTGCTGCTATCGGATTGAACAAAGATTATGAAAATGATTTATCAAATGAAACCGTTTCAAGACTTGTTGAGGATACACCAAAAGATTTCCCATTATACATCAATGTTGAACAGTTCAAATCTCAATTTATTTCCATTGATATATTAATGTCTTCTTTTGAGATTCCAGTTGAATTATTACCATATTTTGATTTATTTTCAGAATTATTTTCTCTTCCTTTAGAGATTGGTGGTGAAAGAATACCATATGAACAAGTTATCAAAGACCTTCAAAATGATACTGTTGAGCATTCATTCTACACTGCTTACAATAATCAGTTTACAGAGTTTGTCAATGCTAAGATTCAAGTTAAAAAAGCCAATTATACGAAAGCTATTGATTGGTTTAAGAAAATTTTCTTCAACACTAAATTTGATGAAAATAGAATAAAAGTCACAGTTGATAAAATTTTAAACGGGTTACCTTCAACTAAGAGAAGTGGATTATCAATGTTGAGTTCAATCACATCAAGAAATTGTTTTACTGAAAGATCAATTAAACATTCCAAGGATTCATTATACACTGAGAATTTCTTTAGAAATTTATCTAAAAAACTAGAGGATGGTGGTTATAAAGAAATTGAACAAGATTTAGAAACCATTCGCTCCAAGTTATTCAAAACTAACAATTTCAGAATTGTTATAAGTGGTGACCTTTCAGATATTGAACACCCAATCAAGGCTTGGGAACATTTTATTGAAGGTCAAGATTTAGCTAATGATTCTCTTATTTCAGTTCCTCGCTCTTTTGATGTTCGTACAGAGTTGGGTGAATCACTATCCAAAAAGGTTAAAATCATTACAGCACCAGCTTCTGAATCCACATTTTTATTGGCCTCAACTAAAGCACCAACAGATTATCATAATGAAGATGCTGCTGCAATTTCACTTGCTGCATCTTATCTACAAGCTGTTGAAGGTCCATTCTGGAGAGGTATTAGAGGTACTGGTTTAGCCTACGGTGCCAATGTCTCTAGAAGTGTTGAAACTGGTCAATTATCATTTGATATTTATAGAGGTGCTGACGCTATTGGTGCCTTTAATGTTGCATCAAAAATTGTTAATGATTTGGCTAGTGGTGCTACAAAGTTGGATAAGACACTTGTTGAAGGTGCTGTTAGTAGTTTGGTTAATTCAATTGCTTCATCAGAATCTAATTATTATAATGCGGCTGCTTCTAAATATTTGGATAATGTTTTGAAAAAAAGAGGACCAGATTTCAACACCAAATTTATCAGAAAATTATCACAAATTACTGAAGATGATTTAATCAGAGTCTTGAACAAATATTATGTTCCATTGTTTGACTCTAAAACTTCAGTTATTTTTGTTTGTGCACATCCTTCAAAATCTGAGGAGTTGAATAAATTTTTCAGTGGCTTGGGATATGAAGTTTCAGTTGAAGAGGTTCCTTCAAGTAATAGTGAAGATGGAGATGAAGAAGGTAGTGAATTTGATTCAGAAGAATACACTGAAGAAAGTGGAAGTGACAGCGAAGAAGAAGAGACTGATTCTGATGATGAATAGACATTTATTTAGAGAAAATAATAGAATAGAGTGTCATTGAAATAATTGTGGTGATTGCAGCCATTGCGACATTGACTTGATTATTACTCAAAATATCAGATCCGGAAACTGTATGTAATTCATTTTTGGTATCGTTAACGTAGGTCTCATTGATTTTTGATCCACCCAAGGATTCCAAGATTAATCCGTCCTTCTTATCAATAACAGAAGCCTGTAAGAAAGCACCGAGCAATGAATCAATCGCTGATCCCAATAATCCAATAAAACTGAAATAAATCCACAATACAAACTTTTGTTCTGTGTAAGTCACCACTGAGACAGCACTTATCAATGAAGCACCTGCAAGACCACTCAAGAGCCCAGCGTTCGAAACACCTCCATTTGTGCCTGGTGGGACAGTTTTGAAGTTTGTTATCAAGAATGGGTCCGTCTTTGAAAGGATACCTAATTCGGAGGACCAAGTGTCAGCAATGACAGCAGCGTATTGAGAAACAACACCAGCCTTCAATATGTTTTGTATTTTTTCATCTTTGGTGAATATCGATATTAAAATAAGAATTGATGCAACAATTGAGTTGGCTAAGACTTGAATATGTGTTCTTTGTGTATGTGAAGTTGTTAAGCTGTTCTTATCTGCTGGAATCTTGGTCTTTTTGGATTTGATCTCATCTTTGAACTTGGTAGCTTTGGAAGAAGTCAGATAGAAAACAACAATTAGCACTAGGAAGAGGTTTGAAGGTGGCAATGAATGTATCACGCCTGTTATGAAAGCAGCAGCAATACCAGTGTTTGTTAATGACTTGTGAGCGTATGATCTGTAGACAATATAAGCCAAAGTCAATACTTTAAAAGCAATTGAGTAGACCGCAGTGGGTGACATCAAGTTCAATGAATAGGACATCTCAAGAAGGTTCTTTAAATTATATGTCGTTGTTTTTGTCGTTGGTGAAGATCTGCTTTTGCAATTTGAACAAGGTTCTTCAAATCGTCGCGCCGGCTTTACTCGCCCTACTGAACAACAACCCACATCAATATCACCAAACTCTAGTTTTTGCTGAAAATACAATTCAATATATAACAGATAACTATGTGACAAATTTTATTCTATAATTAATGTGAATATTTCGTATATATTTACAATTAATGTCGAAAAACTATTAATTAGCATAATTGGTGATCTCAAGATTTAAAATCTAATCTCAAATTTTTAAAGCATCAATTAAAACTTCAAAAATATTATTATTCAAAAAATTCAAAATTTTCCTATAAAATTGGTACCATATGAAAGAGAAAAATTCAGTGATGCTACACATAGGTTTTTAGGTATAGTTTACACCTAAAAAATAGGAAAAATTGCAAAAAAAAGGCAAAAAAAAGGATCTCCGCGACGGGGAATTGAACCCCGGTCTACCATGTACTGTCTGACGACAAACGGTGACTCTAGCCACTAAACTATCACGGATTTTTTTATGTTTTTTAGTTACTGGGTAACTAATGGGTAGAGTACAGCATCACGTGATAGTGGTTAGGACAACATTTTTGTTCAATTGTTTAGAATATCAAGGCGTAAACGGTAGGTATCTTCAAAACAAAATACTGGATACGAAAAGAGCTTAAAGGTGTTGAATCAATTACAAAAGCGTGTCAGTTACGCTGGAAATCTCAATCAATTGACCCACATCTCCAAAGACATCCCAACTCTTCTTCAAAATGGGTGGTAATATGAAAGGTCTTCAACAGTTCATTGCCGACTTAAGAACACTGAATGCTAAAGAGGAACAAGATAAACGTATCAAATCAGAGATAGTCAATATTCAAAAACAATTTAGCTCAGGGTCAAAGCTAACAGGCTATCAAAGAAAGAAATATATCTCAAAATTGATATACATATACCTGACTTCAAGTTGCAACACGTCAAATTTAGATTTCCAGTTTGGACATAACCAAATACTGGAATTATTATCTTCAAAAGTTTTTTCCGAGAAATTTATTGGCTATTTATCAATAAGCTTGCTTATAAGTAGTAATAATAAATCAGAGTCTGAAGCTGATTTTTTAAATTTGATAATAAACTCATTGAAGAATGATTTGAATTCCCATGATATAGAGGCTAATTTGTTAGCATTACAATGCATTGCAACTTTGGGAAATGAGACATGGGCAAACTTTTTAGCTGAAGATGTTTTCCAAATATTAAGATCCCCTACTTCATCACCATTATTGAAGAAAAGATCATCATTGGCTTTGTTGAAATTAGTTAAAGCTAGCCCAGAAGTGTTGGCTAGACACAATCCATGGATTCCAAGAATATTGGCTTTATGTGATGATTCAGATCTTGGTGTTGTTCTATCAGTGTTACCGTTAATCCAATTCATAGCCAAGGAAATTGATTTTGCGCAAGCTCAACAGATAATTCCAACATTGGCTAAAAAACTAAACTTGTTAATTATGGAATCAAATAATGTTCCTGATGATTATTTTTTCGGTGAAATTGCAAACCCATGGTTGATTGTTAGAATATGTGGGCTTTTGGAAACGTTGATACCAGATGTTCAACATTTGAATATCGACTTGAACACTCTAAGAACTTTAAGAGCTTGTGTTTCCAAAACCATTGAATTCACCACCAAAAAGACAAATGATCTTGCAGTTAGAAATGCACATAATTCTGTGTTATTCTCAGTGATTGGGCTAGCTAGTCATTTAGATCCTTCCCCTGAAGCATTGTCTTCATCCATTGATGCTATTACTAAATTGTTGGATTCTAATGAGACAAATACAAGGTATTTAGCATTAAACTCATTGATCGCCTTGTGTTCTCAAGGAGGTGCGCTTTCATTACAAACTTCAAGAAAACATTTACTGAAACTATTCCATTTATTAAGGGATCAAGATGTATCAATATGCAGAAAGAGTTTAGATTTGATTTATACATTAACTGATTCAGAATCCATTGAATTTGTTGTCGATGAATTATTGAAAACTTTGAAGGGTTCTGATCATGTTTTGAAATCAGAGATTGCTATAAAAGTTTCAGTGCTTAGTGAAAAATTTGCTAAAAACCCATTATGGTTTGTTACCACCATGCTTGAATTGATTGATCATGTTGGGTTAACATTGAATGAATCTATTTGGGAAAGAGTTGTTCAAATTGTGGTCAATAATGAAAATTTACACAAGTTCACATGTGCCGAATTGATGAGATATATAATGAAACCAAATTTTGCAGAACCAACGGTTAAAATTGCAGCTTATCTATTAGGAGAATTCGGTTATACAATTAAAGATGAATTCCCAATTCATCAACAGTTTGATATTTTATCCACTATTTATTTTTATGTCTCAAATTCAACTAGGGCAATGCTATTGACTACTTTTTTGAAATTTCAAAAAGTTGAGATTGAAGAGAAACAATTGAAATCAAAATTAATCAAATTTTTGAGAATTGAAATAAATTCAGTTGATTCTGAATTACAACAACGTGCAGTGGAATATTTGGCAATGATTCAAAAATTAAATTCAGAAAAGGGTAAAGTTTTATTCAATATTGTATTTGATGAATCCCCAGTTTTCAATTCTAGACAAAATCCATTACTACTGAGACTTGGTAATAGTACAGAATTAAACAAGAGTGCGTTAGTGAAGAGTACAGATAATTTGACTCAAAAATTAACCACAAAGGCCCCAAGTGATGATTTGATAGAGATGCCCGATGAAGAAGATTCTGAAGATGAAAAACCGGTCACCAACTTCAAAGATCCATTTAAACAAAATTCACCAGTCAAAAAATCAGCTGGAGCTCCATTAACACCTAATTGGGATAAAGGGTTTTATAGAATTTTTGAATTCAATCAAGGTGTTTTCTTTGAAAATTCATTAGTCAAGGTCATTTTAAGAATCAATAAAAACAACAACAAGAAGGATCTTTTATCATTTACATTAACGTTCACCAACAAATCCCCAAGACCCTTAAGTTCATTCATCACCACATTAACCGAATATAAAACAGTGAAACCAAATATAATTGTGAACTTGTTAGAATTACCAGATACAGATATTGACATTGATCATAAAACTAGTTCCATAATTGAAGTTTTGTTGAGATCTCCATTTTCAATGGAAGATATCCCAAATTTAAGAATTCAATTCAATTCAGGCGGTGGGTTTAATAACATCCGTTTAAAATTACCAATCTTTTTGACAAAATACATCACATCAACTGCATTACCATTCCCACAATTTTTACAACATTGGAAGCAAATTGATTCTTTGGGAGAAAGTGGTGAATCCATTAAGCAAATATATTCAGATAGAGCTGGTGATAAACAATGGTTATTAAGATTTGTTGAAAAATTAGGATTTGCTATAGTGGAACAGCAAAGTGAATTATTCATTTTCGGTGCTGGTATTTTACATACAAGTTCTAGTGGTAATTTTGGGACTTTAATGAAATTGAAATTGATTGATCAAGGAACTTTTGAAATTAGAATTAGAGCTACATCTCCAAATCTTGGTGAATTGATTGCAAATTCTATTGTTAGTTATTTTGAACATTCATGAAGGGGCATATATATATATAGATACAGATGTTTTAAATATTTATTTTATGAATTTTGATGTTTTATGCTTAATTTTTCAAAGGTCTTTGGCCAAAGATATCAGTACCTATTCTGACAAATGAAGAGCCTTGGTTAATAGCTTGCTTGAAATCAGAACTCATACCCATAGATAATTGTAAATTGATACTAAATTCTTGATCTAGTTCATCCTTCAATGTGGCCATAGTTTTAAAGTCTTGGTTTTCACCTTCGGAAATTGATTGTTCATAAGAACCTATTGTCATTAAACCTTGCAAATTCAAATTTTTTGCATCTTTTAATAGATATTGAACCACTTCTTTCAAAGTTTCTTTATCACTAACTGATAATCCTGATTTTTGTTCTTCACCAGATGCATTAATTTGTAAAAAGACATTGATAATTTCAGATCCTTCTCTTGTATCATTTAATTTTTTGGCTTTTTTCAATGTATCTATAGTCTCCACAGAGTATAAGTTTGGTATATTTGTTGATAAATCTTTACATTTATTAGTTTGTAACCCACCAATGAAGTGCCATTTGATATCTTTTGGTAACACTTTTGCTTTCCCTATTAGTTCTTGAACATAGTTTTCACCAAAATGGCGAACACCGTGATCATATAGTGCTTTGATATCACTAGCTGGTTTCAGTTTGGAAACGGCCACTAGTTCAACTTTGTGTGAAAGATTTGAAGGCCTTTTAGCTGCATATTCATTAACTTGCTGAAGTGCTTTTTCATAGTTTGAGATCAACTCTTGAGATCTCTCAGCCGTTGGTTCTTCTAAGGACATAATAGTGGTAACTCTTTTGAAAAGCGATGGATTTGTACTAAAGTTTCTTGTAAGTTGTTTAAGCATCAACTGTTTGCTTGATGATGTAGTTTATGACAAGTTTAGATCTTTTTAAGTGCTTCAACAGCTCACAGTTTCGTAGTTCTATTATCTCTTTTTTCCTATCTGGAAAATAATTTTTCTACTAAAATTTTCTCGAACAAAATGAAACCTGGGGCTCACAATAAAGAACAGGGCACAAAAAATGAATTGATGTCTAACTACTAGCTAACTTTCTGATGAATTCTGTAGCTCATCGCATCTTCAAAAGTGTCTCAATAATACGTCTTCGCCTATGTTCTACGGTTTTTGGTGAAGTTCTCGGTGACTGAACAGATGCGTATTGCTTTCGCAAAAAAAGAGCTTATCAATCGAGTTCCGTTACGTATGGATTGTGAGATTTCGTCATAGGAAGAGTGACAGCAATTGAAATAACAATAATTTCACCACTACAACCTTATTCATTTCAAGATCTCTACAAAATTGCGAATCATGAATTTTTCACCAAATTTCACTTATCCCCCAGACCCGCGAGACCCGAACGTAGACCTCAAAATATACGGCCTAGACTATGAGCCATCATAGTTAACACCGAGACTTGTCACAAAAATTCCAAGTCCTAGACCTCACTCCACAGCCAGTTTCCGTCGCTTAAAAAAAATTCGAGCAATCGATTTTGAATTTTGTGAAGCTTGAGGTGAAATTTGGCTTTGATTGAAACTTGTTTATAAAGAGCTCCAACTTTTTCCTTTTCTTTCTTTCTTTCAACTCAATTGATTCCCAAATTAAACAATATTCAACTTAGTCAATCATGCCGGGCAAGATTCTTAGTTCGAATGTTAAACCTTTGGGTGAATTGAACCCTGATTTCGTATTATCTGTCAAATACCTGGTGGATCAAACAGGTGTACCAATTGAAAACTCTGACCAAAAGTTTGCTAAATTGATCAAAACATTGAAAAGTGCTGGGTTTTATAGTCAAGTTAGACCTGGTGAAGATTCAACTTTATTATTATTCATCAAAGTTAGTGACGCTGTGCTTTTGAAAGCATTGAAGTCATTCCATCTAAAAGATTATTTATATGGTGTTAAAAACTCAATTGATGATGATGAACAAATTTTGGAACACTTATCAAGCGCTGAGAAATTACGTGCTGCTTACTCGTTAATTAGTGATCCTGTCTTTGAAGGTGGTGCTGGTATCACCCCAGGAGCTGGTGAATGGGCTTTTGTTGAAAAAATCATTCCATTGTATGATTATGAATTGACCAAGAGATTAATCACCGAATGGAGTAAAAAACCATTGATTGATGAAAATGACATTGCTACTATTAAAGACATTGCAGGTGAAAAAGTTGCATTGTATTTTGGATTCTTGAGATTCTATACCGTTTGGTTAGTTGTTCCTTCTGTTTTAGGTTTTGTTTCCTACTTGTTCTTTAGCAGATATTCAATTGTTTTCACTATTTTGAACTTGTTGTGGGCAATTGTCATGACCAATGCTTGGAAAAAGAAGGAAAATGTTTATGCTATTACTTGGAATACAAAAGATTCTTCTTTTATTGAAACTAAAAGAGGTGAATTTGTTGGTGAAACTGAAGAAATTGACACTGTTACTGGTATTAAGTCTCCAGCTTTCCCAAGTTGGAAGAGAACTTTGAGAGAATTGGCTTTTATTCCAGTCGCTATTGGTGCTGCTCTAGTTTTGGTTTCTTATCAATTTGGTTGTTTTTTCATTGAAATCTTTTTGAATGAAATTTATGATGGTCCTGGTAAACAATTCTTAAGTTTAGTTCCAACTGTCTTGATTGTTGGTTTTATTCCAATCTTGACTGCAGGTTACACCATTTTTGCTAACAAATTCTTGGCTTGGGAAAATCATGATACAAATACAAGTTATGAACGTTCATCTGTTCAAAAACAATTTATTTTGAACTTTTTAGCCTCTTATATGCCATTATTCATTACCAGTTTTGTTTATTTACCATTTGGTCATTTGGTTAACCCATACTTGTCATTTATCCAAACCCAAACCAGTAAATACAACATCTCAATCCAACAAAATAGATTTCAAATCAATAAGGATAGATTGAATCAACAATTTGCTTACTTTGCCGTTACTGCTCAAGTTGTTGGATTTTTCCTTGAAAATATTGTTCCAGTTGTTATCCGTAAAGTTACTGAACATTTCAGAAGTTCAAAGGAAAACAACTCTGCTGTTGCATTAACTGATTTACCTGAAGAGGCTCAATTCTTGTCTGAAGTTCGTAAACAAGTTGCATTACCACCATTCAATGTTAATGATGAATACAGAGAAATGGTTGTTCAATTTGGTTATTTGGCTATTTTTGGTCCAGTTTGGTCATTAGCTCCAATTGTTTCATTAGTTAACAACTGGATTGAATTTAGAGGTGATGCTTATAAATTGTTTAACGAAACTCAAAGACCAATTCCAGTCAAAGCTGATACAATTGCTCCATGGAACACCAACTTGAGATTTTTGACTTGGTTGGCTACTTTAGTTGCTCCAGCTATTACTGCATTGTTTAGACAATCTGACATTTTGGAAGAAAGTGAAGGAAGTTACTTGAAGAGTCCAGTTAGAATTCCAGCATGGACATTATTTGCTGTTATTTTATTTACTGAACATTTCTCAATTGCATTGAACTTTATTGTCGAAGCCGTTTACAACAAGATTGGTACCAAGACTGAAAGAAACTTCAAGAGTAATGTTTATAAAACTCGTCGTCAATATATTGATGGTTATCTCCAACAAACTCAATCAACTGGTGAATTGGAAAAAAGAAGTGTTTCTATTGACCCAACTGAACAACATTGGGAAAATTTCAGTGATGAAGAGGTTGTTAAACATGCTGGTATCATCCCAAGACAAGTTTTAGATGCTGTTGCCTTGAAGAAGGAAAAAGAAGAAGCTGAAAAGAAGGAAGCTGCTATTTTGGCTGAAAAGAAAAAGGCTGAAGCTGCTCAAGAAAAAGCTCATCAACAAGAAATTTCAAAAGCTAATGCTCAAGCCTCAAATAGTTCTTACCAAGCTTACTCTGAAAACGGAAACTCTAACTTACAATCTCGTTCCACTGCTGGTTCCAAAGCTATTCCAGAAACTGCTGCTAGTGCAATTAGTGGTGCCGGTTATGCTGCAGGTACCGTTGTTGGTGCTGTTGGTGCTTTGACTGGTTCTAATGGTGCTCAACATGATGCTACTGCTGAAACTCAATCCCGTTCTACTGCTCCATCTCAAACTGGTCAAGGTCAAGGTGTCGCTGCTAATGCCATTAGTGGTACAGGTTTTGCCGCAGGTGCCGTTGTTGGTGCTGTTACAGGTGCCACCGCTGCTTTAACTGGTGGTAAAGATGCCAATAATGCCCAATCTCGTTCTACTGCTCCTCAAACTTCTCAAGGTTATACTGCTGAATACAATACTCCAGGTACAAGTAAAGTCCCAGCTGATGTTCAACAAAAGAAGGTTGTTCCAGATGCTGCTACCAAACAATTTGCTTCTGACCCTCACACTTCTTCAACAGGACCTGCTGCTGGTGTTGGTGCTGCCGGTATTGCTGCTGAATCTCAAAAACCTTCAAATGAGTATGCTTCCTCTGAAACTTCTTCATCTCGTTCAAAATCATCAAGTGGAAAGAAGGGTGGATTCTTTTCTAAATTAACAAAGAAAGATGCCACCACTATTGGTAATGGTGCTAAGAATGATGCAACTAAATTTTCTAGTCAAGGTCAAGGTATTGTTTCTGATGTTAAAAAGGGTGATTACTCTAGCTCAAAGAAATTAGCTACTGATGCAAGTCAAAACCCTGATCAATACATTGGTAATACTAGAGATGCATTCAAACAAAGCAATGCTGGTAACTCTAACCCTTCATCTCAAGGTGATAAATCTGGCTCTTCTGGATATGGTTCAGCTGCTACTGGTGGTGCTGTTGGCGCTGGTGTTGCAGGTGCAGGTATTGCAGGTCATAGATCACACGGTGATGCTTCATCTCATCCAAATTCATCTGGTACTGCTACATCATCATCTGGTTACAATGATCCTTCCAAAACTTCTTCTCGTCAACCTCAAGTTTCTGGTGGTTCCTCAACTGGTTATGATGAGACTTCATCTCGTGGTGAAGTTGAACCACAATCTTCTTCTGTCAATCCTTATAATGCTGTTCCTAAAGATAGCCAATCCTCTCATGGTAAGGGAGCTACAGCTGCTGGTTTAGGAGCCGGCGCTGCAGGTGCTGGTGTTGCAAGCTCACATGGTTCTAATGATGCCTCCTCTGGTGTTTCTCCACAAAAGGAGGAAAAGAAGGGTGGTATTTTCTCTAGATTTTCCAAGAAAGATGCAACTACTATTGGTAAAGCTGCTAAATCTGATGCAACCAAATTTTCTGGACAAGCTAAAGATATTGCTTCTGATGTTAAAAAGGGTGATTACTCTAGTGCTAAAAAATTGGCTGCTGATGCAAAGGAAAACCCAGACAAGTATGTTGGAAATACTAGAGAGGCAATGAAGGAAACAAAATCTGGTGAAACTTCAGGTGCTACTGCTAATCAAGGTGCAAATTCAGGTTATGGTTCTTCTTCATCTAACGCTAATACTTCCAATGTTGGATCTTCTTCTGGTTATGATACTGGTACTGGTGCCGCAGCTGGAGCTGGTATTGCTGGAGCTGGTATTGCAGGTCATCATGCTTCTAAATCTGGTGATGCTACTGCTACTTCAGGTTCTTCATCTCATCCAAACTCATCTGGTAATACTACTGGATATAATGATCCTTCCACAACTTCTTCTCGTCAACCTCAAGTTTCTGCTGGTTCATCATCTGGTTATAAAGATCAAACTTCATCAAGAGGTGCTACTCAACCTGATTATGAAACTTCCTCATCTTCCGCTGCTCCTGTTTCTAGAGAAACTCAACCATCAAGTTCTTCATCTCATGGTTATGGTAAAGAAGCTACAGGTGCTGCTGCTGGATTAGGGGCAGGAGGTGTTGCAGGTGGTGGTGTTGCTTCCAATTCTAGTGGATCTACTGAACAATCTGGTACAAGTGAAAATAGAAAGAGTGGATTATTTTCAAGATTTTCTAAAAAAGATGCTTCATCAGTTGCTAAAGGTGCAAAGGAAGATGCTAGTAAATTTTCTGGTCAAGCTCAAGGTATTGCCTCTGATGTTAAAAAAGGTGATTATTCAAGTGCAAAGAAATTTGCTGCTGATGCTAAAGAGAACCCAGATAAATATGTTGGTAACACTAGATCCGCTTTCAATGAATCAAAATCTGGATCTTCAGCTGCTGGTACAAAAGATACAACCAATGCTGCAAGTCAAGTTCCTAGTGATTCTGGTCATACTTCTGGTCATGGTGTTGGTAAAGGAGCTGCTGTTGGTGCTGGTGCCGCAGGTGCAGGTGCTTATGCAGCTAGTAATTCTCATTCAGGTTCAACTCAACAACATCAATCATCTGGTAAATCAACTGGTGCATCAGGTTCAGGTTCAAGTTCAACTGGTGCAGCTGGTGCTACTCTTCCTCCACAATTGGCTTCTGATGGTTCAAATGGTTATCAATCTAAATCTACTAGTGGTGCTCATACCTCTTCTGGACATGAATCATCAACAGGTTATACAGGATCTAAACATGATGTTTTTGGTAATCAACCACCACAAGCTTTGAAGAATTCTGATGCTAAAGGTTATACATCTGCTCAACAAGCTGAACAAGAACCAAGTTCTGGTGGTCAATCTACTGGTGGTCAATCTACTAGTGGTCATGCTGGTACAGGTGCTGCTGCTGGTGCTGCCATTGGTGGAGCAGGTGTTGCAGCTCATTCTCAAGGGAAATCAAATGAAGCTCCATCATCCACCAAGAATGAACAAGGTATTCCACAAAATTTGTCAAATCCATTTACTGATGGTTCAGCTCCACAACAGCAACCAAATAATCCAAATGCTGATGATGTTTCAGGAGGTGAACAAAAGACATTAGATCCAAAATCTGCAGATCAAGTTAAAACAAGTTCAGGACCAGATCATCAAGCTCCAAAATCTTCAACTTCAAAACCATCAAAAGTTGCAGCTACTGAAGATTCTCATCCAACTTCGCTAGGTGTTGATAATCAAGATAAATCAAGTGGTAGTGGATATGGATTTGGTGGTATCGCAGCAGGATTAGCTGGTGCAGCTGGTGCTACAGGATTAGCTAGTAAAATTGGAGGAGGTGGTTCTAACCAAGAAACTAAAGAAGGTTCTATCCCAAGCGGTGGACAAAAAGTTAGTTCTAATTTATCAAAAGATGCAGCTGGTGAAGGATATTTAGAAACTGCAAAGGGATATGCTGAGAATGCTGGATCAACATTTAATGATTATGTTCAAGTTGCAGCTGATAAAGCTGATGAATATGCCAAAGGTAGTGATAATAAATATATTGGTCAAGGGAATGAATATGTTCAACAATTGGCTGAAAAATCTGATGAATATGCTAAACAACATGGTGAATCTAGTAAAAACAAGAGTGTTAGTGATTCAAAGAGTTCAGCAGGTGCAGCTGCCACTAAACCAAGTTCTGGTGGTAAACAAAGTGGTCAAGAGCTGAGTAATAAATCAAGTAAAGTTGGTGGTGCTGGTGCTAGTTCAGGTGCTGCTGGTGCTACAGGTGCTACAGGTGCTGCTACATCAGGTTCTACTTCAGGTGCTGCTGGCTCCACATCAGGTACTAGTGCCTCTGGTTCCTCAGCTGCTGCACAATTTGCCAACAAGAAATCTGGACAAGATGAACAAGAACAATCTGAATCCTTACCAAAGCATTTCCAACATGAAAATAAGAATCCATTTAGTGGTAAAACAGGACCAGTTCCAGGTACAGAGGATCAAGTTATTCCACATACTCAAACTTCGGATATCCCTAAAGCTGAACAAGGATATGGAGCTACACATGCTGCACATGGTCATACAGCATCTGCTCAACCTACAAAAGCTAGTGATTCATTACAACCTCCAAGGGCTAATGCTGGGTATGATACTGATTCCAATTCAAGTACTTCATCACCAAAGAAGCGTGGGTTATTATCAAAGATTAAACAAAAAGTTAAAGGTGAGAGTAGTGCACCAAGTTCTACACAGGGGACACCAAAGAAGACAAGTACTTAAGACAATCGTTATGTAACTTATGAAAGTGTATAAATATATTTTGATTTCGATTTTGTTTATTAATAACAGTAGAGGATGTCTATGTCTTTATTATATCAACTCTTGCCCTTTTCCAAATATCATGAAGGTATAAATCATTTTCAATCTTGGTTAAACTTGATAAATCTGGTTTCTTTATAGATAATTGAACAAAAGTTCCTAGAGAATTTTGCTTCATAAAATTTCCAGGATTAATAACCAATACATTTTTAACCACTCTTGCGAAAAATCTTAAATCTGATGGGATTATTAAAATATCTGGAATAACATCACCAAATTCAGTTAGACCTAAATATGGAACATCTAATTCACTTGTTGGTGAATATTCATCCTCGTCATCAACTCTTTTCACTTTTGTGGAACCTGGGAATGATGGATAAAATCTTCTTTGTTCAATGATATGATTTGAAATTCTATCAAATCTATTAATATTGTTTGGTTCACCTTTATTTATATCTTTTAAATCTTTAAAAATATCATTATTTGAAACCCCGATTAATGTTTCATTAATTTGGAAAATTGATGGATTAGGGAAAGGTTTGAAATTCTTGGTTAATTGATAAAATTTCCTATCAATTGAATCTTGTGGATATGCCGAATGTTTTGAAATTGAATCTTTTAAACTTGGTATTAAAATAATTTGAATCTTGTTATTAATTTTTTTCAAAATTGGTGAAATGATTAATTTGAAAACATCATCAAGAGATTTTGGTTGGGATTTCTGATTAGGGAAATTTAAATCACCTTTAATTATTGCAGGATGAGTTATATCAATAAAAGGACCAAACATTATAACAACATGTGGGTTGATTTCATTATTTAATTTCTCCACTAATGATTCCAATTGATCAAATTTTAAATCATTTGAATTTGTATAAGGACCCGAAGTTATAACAATTTTACAATCCTCTGAATTGGCCAATTCTTGAGCTGATGAAACCGGGGCACCTAATAAAGGTGGTGTCAAGATTTCATCAACTTTAAAATATTCACCACTTGCGTTTTTACCCTTTAATGCCACGATTTGACCAGGGAAAAATGAATAATTTGTTAAATTTGATAAATCTAATGGAACCCTTTTCCCAATCCCAATCATTCTTGAAGGTTCCAAACTTAAAGAGTGAGCATTTATTAATTCTATTGTTGGGTTTTCAGGGACAATTCTCCCCACGGCAATAGTTTCAGATTGGGAAATTATTGAAGGATTTGTGAAGACAGATGATGATAAATTATAATGAGATTGGATAATCTTGGTGAATGAATCGATTTGATCATCAAGGACATCAGCAGTTTCCAAGATTTTAGTTCTCATTGTACGGAATTGATATTTTTTATAATCAAAATTTGCAATTAGTTTAACATGGTTTTCTGAATCTTGAAGGCCTGATGAGATTTGTAAATTTGAATTTAAAGATTCAATGATTTTACCAGATTCCTGGGTTTTCAAAGGTGTTGGAGTGTTGATTGGTTCTATTGAATCATGAGCAGGTGTTTTGATGATTGGGGAGACTAATTTTCTTTTCTTAATACTTGGAGTTGTTGGTAAGAAATCAAATGAGTTATTAGCTAAATTGATTTTCCTATTTGATTTGATTGAACTGGGGACTGATTGGTTTTTCTTGACAAGATTTGATTGGATATATTTTTGTAAATTTTGTAGATTTTCTAAAGTGTAGTTTAAATCAATTCCATCATTTTTGGTAACTATGAATGATTCCCAATTTATATATAAATCCTCCACTGAAAAAGTGAAAATGTTGATGATTTCCTGACAGGATCTGATGAGTTCTGGGGAGTCTATAGAGGGTCCAAAGCGAGCGATGAGTTCCTCTTTGAGTGGCATTTTGATACTGATTTAATGTGATTTAATTTAATGGTTATTGAATTTGAAATTACGCGTTTTTGGATTGAAATTTTAACGTGTTTGTCAGGGCTTCGAACCGTGGGATTTAATACAAAATAGTAATAAGAAGAATGGGGATTATAGAGGAAAATGGCGATAAATGATGATTAAATTGGAAATAGATATAGACTATTAACTAGGTAATTATATAAATAAATCATTAATTATTTCATTTAAAAGTATTTCATTTATTCTTCATTTCTTCACTCAATTTCATTTGGTTTTGACACTTTTAAGGAGCAAAAAAACAAGAAAATTGGTGAAGAATAAGAGAAATTAAATAAGATCATTTAACCAGATTAAATTGAATCAAATTGAATTAAATCAAATTAATTAAGTTACATCTATTGAATCAATTTATTATCATTATGGTACGTCCCATTAATCACCTTCCATTCATTTCTCTAACATCTAAACTCAGAGTGGTGGTCATTATCCTTATCCAAAAGTGAGTATTATTATAACTTATATTGAATTAATTCTAACAGATTTATAGCATATCTGGACACCAACTGGTTAGTATTTAAAAGCTTTATTCCTTTTCCATTATATTAACTGATAAATAGGTGGCTGGTGGCACACACCAAAGAATTATAAATCCAATACTTTAAAGATTGGGAGTGTTGCAATTTTAATTAGTTTTGGTATATTCAAATGGGCCCATGATAGGGAATATGATCCAAGGTTTGAAGTTGGGGAGGATACGATGAAGAGATGGAATAATGCAGCTGCTAAGAGTTTGAAGTGAATCAGTGATTCATCTATTTATCCATTGGTTCATTGATCATTATTATTTATTTATTTATTTATTTATTCATTTATTTATTGATTGATTAATTCATCCATCTATTTATTATCTTATTATCTTATTATCTACATTTCTATACTTATAATGTCATGTATTACCCATAAATGATTCAATAATTTACTTTAATAATTTAATATAACTTGAATTACCTTCATCACCTGAATCACCAAGCACCAGATCTTTTCAATTGAACACCACAGGCAACGAATGGGATAGCAAAGCCTAAACCGAAAAAGGCGAAGTGTAAAACAGCAAATGGGATTCTTCTGTTGTGGACTTTGAAAGGTAAATTTGAGTAGACCCCTTCTTCGAAATGGGCACCGGCTGCTCTGGTGGTGGAGAATGCTCTCTTGGAGGCTTGTCTAGCTTGGGCTCTGACTAGGGATAGCATTATGAATATGGATTGGAATAATTTAATTTAATAGTTAATTAATGTTAATGTTAATGTTCTTTAATTTTATCAAATGATTTTTTCATCAAAAAATGGAGTGTTACCCTGATTTGCTATTCCTATTAAAAATGCGCTGATTGGAAGAAATTTGAAAGTGAAAAATGATGAAAACATTAAAAACATTAACAATTAAATTAACAACTGTTAACTAAATTAAATTAATTAAATAAATCATGATCAAACCAATCACAGGAACACTCAAGAGAAAAGTCGCTATTGACGTTGGTATCGGGTTCACTTTGGGTCTAGGCTTTGCCAGTTATTGGTGGTGGGGGTTCCACAAGGGCAAAGTTGAAAAGAGAGAAGCTTATTATGCTAAACTAGCTGCTCAAAAGCAACAGGAGTAATCAATTAAAATGACTTATATCAATTAAAACAAGCTATACTATCAAAAAATAAGTGGTGAAATTATATTCCTTATATCATATTTATACAATCATCAATGGATGTCTTTATGTTAATATAATAGTGGTGATATTATGCTATGGATTATTATAATATGAATTATTATAATGATAATAATAATCATCATAATCATCACCAGATTAGTAGTTACTCGAGTTGTCATTACAAGACATAATTGAATAGAAAGATAAAAAGAATAAGAATAATTCATTAATATAAAGATGATTAATTACAATAAAGAGAATTAAAATAGATACAATCAATTAATCAATAACTATCTAATTAACTATTAACCAATCATCACCTTCTATTCTATTCTATTCTATTATTTCTTTCTATTAATTATTCAATTCATCATTATTCCAATCGCGAAACCACTTTTAACAAACTCCATAAACCAAATAAAACCAATGAAACCATGTCTGAACCTCTAAACTCACTATTAAAATCACTAAACACCCATCCAAAATCACTAGTCATTGAAAAATCATTATCCACCGCCATCAACTTCATAACACCCTTCTCCAAATTAAAAGAATTGGCAAATATTCAAAATGTTTATTGGTTTAACGATCCATTAACTGTATCATCATCAAATTCAACAACTTTTCTAATAAAATCAAACTTATCAAATATCCCAATCCTTTCACAAAGAATCCATGAATTAATCAGCAATGACCCTACTCACAAAATAAATGTCATCACCACTCTAGATTATTTTAAATCTTTTAAACATGAATTAAATAAAATTGGCATATATGGTGAATTACAATCATTAACATCCTGGAATTTATACATTCATGATCCAACTTCAAACTCTATACAATTATACATTTCAGAATTGAATTCATTATACTTATACAAGACTCCTAATATCCCTTATAAATTAGCAAATTGGCTAAATGAATATTTAATCATAAATCCAAATTTACAAATTACTCATATCTTGTCAAAAGGTTTAAATTCATCAAAATTTACGTCAATTTTTAAAAACCTAAGAAATGATTATAAAAATTCATTATCCCCACTAGAGAAAAAGTTAGAATCAAGGATTGAAAAAGGGTTGTACGGTTCAAGTTCAAATAATAGTGGTAAACAAACTGATTTAATCGTATTGGAAAGAAACCTAGATTTCTTATCAGTCTTACTAAACCAATTGAGTTATTCAGGTTTGATTGATGAAGTTTATGATATTGATATAAATACAATAAAATTAGATTCAACTACTTATCTAGATTCTGAAAATGATTCAATTTACAATTCTCTCAAATTTATGAATTTTGGTATTGCTTGTGATTATTTAAACAATGAGGCTAAGTCATTACAATTACAATATGATGAATTAAACAATCTAAATGATTTATCTCATATTAAAAACTTTGTGGATAAATTAAATGAATTGGAATTATTGAAAAAACAAGTTTCAAATCATACAAAGATAAGTGAAGAAATCCTCAACAAATTACAAACAAGTGATGAATCTTCAAATTACAACACCTTGTTGGAATTTCAACAAGATATCCTATTTGCAAACTTATCTTATTCAAACATCATATCCAAAATTATTGAATTGATTAATTACCAGGAATACCAACTTTATGATATCCTAAGATTAATCTCAATAACTAGTATTGTCAATAACGGTCTAAGAGAACGTGACTACATCACATTAAACAATGAAATCTTGGAATCCTTTGGATTTAAATATTTCCAATTATTACAAAATTTAATCAAGATTGGGTTAATTACAATAAGAGGAGACCCCTCCATCATTAAAAACTTCAACAACCTAAACTCAAAATTGAAATTAACTTCTGACATTGATGACGATCCAAATAACCCATCAGAGCCAAGTTTTGCCTATAGAGGTTATATCCCACTAATTTCAAGAATTTTACAAAACTCTATCCATCCAAACAAAAGATCATCATGGTCCCACCTAGACCTAAACTCATTATTATTGGGGAAGACCATAGATGAAGAATTAACACAGGATAATATTGGATTAGGTGGGTTATTACAAAAAAATGATTCAATGGTTATTATTGTAATGATTGGTGGCCTAACTTATTCTGAATTGGCAACTATAAAATTCGTGGAAAGGCAGTTTAAAGAAAAATATGGGATAAACAAGAAGTTCATGGTGTTGACTGATTCTTTTATAAATGCTAAAGATTTATTTGATAGTAATTTATAAATAAAATGAAGTTATATTAGTTTATGTTTATGTATGGCGTGTCCCCAACCGATGAGCTTTTTGGGAGGGTAAATTTATAGATTTTTTTTTACCATCAAAAAAATATAAACCATTAAATTAACAAATTAAAGATCAAAGAATTAATTGAAGTAAGGCTCAATAATGCGTAACCTTGTGTCTTTAAACAGAGGCCGTATCACTCCAACATCCACCACTGCACCGGACTTGCCCGTGCAAAATGCATGTTTTGACCCGGTTAATGATTCAATTACAGTGGTACTAGGTCCAAATAAAGAATTTGGTAATGTTTTAGAAGTTCAACAATTTCAAAGAAATGGTCAAGTGCAAATCCTAGCTTCATTCCCATGTTCCGAGGGGGAATTGATCTCATTTGTGCATTTTGCTGATTCAAATCAATTGGTGTTCATAATATCAAATGGTGATATCATAACTGCAACTTATGATGGATTTAATGAAATTATTGATCCAGATCAAACCATTGTGGAGATTGTTGGGTCTATTGATTCGGGGTTACAAGCTGCCTCATGGTCTTCTGATGAGGAAACTTTGGTCCTTGTGACAAATTCTCACACTGTTATTTTGTTGAGTAGATTATTTGAACCAATTGCTGAATCAACTTTACAAGAATCTGATTCAAATTTATCAAATCATGTTGATGTTGGGTGGGGTTCCAAGGAGACTCAATTTAAAGGTAAGGGTGCTAAAGCCCTTGAGCGAGATTTGATTCAAAAATTGGATTTGGAAAGAGATGAGTTTAAAAAAGATCCAACAATGCCATTATATGTTGATAAAGGTGAATTGTCTCAATTTGATTCAAATTTAGCCGAGATCTCATGGAGATTTGATTGTGAATTCTTTGCAATCTCAACAATTGACAAGATTAATAATGTTGATAGAAGAATGATTAGAATTTTCACAAGAGATGGTGTATTACAAAATGTTTCTGAACCTGTTGATGGGCTGGAAAATCATTTATCTTGGGGGAATTTAATCTCTTCAATTCAAAGAAGGGAAGAATCTTTAGATTTAGTATTTTTCGAAAGAAATGGGTTGAGACATGGTGATTTTGATACAAGATTACAACTAAATTCTAAAATTGATAAAATCTTGTGGAATTCAACAAATGAAATCCTAGCTATATTATCAAATAATAAAATTTTCATATGGGTAACTAAAAATTATCATTGGTATTTGAAACAAGAAATTGATTCAATTGAAAATTTAAATTTCATTAAATGGCACCCGGAAAAACCTCAAACTTTGTTAGTTGGTACTGATTCCAAAATTGAAATTATTGATTTTGCCTATAAAACCACCATCGGTCCTTCAATAGTCCCATTAGATATCGGTATGAATATAGTGATTGATGGTATGACTGTTAATATCACTCCATTATCAATAGCAAATGTCCCACCTCCAATTTCTTATCGTGATTTTGATGTTGATGATAATGTATTGGATGTTGCAGTTAGTCGATCAAATGAACTTTTTGCAACTCTAACAAACAATAAAATTTACATTGCAAATCTTGATCTAGAGGCAATGCAAAATGGCCGTCATCCTGAAATTATCTCCACATTGTCAAAATTGGAATTTGCAACGTCTGATGAATTCCCAAGACAAATAGTAATGGCAAATGATGACCTTGTTGGTGTGTTACTAGATGGTGATAGTGGGATTTCAAGAATTATTCTAATTGATGTCTCAAATCCAAATGATCCATTTGTTAAATCAAGTATTGATAGTTCTTTGAAAATCGTTTTAATTAAAGCTCAAGCTGATTGGAATAATATAAGTTATGAAACTGTCGATGGTGGTGTTCATAAAATTATCAAAACTTACAATTCTGAATTACAAGATGATGATTTTTCAAGTGTTGAAATTACTAAATTCCCTCAATTATGTTATGATTATGAATTAACCACTATTAAACAAAATGATTCTGATGAATATGAATTTGAAAATAATTGGCAAGATGAACAGGAAAAAAATTCTTCAGTTGCATTTGGTATCTCGTCAAATGGTAAATTGTTTGCTAATGATGTTCAATTAGCTGGTGCAGTTACCTCTTTGAAAATCACTGAAGGTCACTTAATAATAACAACTGCTCAACATACCCTAAGATTTATCCATTTAAATACAACAAATTTCAAGCCTTTAATTGAATCAACAGATGCTACAAGTGATGAAAGAGTGCGTCAAATTGAAAGAGGTTCATTGTTGGCTAATGTTATTCCATCAAAATCTGCAGTGGTTTTGCAAGCTCCAAGAGGTAATTTGGAAACAATAAATCCAAGAATAATGATTTTACAAGGTGTTCGTAAAGATATTAAAGCCAAAAATTATAAAAATGCATTTATAACTTGTCGTACTCATAGAATTGATCTAGATATTTTACATGATTATGATCCTGATGCGTTTTTCCAAAATGTTGAATTGTTTATCAATCAAATTGAAAGAGTTGACTATTTGGATTTATTTGTTTCTTGTTTAAAAGAGGAGGATGTTGCAGCTACAAAATATAGAGAAACTTATTCAGATGAGGAGCTAGATGAACAAGTTATTGCAAATCAACAAAATCAAAACCAACAACAACAATACTTTCCAAAGAAAAAATGGATTGATCCAAAAGATTCAAAAATTAATAAAATTTGTGAAGCAATCTTGAAAGTGCTGTTAACTCCAACTCATAAAGATAAATATTTACAAACAATCATTACTGCCTTTGCTTGTGAAAAACCAGCCAATTTAACAGATGCATTATCATTAATTAGTAATTTTGAAAATAAAGAAGATGCTGAAAAAGCCACAATTCATTTATGCTTCTTACAAGATGTTAATGTGTTGTACAACACTGCATTAGGTCTTTATGATATCAAATTAACTTTAGCAATTGCTCAACATTCCCAAAAAGATCCAAAAGAATACTTGCCTTTCCTACAAAATTTACATTCTCAAACAGAATTACGTCGTAAATTTTTAATTGATACCCATTTGAAAAAATTTGAAAAAGCTATTCAACATCTTGCAGAGATTATTCAAAATGATGATCAAATCACTGAAGAATTTCAAAATTATGTTGTTGATCATGAATTATACAAGGTTGCATTGGGTATTTACAGATATGAACATGAAAAGCAAAATGCTATTTTGGATTTATATGCTAAAAATTTATATTCAAAACAAGAATATATTGAAGCTGGTATCACATATGAATTATTGGGTAAATTAGATGATGCTCTAGAAGCTTACATCTTGGGACAAAAATGGAGAGAAGCTTTAGCAATTACTGAAAGAGAGGAATTTAAAAGTCAAATGGAGGAAACTGCAGAAAGATTAGTTACAAGTTTAACTGAAAATCATAAATATTCCGATGCTGCCACTATTGAATTCAAATTCTTAAACCATATTGAAGAAGCTGTTAGATTATATTGTAAAGAATATTTTTATGAAGAAGCTATTTTGTTAGCTCAAAAGGAGAAGAGATCAGAATTGATTGAAGATATTGTTGATGTTTCACTAGGTGATGGGTTTGGTACAATTGCTGAATTGATTGCAGATTGTAAAGGTCAATTAACTTCACAATTGAAACGTTTAAGAGAATTGAGAACCAAGAAAGCTGAGGATCCATATGCATTTTTCGGTCAAATTGAAGACTCCGATGCAGCTGATAATGTTTCTGTTGCTCCTTCTGAAACTTCAACAAAAGAATCATTCTTTACAAGATATACCGGTAAGACTGGTGGTACTGCCAAAACAGGAGCTTCAAGAAGAACTGCAAAGAATAAAAGAAGAGAAGAACGTAAACGTGCTCGTGGTAAGAAAGGTACTATTTATGAGGAAGAGTATTTGGTACAATCTATTGGTAGATTAATTGAAAGATTGGATCAAACAAAACCTGAAGCTATTAGATTGATTGAAGGTTTATTGAGAAGGGGTAAAAGAGAACAAGCTTATCAAGTTCAAAAAAACTTTGTTGAATTAATTGAAGATTTAAGAGCAAACATTGTTGAAATCTATAACATTAGTGAAAAAGATCGTGAAAGAATTGATGAAAATGGTGAAGTTTATTATATTCCTGAAATACCTGTTCCTACGATAACGGACTTCCCAAAAAAGGCAACATTGGACTTTTAATATACCTGAATTGTGATTAACTTTTGTAGTTCTCAAAACACCACCACATCCTGATCATAGAATCCAACTCTTAGTTTCTGTTCATGGTCTAAAACAATGCTTTTAAATCCATGGATTGCAATTTTGGTGGCATCTGTAACTGCACTCTTCTTTGCCTTCATATATGCCATTGCTTTTGTTGGTAAATTATCAGCTCTTCCTTTCCCTATTGCTTCATGATATGTACCATCTTTTAATGTGATTCTAACAATGGCTTCAACTTGTAAACAATGACCCTCACGTTCACCATCGGTCTGTACCATGTATTCTGTGACTGAGAATTCCATCAATTCATTTGACCAACCATCAAACCCGAAAACATCATTGGCAATACTCAAAAGACGATGCAAGGGTATATCTGTGTTCAAATTTCTAGAGCGACCTTTCCTTCTAGAACTTAAAAACTGCTCAATTCTCACTTGTAAAGTTCCAATCTTTGCCACTGACCATGAAGATGCTGGTTTATCTCTAAAATCATTGTCATTAATCACATCCAAGAGATCAATGTCTGGGAAAAACACCGTTGTAGTCTCATTTTCTGTCATTATTTCAATAGAAATTCCACGCCATCAGAACCAATTAAACTACCACCCACAATTCCATCAATTTGTGCCCTTTAAAACCATTTAAAAGCTCTTTGAATTTTGACGTTTGTTTTGATTTTTTTTTGTATGGATCTTTTTCGCGGTAGAGCCAACACAATTTTATTTCTTCGACGATGGGAATTTTGACTTCTGGCATAAAAACATCAACAATTTGAATTGATTCTGGTATAGGCATTGGCTGGTGTCATTGTGAATCAAGAGAAAGAAGGTGATTGGTAAATATCTCCCAACAAGAATTTAGAGATCGATTACTAGAGTCAAAATGGAGATCATCTCTGGGCTGATCAATACTCCCAAATCTCAATCCGCTGAAGAGATTGTCCCAACTTTATGTGATAGACTGGCTCATGCTTCGTTAGCAAGTGACAAAAGAGCTGCAATATTGACCTTGAAAGGGTTCAGTCGAGAATACAGAGAGTTGGTTATTGCGAATGGTCTCCGTGGATTGATCAACACATTGAAAAAATTTACAATTGATACTGATTTGATCAAAGCATGTCTAGAGACACTATTGATTTTGTTTATCAGAGGTGAAGGTGATGATGATATGACTAGAAGCTGGATCTCTCAACAATCAAGAGTACAGAATGGGAAGTATCCATCTCCATTATTGATGAAGGAAGAATCAAATACAATCGATCAATTCTCACTATGGATAGCTGATGAAGTTACTCAAGAAGATGGAAACATTTCTCTTATCCTTTCACTCTTGGAAAATCCAGATTTTTATGTGAGAATGTACACTTTACAATTACTTGAAGCTCTTGTGTCAATGCGTCCATTAAGAGCCAAAGAAGCTATTTTGAATGCACCTCTAGGTATTCCATCATTGATTCAAGTCTTGGAAGATACACACGATCCTGTAAGGAATGAAGCAGTCTTATTACTGATGGCTATTGCTAATGATAACTTCAACATTCAAAAATTGATTGCTTTTGAAAATACTTTTGATAGATTATTTGAAATTATTCATGAAGAAGGTGATATCCGTGGTAGTATTGTTGTTCAAGATTGTTTATCATTAATTGCTAATTTATTGAAGTATAATGTTTCAAATCAAAAACTTTTCCTGGAAACCAATTGTCTTCCAAAGCTTGCATACCTCATCAGTGAACCATTAGCTGGTGAAGAAATAATATGGAACGATCAAAGATTACAAAATGTTATAATTGCCCTTGATATTGTGAAATTATTTGTTTTAGAAGGCAATGAATCAACAAAGCAGAACCAGGATATTTTATTCAATGCTGATATATTCTTCCATGTCTTGAGGTTATCCTTTTCCGAAGTGGCTCCAAACTCTTTACGTTCTATTGCATTATTGACAACAGCTGATTTGATTGACTCAAATGCAGATCTTCAACTCAAATTCAGCTCAATAGATGTCCCATATATTGATCCAAGTCTACCACAACAACTACAAAAACATAGCGGTGATGTTCCAGTTGTTACCGCATTGCTAAACTGGTGTCTATTTGTCAATTCAGTCCATCTGTTTGATATTAGAGTTGCTGCTTCACATTTACTCCATGCTTATTTCAAAGATAATAAGGAGGCTAAAACTGCATTTGTTCAAGACCAAATTATTGCTTATAACTCTACTAATGAAGATGAAATTTCAAGTGGCGACGGCGAACAAAAAGATCTTACACCAGTTCCTTCAAACCCAATTGAAAATCAAGTGAATGGAGAAGCCAACGGAGATGGGCACTTGAATCAAGTTGCAAAACCAAAACTAAAGCCAGCACCGATAGGTAATTTGTTTCAAGCTCTTTTAGAATATGATCCAGAAATTAGATTGAACCCTTACAAAATTTGGTTCTCATCAGTTTTATTGTTATACCTATTTGAAGACGATGAGGAAATTAAAGAAACTGTTAGAAAGATTACCACTGGTGATGAAGAGGCAGGTGAAGAAGTTTTAACATCTATTCAAGCCATGTCTGATGTCTTGGTAACTACCTTAACTTCACAAGATCCTAGAATTTCGATAGGGTACTTGATGGTGCTGATTGCTTGGCTGTATGAAGATTTTGATGCTGTAAATGATTTCTTAAGTGAAATTTCCACAGTGAAGGCGTTGATGTCCTATTTGAAACAACCTGCTGCTGATAGTGGTATTGTACAAGGTCTTATCGCTGTCCTGTTAGGTGTTTCATATGAATTTTCAAGTAAAAATTCACCTGTGAGCAGAATTGACTACCATTCCCTTATTGTCAAGATGATTGGCAAAGATAATTATTCACTCAAGGTTCGTCAATTCAAGGAAAATGAATATTTTGCAGAATTTTCAGGTGAGGCTATTTATAACCCTAAAAGGGATGAAACTGGTTTACCAGAGGTGTTTTTTGATCCAATTTTGGTGACTTTGGTGAAGGAAAATTTCAACAGAATCAAAAATACATTGAATAAAGATCCAAATCTTGAATCAAATGGTCGTATTTCTTATGAAAAATTTGAGGAGTTACAAGATACATATCATGGATTGAAAAATACCCACCAGGAATTGCAGACGACCTTCAAAAATACCAAAGAGGAATTGGAGGCTTCATTGGAAAAATCAGAAAAAGAGCTACGTGAAACAATTGAATCTTTTGATAAAACAAAGGAAGAATATAATGAGCTTCAAGGAAAGCATTCAACAATCACAGAAGAGGTTGAAAGAGTTACCAAAGAATTGACAGCATTGAAACAAAGTCATACAAAGTTGTCTGAGGCTTCTAACAAACAGCAAAAAGATCTTCAGGAATCAAGTGGACAATTGACAAGTAAGGATTCCCAAATCAGTCGCTTACAAGAGCAGTTACAACAAGTGACTAGTCAAAAACAAAAAGCTGAAGAAGGTATCAATAAGATGAGTAGAGAATTATTTTTGCTCTCAAAAGAGAAAGATGAAAGTCAAAGAAAAGTTCAACAGCTAGAAAAAGAGCTGCAGTCAAACTCTAAACAGGCTCAAAAACTCCAAGATAATTTGAACCAAAAATTGGAAGAAATTAAAAAGTTGAAGGCTCAATTAGACGCTGCTAATGCAAATTCAAGAACCATTACTGGCCAGAAAGCTCAAGTTGAAAAAGAATTATCAGAAGCAAAATCTCAGAATAACCAAAATTCATCCCTTGTGAACCAATTATCTGAAAAATTGAGAGGTTTGGCTAATACATACAATCAGTTGACATCAGAAAAAAACGAATTGGAAACAAGCGTGACAGAATTGAAGCAAACTACATCAACCGAAATCTCATCTCTGAAATCAAAACTTGAGGAGCTCACAGGAACCAACACTTCATTAAATGATGCTAAAGCTAAACTACAGGAGGAGTTGGAAAAATTTAAGAAAGAATTAGATGATGGTCAAGTCTTGTTGAAAGAATCAACTGATAATTTGAAGAAAGAGAATAATGACCTTCAAACAAGCCTTGATGACTTGAAAAAGGAGCTTATTGCGGTGAAGCAAGAGAACCAAGATTTGAAAAAAAGATTAGATGAGGTCCATGTTGAGCTTGAAAAGGCTAACTCAGACTTGATGGAGAAAGAAAAGGATCATAAAGAATACATATCAACAAAAGAGAAATCCTTTGGTGATGAAAAGTCTAAGCTGGAGCAAAAACTAGCCAGTTTGGTCAAAGGTCATTCTACTGAGTTGGGGTCATTACAAGAAAAGTTGCAAAAATTGGAATCATTGAAACAGTCACTTGACAAGGAGCTTACATCGCACAAAGAGAGCAGTTCAGTTTCTAAAGATGCATTGACCGCCAAAGAACAAGAGATCAAAGACTTGAAAGATTCTGTATTGAAATTAGAGAATGATATTAAGAGCGAGCAAGATGGTAAATCTCAAGTCGAGATGGAACTTGAAGCTGCTAAGAAAACTTCAGAGACTGAAAAGAAATCATTTCAAAGTAAAATTGAAGAGTTGAATAGAGCTAAATCAGACCTTGAGGTGGAGCTCGATGATCTTGCTGTGGAATATGAAGCTAAAGAGCATGACTTCAAGAAGGAAATCACTGCACTCAAGGAGAGAGTAGGATCTTTAGAAGAAGAGAAAAAGTCACTAGAGTCAACACTGGAGATGATCTCTCAAAACATTGAAAACAAGGCTAAAGAATTTGAGGTTTTGTCCAAAGAGTTTAAATCAAAGCAGTCTGAGTTTGAAAAAGCTTCTAAAGAGTTGAAAAGTGCATTAAGCGACAAATTGAACTTGGAGAAGACTAGTCAGGAACAAGTATTAAAGTTGAATGAATTGGAAAAGAAAGTTGAAGAGATAACCAAAGAATTAGAAGCAGAAAAATCAAAAGCTGAGAAGAAGTCTTCTTCAATAAAGTCACTAGAGAAGAAGCTTGAAAGTCAAAAATCAAGTCACAAAGACCAACTTGAAAAATTGGAGAAGGAAATATCAACATTGAAGAGCGATATGGAAAGTAAAATCCAGGATTTTGAGAAAGAGAGAAGCTTACTTTCTGCAAACTCAAATTCTTCCACTAAAGAATATTCAGAGAAGGTCACTAAACTGGAAGAAAAGATACAAGAAGCTGAAAAGGTTTCTTATGTGAAAATTGGTGTTTTAGAAAAAAAGAAAGTCAAATTGGAAGAATCAGTCTCTGAGCTCGAGTCTCAAGTGGAAACGCTAAGCTCTGAGAAGTCATCAAAAGATAAAAAGATCCAGGAACTAGAGAATAAGTTGAAGGGAATCACAGAAGAGAAATTAGCTTCTGAAAAAGCATTGAAAGAGACTCAAAAACAAGCAGAGAAAGTAACTTCATTGGTACAGAAAAATCAAGAGCTTGAGAAGGTTATAGATAAGCTGAAAACTGAAGAAACAGAGAAGGGTAAAGTATCTGAAGCTAAGAACAAGGAGTTTGATAAATTACAAGCCAGTCTCGCTCAAAAAACCAAAGAGCTGGAGAAGTTGAAAGTTGAACTGGACAATCAAAAGGCTGCTTCAGAGAAAGAAGTTACAACCTTCAAAGAGTCAAAAGACACACTTGAGAAAGAGCTTTTGGATTTGAAAAACTCAAAGAACGAAGTCTCGGATAAGCTAGAGGTTATGACTAAAAAGTCTCTGGAGAACGAGTCCATTTTCAAGAAGGAGAAAGAGGAACTGAAGAGCCAATTGGAAGAATCTAATCAAAAGATATCAGAATTGGGTAATGAAATCAAGCAATCCAAAGAGGATTCAGATGATAAATCGTCAAAGCAGCAAGATGAACTCAAGAAGTCATTAGAAGATATTGAGATATTGAAAAAAGAAAACAGTTCATTGAAGGAAGCAGCTTCTGATTCACAAGGTTCGAAAGAGTCATTGAAAAGAGTTGAAGCTGAAAATGAAAAATTAAAAAAAGAGCTTGAAGCTTTGAAATCCAAAACCGTTCCAAAATCTGATTTAGACGATTTAATGCTTGTTTTAGATGAAATGGATGAGGCAAAGAATAAATATAAATCCAAGGTCAAAGATTTGGGTGGTGATGTTTCGAGTGATGATGAAAGTGACGAGGAAGATGAAAGTGATGAAGAATAGAATTATTTGATAAATGAATGACACTGATCTCTATATGCTACAATTTAAAGTAAGAACAGATAATCGATTAAAATAACAACAGCATAAATATTTAACGTCGCACTCATATTCAGCTTCTAGCAGCTCTTGGATCTCTTATTCTGTGTATACGAACAAATCTCTCATCCAACTCAGCAATTTGACCAATATCTTGCGGTGTGATGAAAATGGTTTGTGAATTTTCCTTTGATAACTTATCAAGCATTAATCTCATACCAATTTTTCTATTGACTTGATCCATGAAAACATCAAATTCATCCAAACCTTTAATACGACTACGCATTGGTTTCCAAGTGGCCAACAACAATGAAATTTGTGAAAATGACTTTTCACCACCAGATAACGAATCAACATGTCTTGGTTTTTTATCATTTTTGGTACTGACATACATGGTTAATTTGTTCTTGTTGACATCAAAATCTAAATTACCAGTGAAATTTCTGAATTGAAGAGACTGTTTGAAATCCATATCAGCTTCCAAAAATGTAACACCTCTTGATTCTCTGAATGCTTTGAGTCTATCATTTAGAGATGAATGGTAGTATGTTTTATTGGCAACAGCATTATCAAATTGGGCTTTGGCTTCAGCATATTTTTCCCTTGCAGCAGCATCATCATTCACAATTTGCTCTGGAGTCTTTCCTAAATCTTCATTTGCCTTCTCGACCTGAGCAGTGACTTTTTCAATTGCATCTTGAACAGCTTCAACAGAATCTAAACGTATGGAGTCAGCTTCTTGCTTCTCACATGATTCTTCAGCTTGTAAAATATTCTCCTCTATATTCTTTTCCCATGCAGGTAAATTCTCTGTCATAGCTTGAGCTTCTTCAAGTCTTTTTTGCTTACTTTTTTCAAAATGTTGTAATTTGGTAATGTTTAATTCTTTCTCACTATCAAAATCCATGATTTTCTTTTGAATAGAATAAACTTCATCCTTTGCAGCTTTACTAGCAGCTTTGAGTTCTTCGTACTCATCACCCTTTTGTTTTAACTGCTCTTTCAATTTCAAGATTTCTTCTTGAAGTTCACCAGTCGTGGCACCATAAACCTTGATTTCGTCTTCAAATGAGGCTCTATCTTCTTTCAAACCTTCTAATTTACCAGAATCAGCATCATCATTAAGTTTCTGTTGGATGTTATAGATTCTTGACTTGATTCGTTTCTCTTCAATTTCCAAGTTTCTCTTCTTTGCTGTAAAATGAGCTCTTTCAGCATTGATATTTTGTGTAATTTGGTCTTTCTGGGCTTCAAGATCACGAAGTTGTGCTTGTTCCCCCTTCAATCTATTTTCCATAACTTGAGCATTTTGTGATCTGTCTTTTGGTCTTAGTTTTGGTAGTTGTGAACCGTCAATATACAGCGGATCAACTCTGAAGGCACCATTCCTATTTATACTTGAGACTTGACCTGTATATTTATCTTTCTTGGAAATGATCATCTGCACATTTGGGGTGTGACTTTCTAGAACACGCTGTGCTTCAACTCTATCTTCGATCAAAACAATGGATTCAATTTTTGCTGTATCAATCAAGGCAAACTTCACTGCTGGGTTACTGAATTCTAGTGTATCTAAAACTGTAGTATATCTTCTATCTGGAATACCAGATGAATAGTTGAATTCCTCTGGTTTTCTAAGCACAATGTTGGCACGAACATGGTGTTTACGGAAAATACTTTGTAGTTGTCTTTGATCACTAACGTTTTCCACAATGAATGAATTCAAATTAGGCCCAATTCTTGATTCAACCAATGAAGCCCAGTCTTCAAAACCTTGTTTCACTGACAAAAAAGTACCAACAGGCCCCAACACTGGACCATGAAAACGTCCCCTTTTCACATCATTTACTACCCTTTTGACTGGATCTTTATATGGTGCAAGTTCATCAACTTTAGAGCTTTTCGCATTTTTTATATAGCCTTGTAAATTCCGCATAACCTGATGTTTTTCATCTATTTGACTTTGAAGATCATTATATAGCTCCTTGTGGCTGTCAGCAGAAGCTAGATTTTCAGAAATTTGCTGCTTTTCACCTTCAATTTCATTCACTCTACCTTTAAGGTTCTCAAACTCATTTTCCAAAGCTTCTCTTGAACCACCATTTCTTTCTCTTATCTTATCTTCCTCTTTTCTTATATCTTTGTCTATATCAGCGATTCTCATCTTATTGTCACGAATCAATTTTTCAGTTTCTTTCATTTTACGAACAGTTGCCTCGACTTTATGACCAAACACATCTCTTTCTGATTTTTTAGATCCAGCACTAGCCAACGCATCGTTGTAAACCGTTTCAGCATGTTCCTTTTTGAATCTCAAATCCTCTTTACTGATATCAAAATTTGCAATCTTAGATTCATAGTCCTTGATGTATCTATCCAACTGTTCGATGGTGCTTTGTATTTCAAGTTGACTTTCTCTAACTTCGTTCACTATATCTTGAGCTTTATCAGCTTGCATCCAAAAATATTTCCCGTGCAAAATACGTTGTCTTTCACGTAAATCATTAGATGATATCAAACGATCATGCAGTTTCTTTGCGTCACGTGCATCATCCTTCAAACGAAGTAAAGCCTCCTTCATACGTATAATTTTCAACTCCATACTATCAACTTGGTCTCTTGATTTCTTAATGTTTTGGTGAATCTCATCCATCAATGTACCTCTCATGAAAAATTTGTACTTTTGTTCATCTGTACTAGCAGTCAAGAATGATCTAGCAGCATCTTGAGACAAGAAAGCCATAGGATTATTGACAGCAATATTATGGTAATCTAAGATCGCGTCCAAGTCAGCTTTCTTTTGTGACACTTTTTTCCCATTTTCAGATCTTAATGTGTATGGGGCACTTTGAACATCACGTCTTAAAACCCTTTCAATGATAATTTCAGACCCATATTTACCAGGCTCAAAGGCTTCATCACCTTCATTTGCAAGGACAACTTGAATGTGACAGCTATTAGCACCTTCTTTAATCAAATCTTTCAAGCTTGAACCTCTATTAGTTTCTGAGGCTTTTGCACCTAAACAAATGGAAATACCTGTCAAAATGGCACTCTTACCACTCCCATTATGACCAATGATGAAATTCAATCTAGGACCAAATTCTAAAACAAAATTTTCATGACACATAAAGTTTTTCAATGAAACACGTTTAATAACACCTGCAACTTTTGTCTAGAGAAGTTTGTTAGTCAATGTGTCTTTCAAAGCAAAAAAAAAATGATAAACATACTGGATCAGCTTGTGTCATTGTTGTAGGTGCTTGGGAGAATTTGGCAAAATATTTAGCTCTTTTACTTTTAGTAAAATCAACTTTTTGACTCAAGAATTGATCAATATCAAGATCCTATATTATAATTAGTTAGTTATCTGTTTCCTCAGTAATTCCAGCGAAAACACGTACCTCTTCACCACCATCAATTGAAATATCATTGTCATCATCATCAAGGTTATCAACCTCTTCGTAAGGGCGCTTTTCAACAGTCATATCCAGCTAAATTTATCAGCTCTTGACTCTCCAAAAGTCAATGATTTGACTAAAATGAACACACTTTGGAGTTTTGCAAAAAACCTGGGAGCGACGCGTAATTGTTTTGTTGATTTTTTTTTTTTGATTTTTCTTGAATTCGCGAAAATATTTTGATTTGTTAGCGGCCACACAATTTTTTGCTCAACGAACAAAAATCTCGAACTAGCATAATGAGATGGCTCATTTGAAAAGTTTGAAGCATTGAACAGGTAGTTATGCTAGGTTCATACAGAGTGAAAAGTGCTCTAAAGCTGCCAAATAGGAATATCAGATATAGTGGCTCATCCTATCTGCGGTTTTCCACCAGCGTGGTACGTTTGGCGAGCTCTGATGAAATCAATCTAAGTTCATTAGATGCTAAATGGACTGCAAAATGGAAGTCTATATCACCAAATAATACAATTTCACCTGTGGAAAAAAAGTTCAACAATACAGATGAGAAGAAATACATTTTATCTCAGTTTCCGTATCCTTCTGGAATCCTTCATATGGGTCATTTAAGGGTTTACACAATCAGTGATGCATTATCAAGATTTCATAGAGCTAGAGGAACTAATGTGATACATCCAATGGGGTGGGATGCATTTGGGCTACCGGCTGAAAATGCTGCTGTTGAAAGAGGAATTGATCCAGCCCATTGGACCAAAACAAATATTGCCAAAATGAAGGAACAAATGAATATGATGTTGGCAGATTTTGATTGGGATCGCGAACTTACAACATGTAATCCAGATTATTATAAATGGACTCAAAAGATATTCTTACTTTTATACGAAGAAGGTTTAGCTTACCAGAAAGAAGCAGAAATTAACTGGGATCCAGTTGATAAAACAGTGCTAGCAAATGAACAAGTGGATGCAGAAGGCAGATCATGGAGATCTGGTGCTATTGTACAAAAGATTATGCTGAAGCAGTGGTTTCTTGGGATTACTGAATTTGCAAGTGACTTGAATACAGATCTTCAGATCCTTGATGGCTGGCCTGCTAAGGTAAAATCAATGCAAAAACATTGGATTGGTGAGTCCAAAGGCTCCGAGCTTCAGTTTAATACAAACGATCCTCGTTTTACTATTAAAGCTTTTACAACAAGACCAGAAACAATCTACAGTGTTCAGTACGTTGCACTTTCATTAGATAATGATATTACAAGACAATTTGCCCAAAATGACACCCAGCTTCAAAAATTCATTCAATCCGCAACTGAGCTAAGTGAAGATTCCAAGGCAGGCTATGAAATTCCTAACTTTAAAGTTCAAAATCCAATGGGCGGTGAGTTCGACTTGCCAGTCTTTGTTGCTGCTTATGTGATAGGAAACTATGGTCATGGTGCTGTTATGGGATGCCCTGGACATGATACTCGTGATTTTGAATTTTGGAAGGAAAATAAACCTACAGCTCAAGTTATAAAATCTGTTTCTCCTTTACCAGGAAATGAAGTTGATGAATCAGGTCCTTTCACAAGCAAGAAAGGTGTCATGAATTCATATGCTGGAACTTATTCTGGTTTGACAACTGCCGAAGCTTCCAAAAAGATTATGGAATCGTTATCAGAAAAGAAACTAGGAAAATATTCCCGTCAGTATAAAATCAGGGATTGGTTAATCAGCAGACAAAGATACTGGGGTGCACCAATTCCAATTGTTCATTGTGATTCATGTGGTCCTGTTGCTGTACCAGAAGAACAACTACCTGTTTTGTTGCCTGAAGATGCTAAAATCACTGGTAAAGGTAACCCATTAGAACAAATGGATTCTTTTGTTAATACAACCTGTCCAAGCTGTGGTGGAGCTGCAAAGCGTGAAACAGATACAATGGATACCTTTATGGATAGTTCGTGGTACTTTTTACGTTTCACTGATGCTAAAAACACCAATAAACCATTTGATTTCGAAAAGGCAAGTGCCCTATCACCAGTTGATGTCTACATTGGAGGTGTTGAGCATGCTATTTTACACTTGTTATATTCCCGTTTCATTGCCAAGTTTTTAGCAAAAAAAGGTTTATGGGATGGTTCAAAAGTTAACGGAGAACCATTCAAAAGATTGGTGACTCAAGGTATGGTGCACGGTATAACTTTCAATGACCCACGTACTGGAAGATTCCTGAAACCTGATGAGCTAGATTTATCAACTCCCTCGGAGCCTATTATTAAAGCTACCGGTGAAACTCCATCTATTTCTTACCAAAAAATGTCTAAATCAAAGTTTAATGGTGCTGATCCTGGTGAATGTATCAAGAACCATGGTGCCGATGCTACAAGAGCCCATATTTTATTCCAAGCTCCTATAAATGATGTGTTGGATTGGGATGAAACAAAAATTGTTGGTATTGAAAGATGGTTACGTCGTATGATATCAATGAGTTTTCCAATTGCTACTAAATATAAATCAGAAAAGGGAAAAGTTAATGGAGAATTGAATGATAAAGAAATTGCTTTCCATAACTCTGTTCAATCACATTTGAAATCAATCACTGAATCGCTAGATAAAACTTTGTCATTGAATACTGTTGTGTCGGATTATATGAAATTAACTCGTGATGTTCTAGAAGCTTTTGAAAACAAGGATGTTCGAATCGATTTAGTCTATGATTCTTTCAAAAAATTAGTGATTTCAACTTCTCCAGTTACACCATGCTCAAGTGAAGAATCTTGGGAAATCTTGCACAAAACAATGGAATTACCCTGGTCTACTGTATTTGCTGAGAAATGGCCTGAAGCTGAACCATTGAAAGAAACAAAGTTGACCAAATTCTCTGTGTTTATTGATGGTAAAGTTAGGGATATAATTGAGGCGGACAAGGACCTATTCAAAAACTCAGATGCAGCTCAAACAAAGATTCTTGAATCACCGGCTGTCCAAAAGCACTTGAATGGTAAAACAATTGCAAGATTAATCTTAAAACCAAAGACAATCATTGTTGTCTCTAATAAAAAATGATGAAATAATGACCAATCGTGTTTTGAAGACCTGTATATAGAAAGTGTACATATTTTATTTGCATTGTCAATAGATTAACGTTTATTAAGTAAACTTTTGAGGTGCGAAAATAGTAGATCAGCTAAACCAACATAACCAGCTATATCCAATGCTCTTAAAATTTCAATTCTTGTCTCTTCGTAATCTGTTTTCAACCATTTACTTTCTGGATCATGCAACAGTTCTTTAACAGATGCTTGAGTCAAAGGACCAGCGTGACGCATTGAACATTCAGTATCACTATCTTCTAATAGTCTCACAATATTTGCACTTCTTGAAGAAAAAGCCGGTGAATGATTGATATTGAATAATAGAGGGAAACTTGAGTTTCTATCAAAAATTGAAACCTTAGTCATCATGGAGTTTATGAATTCAAATGTCAATCCAAAGGAAGTACCATCAGCTTTTTTAGATATATCAAACGCTTTATTTCTCCACAGTGAATTACATATATCAACAACAAAAGAGTTATGTAACGCTGTGAGTTTTATTGTGTTTTCATTGCTAACAGCTTCCTGCAAGACAAGTTTGGCAAAATTCAAATGCCCACACAATATTGATATAGCTAATGGATCATTCACAAAAAAGCAAATGTATACAAGGCAAGGTGATAACACCACATCTTGGATATTGAGATATTGTTTTGGTATTTTTTGTAAAGTTGAAATGAACCAAAGTGATTGAATAAGCAACCTTCTTTCAAATTTGAATTTGATTAATAAGTCTGGGATTAATGATGTTATTTGGGAGTATGCTTTTAGAATTGTATTGTATAGCTCCTCATATGATAGTGTTTCATGCCTTTCCTCTCTCCAAAACTCCAACTTGCTAGGCCATGACTGGAATAGAAACGCCAGGGATTCCAATAAAGACAAAGTCCAGTCGATGGACTGTTTTTGGACTTGATCTAATAAAAGGCTCAATATCTTTTGAAACTTTTCTTCATTTAATGGATTTAAACTTTTCAAGAAATACCACATATATGCTTGAGCCCGAGGAAAACTTTTGCTGACCATGCGTTCATTTGATAAAAATGAGGCTGATATACTATCAGGGATCTCACTAATCAATGAGGTGTAATTTTTGAGCGAATCCAAAATATTCAACTTTTCATCATCAGCCAAGTCATCAAACTCCTCCAAAACAAAACTTATCCATAATTCAAGTTTGTCAAGATCAACTTTTTCACCTTTCAAAGCTAACGTATAAAAAGAGAACCTTGATTTATCACCCAGGATAGCTGATGGATCAACAGGAATCTTTAGGCTCTCTATTTTCTGACTCAAGTCTGATATTGTGTGGACATTCTCATTTTCAGATAATGTCATGGATAATGAAAAATCTTGAGTGGCAATGTTCTTCTTTCTCTTCTTCAACTTCTGGCTAAATACATCCATATAGTTTAGCTCGTCATTGGTAGACTGTAGGACAGCTCTTTTATCATTGCGTGTGTTGAGGGAAATCAATTCATTCAGATAGTCATAATCAGGGTGTGAAAACACTGTATGTGATATTTTGGGGAAAGTATCAAAGATTTCATCTGGTGCATACTCCTTATATAGAACCAATAACCCAATCAGATGTTCAGAGTTGTCATACTTTGAGTAAAGACCTCTCAGCCTTGAAATTCTTGATGGGTCAACATGCTTTTTCCTTGTTGCTAAGAATAACAAATGTGCAATATGTGGTCTCAAAAATTCAAATTCAAGATAGTTGAACAGTATACCATATAAGCGTTCGATTATATCTGATTCCTCAAGGAACGAGTAAACTGAGATTAGCCACTTTAGCAAATAAACTTGCAGGGTGTTTGATAGTCTTTTGTCTCTATTCTGGGCTGTTTTCACTCCCAAGTTACCACATATACTAATGACGACTTCACTGGGTATAAGATCTTTGGAGTATAAGTATGATTTCAGGATTTTGAGCCTATGTGGTACTCGAAGAGGTGAGTATGGGTTAGAAACTAGTTGGATTAGGTTGGTTATATCAGTTTTGGGGATTCCTTGAGTTTTTATGGGAAGTTGATCAAGTTGTTCAAATATTGCATTGGCACCTTCTAGTGATAGATGTTCTTGAAAGGGTTAGTAACTTGAGATAACTAGTCACACGCTCTGAAGCACATACCATTATTCAGACTCTCTATTAGATCTGTGACTGTTGACATTGGAAACCCACTTCACGTTTGATATTGAAATCCTTTCTAATCCAAATTAATCTGGGTTCTCTGGTTTTTCTTGTTTACGTTTTTTCTATAGTGTGTTCGCGTTGCCATGGCTACCATCGGCTTCTTGATGTTGCCCCTAATCAGACCAACCAACATTACATACAGGTTAATTCTGAAAATTCTATTCACATTAAAAGTATTATACATATTGGAGGTAATGCAAGGCATATTTATCTATAAAAAAAGTTCAATTCATCACTTTGCGTGATTTTTAGCTTAAAGTCCCTTTTGGACATCGATGACACCAATTCTATCGAAAACTGATCTAGCTCTAATATATGGGTCTAATTTGGAATAGTTGATGGATAATTCATGACCAAGCTCAATCTTTTCCTTCAAGTATTTCTTACTATCTTCAACACTTCCAGCCTCTATCCAATTTACTGTAGCTTCAATGAATTTAGTAATGATTTCTTTACGTTCAGCTTTTAATTTGTCTCTTGTTTCAGCATCTTTCATCAATTCATCTTCTTCAGGTTTTGGTTCAATATATTCCATTTCGAATTCATCTTCACCGCCAAGTGATTTTGGAATATAGTCCATTGGTATAAATTTATTCAAATCTTTTGCAGATTTTGTAAATGTAATTTTGGCAGCAACAACAGGATCCAACCAATTTTTAACAATATTCCAGATAGGTGGGAAAATCCATGGTGCTTTATGAATGAATAATTTACCCAATGATTCGGGATAATGAGCCTCAAAAACACCAATCATGAATTTAACAGGTGGATAATCCATATTAGACATTGCGAAATCAGTCAAGTCGAATAAAACAGAACATGAGTCAACAGGTTCTTTCAGTAATAATCTAGCTTCTTCAATGACTAATAAAGTATACTTTTGAACTTCCTCTTCAGTTTGGTCAGAAGCATGGTGTAATCTTGGTCTAATGATAACAATTGGTCTACCTTCATTATCATAACCTCTGAAATATGCTTTTGATAACTTGAATTGTAAATGGAACCCTTCTTCTCCGTTCTCAATACCTCTTCTTTCACCACCAAATAACAAATCTTCAACTTTACTTTCTTTTAATCTCCAATGTAAAGTATGTGCCAACATTGCCAGAGCTTTATCGGAATCCCATTTTCTAGCTCTTAAAAATCTCAGTATTAGATTATCTGGAGAGTCTGTTCTCAACATATTCCAGAAATTACTATAAATATCTTCCGGTTGCAGGTCTTTGAAAGAATCATGAATAACTTTATGGGAATAATTAGCTTCAATTGATTCATTTGATCTAGTTGAAACTATTGAATTTCTTTCAGCTGATTTATTCGATTTATGACCACGACGGAATTTAGCAAATCTTTTCTTCTTACCACCATGCTCTTCGTGTTTTGAAGTTTTCGATGCAATACTTGTTGATGTTGCTGTTCTTTCGGGACCTGAAGGTAAAGTAACTGGAGTCCCCCAAAAAGTTAAAAAATGAGCCCAAACTTCCTTTAATTTCCACTCTTCATCAGCGGTTAGTGTTTGGATACGACCTGGAGGTATACTTTGAGATGTCATCATTAATATTGTTCCCAATTTCCCAGTATAATTATGTCTTGAAGGAAAGTTTTGATTTCGAGAATTGTTTGTTTTTTTTCGCCCAACGCTTTTTTTTTTCAGACTTGAATTTTTTCCGAACGCGTTCCTCTGAACGAGCAAACGACAATAGAGAACGTCAACAAATGGAAGAGGTTTTTTTTCATAAAAAAACATTGATTGGGTATTGATGTGTTTCAAATGATAAAAATAGTTTGGAATGGCTTGTTAATTGTCAACTACTCAAAAGAAAGTGCATAGAAATGTAAATTACTTCTGTTCGCGAAACATTCTCAAGGCAATGCTCAAACTGTACCTCAAATATGATGCCTACGACATCTAAACTACAATGTTTCCTGATTTAATTATGCAAATTAGTGAATATTCATTAGTTGATCATAAGATCTTTCCAATCTTTTTACTGGCGTAATTAAGCTTGGCCGTTGTACGATCCACCTCCGTGTCTAACTCATCAAGTAATTCATTTTGTAATGCCAATTCCTCATTAATAGCTACACCTAGCTCTTTTTGTCTATTGATCACCACACTCAACCTCTCCAATTCTTGATCCTGCTCTTGCATATCATTGCGCTGCATTTGTAACAATTGTTGATTCTCAACACCTCTTGTTCTCTCAGTCTCTTGTGGTTTACCAAGAACTCTTCCTTTGAATAGTTGATTCTTGGACTTACCAACAGGAGTTCTGATATCAACTTTATTAGGATTAGATGAAACATTCGATAATAGCTGCTCCAAATCCTGGTGTTCCCTTTTCAAGGAATGCAATAACTCTCTCCTTCTTTGTGACTCGCCTTCACCAATGGCACTCTGTGAGATAGCAACATCTAGACCTTTTGTAAGCCCATCAAATTTTTGTCTTCCCAATATCAATTTCTTTCTAGCTTCAACAGAGTTTATAAATATTTTGGATCTGGCATCTTGTAGCACATTCTTGGTTTCCCTGACTGTATCAATCCAAGTTGTCAGATCAACAATGGGTTCATCATTATTTGTAGATGATAAGGTCCATGCAGTATCTAGTTTTTCTTTTGTACTTTCATTAACAGTGGAAAATGCACCTGGTGGCAAGTTTAAGAACTCTCTGAAAGGTAAGGAACGTCTCCATTTGATATTTATTTGATCATTAATCACATCTTGTAAAAATTTTTCTAATTGTAGTCTTCTTTCTTCAGCTAACCTTTCGTTATTGATGGTTTTTCTTAAAAATGTCTTTTTGGGGAATTGATAGGGTATTTGATCTGAATATAGCGATTCCAACTCTTCCTTCAATGCTGCAAAATCTGAATATCTCTTTTGTAGTTTATGCGATTTTTTTGCTGTTTTCACCAAGACATGATACACAGTATGACTTCCATCATCGCTAAGTGACGTGTTTGGAATAGTCACTTTAACATCCATTATAATCACCGTTCTTGCTCTTAATCTTCTTGTTATGGTTGTCACATTCCTAATCAAACTCATCCTTTCTGATCATTTCCAATTTTCGCGAAAGTTCTGAGTGCGCCAACCATGTTGATTTTTTTTCTTCGTTTCGCGAATTTGAATCTATCCAATTTTCTAAAACCAAGAGACAAGCTGTATCTTTGGGATTTGAAAAAGGCATAGAAAAGTTGACAGGTGATATAATGGTGAGTGTCATATATCAATTGCACTTGAAGCTCCCTAACTAACTTATTTCTCAGCCAAAACAATACATCTCCACCAATAATGCAGGTGCTGCTCATAAATCAGATATCTATTCAGTCGCCATCTCCAAACCGTATACAATAACAGCTTCAGGTGATGGATACTTGAAATTTTGGTCAAATAATGTTACAGAGACAGATGTTGTTAAAGAGAATGTCAAGGAGCAATTCGTACACAAGACAGGTCTACACCATGTTGCCGTTTTTGAAGATATAGTTGAAACAACAAAAATTGCAATAGTTGCAACTGTTTCATTCAGTGGTGAAATATTTTTCTTCGTGGTTAACAGCTTAGATGGGTCAATTGAACCACTAGAAGTTGATTTAGGTACAAAGAGTAAAGATGCTTATTGGGCCATTCAATGGTCAAAAGATGAAGAAGGTCAAAATCATAAATTTGCAGCAACCCAAGCTACTGGTGCAACCAAGATATGGACTTTCACTATCGAATCAATCAACAAAATCACATTTTCATTACATGGAACAATCGCTGCACAAACTAAAACGTTTGCTACTGCTTTAGATCTTTCATCTTCTAATAATTTATTAGCAACAGGGTTTCAAAATGGGGATGTTGTGTTAACACAAACTGAAACTTCGAAACCTGTATATACTTTCCATAACTTTGGTCTAAAAGGTTCTGCACAAAGCTCTTCAACTATTCGTTCTGTCAAGTTTTCACCATTAGGTACATTGTTAGCAATTGCTAGTGATTCGGGTTCATATGGTACAATTACCTTATATGATACTGTCTATGGTGAGAACGTTGGTTCATTCACTATACCTTCTCATTCATCACAAGTACCAATTGGTGCGTTCGCTCATGATGGTTGGGTTTTTGAAATTGATTTCAATGAAACTGGTGAATTTTTGGCAAGTGCAGGTTATGATGGTAGAATTAGAGTATGGAATATCACAACTCGTGAAAGAGAAGCAACTTTGGCATTAAGTCCTACTGACTTTGACGACGAAGATATTGCAGCTGAGGACGAGAATGCTAGTTCAAGTGCTATTGGTGTGAAGTTTATTAAAAAGGGTACAAGAGGTGGTGCTGGTGGTGATAATAACGACGGATTAGTAGTGATATCATTAGATAGAGGAATACGTTGGTTTAGAGAGGCTGGTGGTATTTAATAAATATCTACTGGGTCAGTGATTTTCTTTTGTACTAAACTTTTATTCTATTCAAGATAATCTTCTAAAACTAGTCATTCCAGGCACACCAAACCCAACAGCGTGTTCAAGCCCTGGTGGAACATTGTAATATATTTCATCATCCTTAGGTTCATTATCATCTGGATTGATCAAGACATTTTGACGTTCTGGTAGGCCAAAGTTTGGGGCAGCATCGTAATGCCCAAATGAGTTTGACTGACTCATAGTTGTGCTGTAGTATCTATCATAATTGTTCAAATTGAAACCATCTTCTCCTTGAGCTCCGGAAGTTATATAAAGTGCACTGGAGTTTGTTTGACCTATTGTAATCATTCGACAAAAATCAATAATTTCTTCTTTTGCCAACTCTTCAAACGCACGGGTCCTTATAACTATTTTCCAATTTTTGGAGCAATAGTTAGCGGCGTTGTGAGCCAATACTTCTTCATTAATCAATCTTGCCCTTGACCATATTTTAATTGCACCTTGTGCAGTGAACCCTTTCAAATATATTTGATTTAAACAAAACTTCCTGAGTTTTGGAACTTCATAAAGATTTGAAAGTATTAATAACCCTGAATATAGTTCCAAAGTCCCCTTGGACAAATCATTTGTATATAAATATTCCATGAGTGCCTTTAACCATTCTATAGGTTCAGGGATGAATAATGTATTTGTCTTTGTTTCTTGCATTCCGCTAGTTATTATTCTTTTGAAATGTGGCCATCTAGCTAGTAAAATTGTTGTATGGACTTTCAAAGGACTTGATTTAACAAATGTATCATTATGGGTCTCTTGGAATGGTGCATCTAATTGAACTTCATTTCTTTCTATAAATTTAGAGTTGAGTGATGGTCTTTCGTTTCCTTCAATACCAATAATCTCAAAATCAGTAAACTCTTCATTTGCCAATAACGATCCAAATTCTGAAGACATGGAATCATCACTATGCTTTCTTTTACGATTTTCTCTTTCCATTATTCCCAAATCTGCAAGATCTAACGATATTATAGTATTGAGATTAAAATCAAATGGTGCATCATCGGAACCATCAACAACTGGATAACCTAGCAAATATAAATTTGATTCATGGATGAATGTATGTTTCCATTTATGACCAAGTAAAGGCTGGAAAGCACCTGAAAGTGCAGCATGCCATCTAAGGTTATTCAAATCATATAAACCAATACAAGGTTCCAAAGGTGTATGAGCTGAGTATAGTGGAATAACAACATCTAATAAAAATGAAGAACTACTTTGTGAACCATTTCTAACAAAAATATGATCTCCATCGATCTTTGGTAAATGATGTATCTTTATGGAACCTGTTATATTTGTTTGAAGATCAAACCATGATATTTCAGTAACATGTGCCATATCTTTTGTTAATCCACCAAGTGCCCAAATCTTACCATCATAATGTGTTATGAAGTGATCAAACCGGCGTATAAACTTTCTTGAACCTTCCCAAACACCAGTCTTCAAATCAAATACTCGTAAGTCATCATATGGATCGTTCATTTCATCTTTGTATAATCCACCAGATACAAACATTTTAGTTTTATCTTCAGAAAGACAAGCTGCATGTCTTGATCTTGTTTCGGGAATAGCAGGACCCTGAGCTTCAATAGATTCCCATACATTCTCTTTAACTTTATATTTCAATAGTTGAGAATGGTTGTAATGTCTATTGTAAGCATCTTCTGGAACACCGCCGTAGATAAGGATGGTATCGTCTCCAATATATAATGCTGAATGTCCTTCTCTATAGACTTGACCACTGGGATGTACTCTCCACTCATTTGATTTGATATCTAAAATGTATACAGCACCGTCCACTTAGAAACAAAATAGTTAGTTAAACATTCGCTAAGATATGGTAATTTCACTCACAGTTATCATCTTCGTCAAACCCACCGAAAAGAAAGAATTCACCATCATCTGTCACAGCTGTTGAAGATTTGATTCTAGATAACGGTTGAATTCCCTTTGTAGTTTGAGGCTTGATTTTCTTCAAGTTGGACTTTCTAGTTCCAGGCGACACCAACTGACTCATTATGAAGAAACCTTTTCAGTTTAACACACCAAAAAGTTGGATCGATTTAGATCTAAAATTCTATTTTTCAAAATCTATCTAGTTTATGTGCCAAAGAATTTAGCTGTCTCATGGTGAAACAATCCATATATATTACCGTAATTATCCAAAATCAGTAATTTTTACCCTCGTATATTCTTTTTCACTATTCCGAGGCCTCGTATCTTAGTCTTACTGCTTTGGGGAGATTACTCAGAAAGAAGAAAAGACAACAGAAAATTTTGCTGGTGCGTGCCACAGCGGGCGAAAACCAGGCTTTGGTTTATAAAAAAAACTTCAACACGTTAACGAACAAGTCACTTTATAACAACACTTCAAACCCACAAAGTTGATTGAATTATAACATATTTGAAATTCTTTGTTTCCATCTTCTTCATCACTGCATAAGAGGGACGTTCTGATTTGTTAGCTCAAAGCCGCCTCGTCTTTTGGAAACTAGATTTTAGATATTTATATCCAATAGTTGCCAGCGTTTAGCAAAGAAAGAAGGCCTGTTTTACTTCGGCTTGTCATCACAACCCGCAATCTTCAAAGAGAGCGGCAAGGAAAGCACAAGTTACTCTTCAAAAAACAGCATCAATTCAAATAAAAGGCTCATTCCATCTCATCTCATTTGCTGGTGATTGACGCTTTTTTTCTGTTATATTGTTGCTACATACATTGTTCTCAAAGAGATCAAATAAGAGTTAAGAGAATTTTAGAAGAAAACACCTTTGTTGGTACTATTTTTTTTCTCACAGAAAAAAACCACTTACAAATATCATTCACATTCTTTTTTTTGATTCATTTTCGTTTGGTTGAAAAGTGTTCCCATCAAGTCAAGTTATTACTAGCTGGTTGAATTCGTCATCAAGACAACAGAAAAAAAGAATTATAAAGAATAGACGAGCTTTTGGCTAAGTTATCGTCAACTCCAAACAAAACAGAAAAAAAAAGAATTATAGAGCAGTTGAGACTATTTTCATAAAATACTATCCTGTTCAAAAAATCATTAAAAGAGAAGCCAATTTTTTGTTGTATTCAGTTATTTTACAAAACATTACCTCTCCCGCTTCATTCAACATAGAGATGTCTGCAATCTACAGTTATCAACCATATCAACCGGTTGATCAACATCGCCATCACTCAGGCGGGTACTATCAACCAACTGTTGCTTCAAATGGTTATTATCAAGGTCAGTACATTCCACAAAATGTCGCTGCTCCAATGTATCATCATCCTCAACCACAAGCTCCAGTTATGCAACATCAAATTTATGCCCAACCACCAGCTATGGCTGCTCCTGCTGTTAATCCTTATATGCAAGGAAATGCTTATGGTTATAACAATACCAATGCATACTATCAAGTTCCTCAACAACAACAATATGCTCAACCTCAACAACAACAGCAACAACAAGAACAACAAGGGGAACACGCGGTCACTGGTGGTGTTTCTTCAGTCTTGGATTATGACTTGAGTGCCATGTCTAAATTTGCAACTTATCTGGCTTTCAGACTGTTTGCTAGATCTGATACTGAAAACACAAAATTTGTTTCATCATTAAAATCAGTTTTGAGTGCTACAAGATTACCATTATCATCATTGATATTAGCTAACTATTACATTTTGCAAAAATATGAATTAGATCCAGCTTCTTTCAATAATAGTGCTGATGAATTGATTTATCAAAATGTTGTTATCTCTTTGGTTTTAGCTAATAAAGCTAATGACGATAATACTTTTATCAATAAATCATGGGCTGCTGCTACTGGTTTGAGTGTCAAATTAATCAATGTTCTGGAAGCTAATTGGTTGAATTTACTTGATTGGAAGTTACATGATGTTCAAATGGAGAAGTATGATGAATTAATGTTACAATTCAACAGATACTCTAAAGGTAATACTACTCCTCAAAGATCTTCAAGATATGTTCGTGATCCAATTTCACCAATCTTGCCTTCATCATCTCAATCTCCAAGAGATAATTCCCCATCAAGATTTAATAATTATTCCTCAACAAATTGGTACAGTGAATACACTGCAACAACTCCAACACCATATTCATATGAGGGTTTCGCTCCATCATCATATGGTCATCAGAAGAGCTATTCATTCAATGAACCTGAGTATTGCTCCAGAACGGGTTCATACCAAAAGATGATGTATTGCACATGTCGTTATTGTTCAACTCCTCCAAGAAGTGTTGATTGGTCATATAATGTTGCAGCTGCTTGTTGAATCAAAAAAGGTTGTGCTACATTCATTAAAGTTGTTTGATTATTTTTTTTTATTTCATCTATTGTTATGATATTACTATACATTTGATTTTCATTGAAAACTAATTGCTAAAATCCAAAAAAAAACGTTTGTTCAATTCAGGGCAAACAACCCATAAAAGTTTATTTTGCTTTCCATTTAAAAAATCATTTAAAAACCTCAAAAAAAAAAATCTTTGTGCTATTTTTATTCTCACGTTCCTTTACTGTGATTAATATGTTTTTCTTTTATTTATCCATGTTGAAGGATGAAACGGCATGGTCTTACAGGTGTTGATTGGTTGTTTTAGTTTTAATTCTTCTGTTAGACATTTGATTTTATTTTGACTGTTTTATTCTTTTTCATTTTTGTGTGATCGTTTTTGTTTTTTTTGCCATTTTTTCCCTTCCCTCTCTTGATCAGTATTATTAATGTGTGCGTGTTATTTTTTTTTGATTACATATAGGTATAAACAATATTATGTGTTGGCTTGAGATTGGGGTCTATCCATCTCAGATTTATGGAAATCAGGTGTAGATTAGTTGAAGGTTTCGAATTCTTGAAAGTGTGCGGTTTTTAATGAGGACTTGTACTAAAAAAATACACGTCTAATACTAAAATGATATACCCTAGCTACAAGGTGTTGATCGACCTCAATTAACGTGAATATGATGATATAGCTCAACGTACTGACCTATGGTATATTATTAAATTCTAGTTGGTTAGACTCATAAATTAGGGTCGATGCTAATTCAAAGCTATGATAAGTCTACCTCTACGCGTTCCATATGATGAAAATGATCACGTGATATAATATTAAATACTTCAATAAACTAGCATAGCATTTCAATACTCGAATTCAAGTCTGAAATAACAGCCAAATAAAAAAAGATACATCATCCCGAAACCAAGATAATTTGTTTGAATAAAAATGGTGAAAGTAAATGGGTACTAAACAATAGGAAAAGGTAGCCAAAAGAAACATATTGGCAACAATCTTTGGTTGAACAAAAACAATTCATAAAACAACATGAATGACAACCCAAAAAATCAGAAGTTTGAAAGTTTCAGGAGTTGATAGAAAGTCAAATATAGAAGAGATGAAAATAAGATGCATCAATCATCAAATAAATAAGATCAAAACAAATGATATCAAACCCAAAAAAATATTACCAGCATTAGATACAGCTTTTGCTTCAAATTCAGAAACTAATGGTGTAGTGCTTGAGTCTTGTAACTTTGAAGGTGATGTGTCTGAAGCAATCTGAAATTTAGTGACTTGAACTGTTGTAGAAGTTAAAGTTTCTCTATCAATTGAAGCATTTGAGGAGCCATACTTATCATTGCTATTGGAAGATTCTGATCCTGAACTAGAAAAGGAAACGGCAACTTGTGATAATGGGATTGAAGATAAAGTATGAGCAATATTAGAGGAACCTGATCCTGAATTGGAAACACCATGATGATCATTTTGAGACCCTGCGATAGAACCTCCAGCAGTATTAGTGTTTGAACCGGAGCTGGAAGACTTATGATCATGATATCCTGAAGCTGAGCTTGAATTTGGGGAGCTAATACCGTCTTGAGAGCTTGAGTTTGAATTACCATTGTTGGCCTTCCCGTCATCTTTATTACTGCTGTTGCTAACATCTGAACCACTTGAACCAGTTGATGTGGAATAAGCTTTTGAGGAACTAAAAACAGTTGTTGAGGCATGATAAGTTTCACCAGCGGAACCCGTTTTAGTAACATCCTTGACAGCACCTGTTTCAATATTACCAGCTGAGTCAGTGCTTGTAATGTAACTCAATATTCCAGATGAAGCCGAAAGTGGTGAACTTATAGCAAAGTTTGTACCGGATGAAGATTTCATAGTAGAATCAGCAGTATCTCTTGATTTATCAGTGCTTGTAGCTATAGATCCATGAGCATTAGTTCCAGTTAAGGGAAACTCATCAGGAATTGATGATGAGGGTAAAATATCAGTACTTGTTGAACCAGGACTATTCAAGGCAGAAGTTTCCAAAGCGTTGGATGATGATGATGATGATGATGGTAAGTTGGTAGATACTGATTCATAAACTGCAGTTGAAGATGAGCTGATAACATTGGTATTCTTAGATGAATGAGCACCAAAGGTAAGACTTGATGCAGTCGAGCTAGTACCTGGCGTTGAAGAGGTTAAGCTGGCAGCACTTGATAAATGAACATCACCGGAAAGAGTAGTTGAGATAGATGTAGCAGAGCTAGATCCTTGAACATGAGTATTGAATGTTGAAGATGAGTTGGTAAATGGGAATGGTGCTGATAAAGTTGATGATGAAGAAACTGAAGCAATATAGGAGACATATGATGTTGATGAGGTGAGGTATTGGTATGAATCTGTGTTACTGGAGAAGGCAGAAGAAGTTGTGGAAGCACCTTCACTAGTAGAACCACTAGATGTGGACGCAGAGGTATCACTTGCTAAACCAACTGACAATTTCGAGGACGATGAAGATGATGAAGCTAATTCTCTTGAAAAGCTGACAAGACAACTGGAAGTCACCATGCTGTTTGATGTACTTGGTAAAGAAGATGAGGAGGATTGGGATGCTGACTCTCTGTATGTTGAAGAAGACACAGTACTTGAATCATGGTTGAGATGACTTGATAATGATCCAATTGATAATATTCTTGAACTTGTGGAAATCAATGAAACAGAAGAAAATGTGGTTGATGATGACATTGAAGAGACGGCAGAGGCTGATCTGGTTAATGAAGAGGATGAACTGACTAACCTAGATGTTGCTGGTGATGAGGATGAGGATAAGGATGAGGATGAGTTAGGCATAGTTGATGAAAGTGAGCTTGAGCTTAGAGTTGAAGCCTTAATGCTTGTGGATCCCGTTGATAATCCCAAAGAAGATGATTGACCCGATGACATTGAGGCTGGAGAAGAAACAAAAGATGATGAAGCTGCTGATGATAAGGAATTGGTTCTAACAAAATCACTTGAGTGGATCGAGATCGACACAGATGTTTTTGCGCTTGATGAAGAAGCAACGAAACTTGATGATGATTTTGTGGAGCTTGATGAGCTTGTGATTCTCACAGTTGAAGAGCTTGAAGTTGGCAACCCAGGAAACGTTGTAGCACCATGACAGGATTGGAAATCTTTGAAAGCATCACAGTCAAATGCAAGTTGAGCTTGGTATAACGGGCAATTGGTCAAAGTAACAAGATCACAAACAGTTTCTCTTAATCCATCCACTAAAGCAGAGCCCAAATTATCGGTGTATAATAAGTAATAAAAATCGTTCCCCGATGAATCAACTTTATGAAAATCAAACGCAACGTATTCTAGCAAGCAATAGTTCAAAGCTGATGTCAAATAAGTAATGAATGGTAATGTAACCTGATACGACACAACAAAAGCACCTTGTTCCAAATTAACTTCACCATCAATTGAAGAAATATCAATCCCAAGTTGACGAACTTTGAAATCATTAGCATCTAAAGGCTTATCAAACTGAAAAAACCAAATGACAGTTAACACACGATTGTGAAAATGGATCCCTGCAACGGTACTTGTAGTTGTTTCACCAGAAATAGCATAAGCAGCTTTATACTTTTTTCCATTTATAGAGCCAGTCTCTGTTTCAAAATCACATTCAGAGGTAAATGTACCTGAGATTCCAACCGATGTAGTGACTGTAGTAATACCAGAAACAACGTCTGGAGTAGTTGAAGCAATAGTGGCTGTTGTTGAGCCAGATGTTACCAAAATACTTGATGCTTCGGAAGTGGAGTCACCATGTGCCACAGGGGATCCACTAGAAATTGCCAACGTATTGCTTGATGTGACTTGATCAATTTGTGATGTAGCAGACGAAGCCGGTGAGCCTAGGGTAATAGTGGTGACAGCATCACACTTATCAAATCTCTTAAAAGCATCACAGTCAAAAGCCAATTGGGATTGATATAAAGGACAATATGTTTCAGTGAAAACATCACAAATAGTTTCTCTCAATCCATCAACCAATGCAGAGCCTAAATTATCAGTGTACAGCAAATAAAAGAAATCATTACCAGCAGAGTCAACTTTGTGGAAATCAAAAGCAACATATTCAAACAAACAATAGTTAATTGCAGTAGCTAGATAAGTGATCAACGGAATCTTGACTTCATATGAAACAACAAATGCACCTTGTTCCAAATTAACTGTGCCACTAATGGCGGAAATATCAAATCCTAATTGGCGAACTCTGAATGATTTAGCATCAATTGATTTATCAAACTCAAAGAACCATGTAACTGTTAAAATACGATTATGGAATGGAAGACCAGCAACAATCTCAGTTTCTGTTTTTCCAGAAATTTCATAAGCAGCTTTGTAGTGTTTACCGTTGATAGAACCAGTTTGAGCACTGTATTTACATTGAGAGGTGTATGTCTCCTCAGCAAATAGTGATGTAGTGACAGTGGTGATACCAGAAACGACGGATGGAGTTGTAGCTAATGGCTTCGCTGGAAGAGCTGTTGTGACATCTTTGGCGACTGATCTTGATGATATGGTGGTGGTATGTGAGGTGACAGAGGCAGTTGGTAGTTTCTTAGTTGATGAGACACCAGAAGGTTGAATAGTTCTAGTGGTATGGCCATCACATCTAGTGAGCTTTTTAAATGCTTCACAATCAAATGGTAGCTGAGCTTGATAAATAGGACAATTTGTAGCAGTAAAAATATCACAAACAGCGCCTCTTAGACCGTCAACTAATGCAGAGCCCAAGTTATCGGTGTATAGCAAGTAAAAGAAGTCATTTCCAGCAGAGTCAACTTTGTGGAAATCAAAAGCAACATATTCAAACAAGCAGTAATCAATAGCAGAGGTTAAATAGGTAATAAACGGCAAAGTTACTTGATAAGTAACAAGGAACGAGCCTTCTTCCAAATTAACATAACCATCGATTGAGCTGATATCAACACCTAATTGACGAACTTTGAAATCATTAGCATCCAATGGCTCATCAAAAGTGAAAAGCCAAGTAACCGTAAGTTCACGATTTCTGAATGGAATAGCAGCAACCACACTAGTGGTAGTTTCACCAGAAATTTCATAAGCAGCTTTGAAACGTTTCCCATTGATGCTACCAGAATGAGTAGCAAAAGCACATTCTGAGGTTAAGGTTGTAGAAAGACCCAGGCCAGTTGTAACAGTAGTGATTCCTGAGACGACTTCTGGAGTCGATTCACGCTGAATGTAATGACAATATGCAAACGACCAAATAAAGGTAGCATACAACAAATTTAACAATTTCATGATCCTCTATTGATTGGAGATTGATTATGGAAAGTCCATATTTGTTAACCTTATATTTTCATGAATTTTGAACCCTTTTATAATAGAAACTGTTCAAGGTAAACAACTTCGTGTTTCTTTCAAGGGCCTCCTTGAATAAAAAGAATGTTTCAATAACAGCTCCTGAAATAAAGCGCTCAATACTGCATCAGATTGGCTGGTCTTTACCATAGTCCGTGAACACTTAACTTTTCAAGCATTGAATGAATTCACCTTGACGCTGAAGAAAGATATCTGCTCTCTGCTCTCTTTATGGAGTTACTGCTACCAAAACAGAACAACACACATTGTCTCAAACACAAATGTACGAAATCCCACCTAATATATGAGTTTTGGTATTTGAAATGAAATGTAGCTTACTCTTGGTTGATAAATTGATAGTATTGAATTTCACTGACTATCATTAACAGTGCTAAGGACCAAAACTTCCATGAATATTACCAAATGACAGACAATTAGGAGAGTGATCAGTACCTGAAATAGACAAATAAACCGGGTTGAACTGGATTGAACTAAATATATTAAGTTGGATCATCACAGCAAAGTGTTTGGCTCATGGGTTCAAAAACACGGTACTTCAAGCTAAGACAACCATTTTCCATGAGCGCCACTATGCGTCTCTTCTCAACTCTTGGGCTCATCCAATTATGAACTCCACTAGCGCAGTCTTTTAAGAACTCATAAGCAGATCTCAGATCTCAGTTCACATACACTGGATAGCTTTGATAGAGGTATCTCAATGGCCACGGTACCTTTGGGGGCTTGTGTAAATAGCATTCAAGTTTGGCTTTGTGACGTTAATTTTTTCCTTAAAAAAGCGTTTTGATTACCTAATATTCACGTCGCGACTCCTTGTATAACCTGCTTTTTAACTTTTCAACGGTTGAAAATTTTGATGCAGCTTGGAGTTTTATACCATCGCTTACAATTTTACGGGAAGTTTAGAAATGCGCGTGCGGGAGAGTGTTCGAGAATGTCAGTGTTCAGTGGTAATTGTTACAGATTTTGGAAGCTGAGAACTCCAGGAGTGATCATCGATGCTTTGTTCCTTTTCGAAATCAAAATCAAAAGTTGTGATTAGCAAACATCTCTTACAAAATGTATGGGTTGTAACAATAGTCAATATCCATCGCATTCAAAGACCGATCCTACAATCATACGCTATGGCAATCTCTTGATTTCGAGCTTTAGCCGTTAGATTGGGTTGATTGATCATCGATCTTTAATCTCGTATGATTAAGAGAAACAAACGCGTACGTAGACTTCTGATTCGCTCAATTGAATCTATACCACTTCTACAATTGTAGTGTGATGCGATCCAAAAGGGTTACTGCCAAATTCCAATCCTGGAAAGTTGATGAACAGTTGGGTATGAAGTTTGAACATTGAAAAATTCCTTCAAGCTTGGATATGAACGTTGGTTTTTTGGTCTGTCTCGTACGCATTAAAGTATAGTGCCTCGCAAAGGCCATGCATGATCTAAAACGAAATAAGCGAACTAAAGTTTAAATCGCAGAAGTTGTAACCTGTACGTTGGGCGCATATAACAGGAGGACATTCATTGATTGTAAGCTGCTGCAACCGTTGGAGTTGTATCCTTGTAGGCATCAATAGGTACTAAAATTACTTGATTTCATTACATTCTCTGGGGGAAGGTATTACAGTTGAGCTTATGAGCTAATTCTCGAAGCTCAATCATCAATCAAACAATAACAAGTTGATAGCAATTATGATTTTGTTAAACATTATATTATATAGCTGTATCGATTCAAGACCATGATTCAGATTGGGCTTCACTGTACAGCTTATTGCTCAGCGACGTATAGGTGTTTGTTCATAGTCCGTCAATTGAGCTGGAGAAATACATACACTAGTTAAAAATTTGTCATTAGATTCATTAAATTTACAAACGTACTGTTTAATCATGTACCCACTATTCTTGCATTTCACTAGTATCATTCGATAAAATTTCATTCAACCTTATAGGTGCACCCAATCCACTCAATGCATTAGCGTCCTGTGGTGTATTTGAATTATTGTTATTGGAGTTGACAAGATGGAAAGTCTTTCTTGATGCACTTGTTAAGCTTGGTTGTAACGTTCTTGAAGTTAGGGATTTTCTTTTTTTGGTTGAAGAAAAAACATGTTCCAACTCTGAAAAGCTTTGATCCAACATATCTTCATTTGTTGAGTTCAGTGAACGCATTTCTAATTTATCTGTATCCTTAGCTAGATCATCCATACTAACATCAGAGTCATTATTTGAGTTTTCATCATTTTCATCAGGAACATCCCATCTGACTTTTTTCACAGCCTTTGGTTTATTAATGGATGCACGTAGAGGAGATGAAGTATTTTTAGTGATTTTGGAAACTTGAGAAATTTTCCCAGCTGGTGAAAGTTTGAAAGGTGATGATGTTTTGGGTCTTGCAATTTGTCTTATTGGTGAAGTGGGTATATGAATTTCAGATGTAATCTCATACTGGAGTTGTGTTGCAAATTTTTCAAACTTAGAATCAATATTCATGATTTCATTGAGTGATTGGTCAAAATTCTGATAAAATTCCTTCAAAATTAATTGAATCTCACCTTTAATTGTTTCATGCTCATTAGGGTTTTCCTTCAACTTACTCAATTGATTGATTGTACTGAACAACGTGGAGCTGATATATTTCAAGTTGGTCAAGAAATTATCAGAAGATAAAATTCTATCAAAAGCCATTGATGCATTATATAGAATGGTTCTTTCAACAGAGTCTTTCATAAGAGTCAATGTGGTATCCAATGTTATCTTATCATAATTTGACCAAGCTTCTAATTCACCAAGCTTCCTTATACCACTATTAGCAGATCCTGACAGTATGATATCCAATTCACTTTCCTCATCATATAACTGCTCCAATTCCTCAATTTTTGTGCTCAATTTACCCACCAGATTTTCAATAGCTTGATATCCATTTTCAAATTCAGATATTGGATCCTCTAATGATTGAATATTTTTCAAATATTTTTGTAATTCCCCACGTTGCAGTATTAGTAACTTTCTTTTGCACAATATAGATGACTTCTTCAGTTTTAAGTGTTGAAATTTTTTAGAATTCAAATTTTGCTTCAAGGTATCAAGAAACTCAAGCATTCCAATCTGTACCCTTTCTTTCTTGGCCTTGTACCTTTCAACAGCTTGTCCAACAACAACACTTTCTCTATTTCTAAGTTCTTCAATCTCTTGCTTTTGTTCAGTTATCATTTTCAAATAAGAACCAACATGCCTATTCAAAGAATGTTGGTTTCTTGAAACCTTTGTCTTGATTTCTTTAGCTCTATCAGCATACTTCAATGTATTCAATGTTTCATCATAATGGTGACTTGAAGGACTAATACAAACAATCATCACTGTTTTACAATTACCACCTAATGAAAACTTCAACAATCTAGTCAATTTTGAGTCTCTATATGGTATGTGATTTCTTCTTCTAGCGTCACATAATGCGTTGATACAGTTACCCAAAGCGAGTAATGATTTGTTAATGTTCGCACCTTCGTGTAAACGTTCACCCCTATTCTTTGTAGCAGCAGCTCTTTCACTACCAGCAAGATCAATAATTGATAAAGTTGCAAAAGTATGATCTTCCTTAACATCAGCAGTTCTATTCTTCTGTGTAACGTTGATTTGTAAAACAGCATGAGATCTTGAAGATGTTGCATTGGCTTCAGTTGGAGAGCTGGTTCTATTTCTATTCCCAATGATAATCATATCCATGACATCTTCGACTGATTGAGGTTTATGACTTGTAAGATTCCCAACGTTTATCCTCTTACTGGCATCCTCTCTTAATGTTAACAGCTTACCGCCATTATCAGGTTGCATCAAATCTCTAATAGTTTCATTATAAATTTCCAGGTATGAAAGTGAAACATCAATCAGTTTGGTATCTTTCAAATCATCAATTCTTTCAAATAATTCCTTCATAGTTAAGAAAATGATACCTGGTTCTTCTAATGTCCCACTAATTGTATGAGTTTTACCACACCCCGTAGCACCATATGCAAACACTGTACCATTGAACCCATCTAAAACACTATCCAATAGAGGTCTAGTTGTATTATAATAAACATCTTCTTGTGAGGTTCCTTCATCAAACAATTTATCAAATACAAAACGATGTTCTCTAAATCTTGTTGTTCTTTTCCCATGATTTGAGACATTTTTTGATAAATTTGCTAGTGGACTATTTTCAGGTGGATCGAAAATTAACATTCTATCATCAACGACATCAACGATTTTCCTTAGTCCCTTTGGAGCATATCTTTTTGGTCTATATTTGTTTTCCTTTTCAGCATTATCATTAAAAGTTAGCGCACCATCTCCCAAAAATACTTGTTCTTCTTTATTTACCACTAGATGTGCTGATTCTGATTGTGTAAATGGTCTCACTCTAACAGCTACCGTCACTGAAGATTCTCTAGAAGCTGAAGGATAGCTCATACCTCTTGAAATTGTGGACCTAAGTGGATGAGCTTGTTCTTGTTTACCTTTCCAACTTTTTGTGTCTGGATTTCCTTTCAAAACAAAACAAGAACACCTTTTGTGGTATGTATAGTGTAATTTTTATAAATCAGATGCAAGATTGAATGAAATATGTTTCTTCTTTGGTGTACTTGGCAGCTTTTGGTCTCCAATTGTCAGGTTTGTTTTCCTCTTTTGTTTGTACAACCAAAACTTGATAGATCTCATTGATCTCTTTTTTTTTTCCATAACCAACTGAAATCAAAACAAAACATATAAAATTACGTAATCAATGCGCGAAAAACCTGTCACCACAGTAACCGAGGCAAATTTGTACTTTAGAATACAAATTATTTCTACGAACCTGTACAAAAAACACTTTCTTTGATCATGACATTAAAATTAAAAGATAGACAGCTTATTGCCTAAATACCTGAAATCATTCTTTTTTTTTGAAACTTTTTTATATCTTTGTTGTAGTTTTTATTTTCTCTAACTTTTCCTTGTTTCCTGCTCACTATCATTGCAATGGAGCATATAAAACTTGTGTAGCATATTTCCTTTTATATCTAACGACAGAAGCAACAGCTAAAGTGTTGTGTTTGATACTGGTGGTTGCCAAATGGTTCAAAACAACATGATTTGGAATTGGTAAAGCACCACTTGAATTACTTTTATCAGTTGTTGAAAAATTGTTCAAAATGACACTTTCTAAATGAGGTGGTAATTGTGGAGGGGTTAACCAAGATTGATTTTGATTATTTTGAGCATTGTTATCTAATGTCAGGTAATATTGTTCCATAACTGATGGATCTGTAAAGATTGCAGGAATATCTTTTATATAATTCAAATTTGGTTTTGATGATTGTTCTTCATGAAATCTTGAATAACCGTTACCCATATCATCATCATCATTTGTCAATCCTAGATTGGAATCCCTACGGTCTTCGTCTGAAGGTTTTCCAACTTTTTGTTCACCATGCTCTTGACCTTGTGATTGATCTTGAGTGTATTCATTTTGTTGAGAATCATCTTGGCCCATTTGAACATCAGGTTGTTGGATTTCAATATAATTGACAAAATTACCCATTTGATCAGTGGCTGTTGGGAGATAATCAGAAAATCGTAGTTCATTATCAACAATAAATCTAAAACGATGTGTACCAACTGGTAGCTTCAATTTAATTGAAAATTTCTCATCAGTTTCTTTAGTCAGCTTAATCATCTTTCTCCAACCAGTGAATGAACCTGTGATAAATACATTTTCACCGCCTTGCACCCATACTATTTCAAAAGGAATTGTATTGTTATTATGTTGAGAATCTTGGGAATTGTTATGATCTTCTAGTTTTGAAATTGATTCTTCATTATTTATATCAAGATTAGCGCTCTTAGTTTTTAATTTTTCAAACTCTGGATCATCAGTCAATATCATTGTTGATCTCCTTCTTGGAGTTGGTTGATGTTCTGGTTCAGCTTGTTCTTGTTCTTGTTCAGGATTTAATTCAGAATCAATATTCATTGCAGAAGGTTGCGAGTTCAGGTTAACATTAGAGGCGCCAGAATCACTCATAGTGACATCTTGATTTGATTGACTATTTTCATTATGTTGTGTAATAGGGTTTTCATCCTCACGATTGTAATCTGAACTGTTGTGACCCATAATTGTGGTGGAGTTTATTGGTTTTGTGTACCTATCTCTAGTGGATGGATTTAAAAGTGGATGAACTTTTGATGGCGAGCTTTCGAAATCTTCTTGATTCACCAAGCCTTTTTTGTTGTTTAATGATTTGTTTTTTCCTTGCTGATGGCCGTGGCTTGTATCGGAAGTGTAGTTATTAATACGTTCTGGAGATTGCAAATGTTCCTGACCGATAAAGCGAGAGTTATCTTGAGAGGCAGCGTTTCCCATCTATATTCAGGGAGTAGCGTTTGGTTGGTAATATGGAGACAAGCCCTATCTGTGATTTCTGGATGTTGAAGTTGATGGTTTTGTAAAACGCTGTGTGTCAACAATCGGCCAGTCAATCAAAAGCTCCTTTCAAGTTTCCAAACGTTCGTCGTTGGGAAGAAGAAAAAATAGAAAGGCGTGACCGCGTGGAAATGGCAGACTCTGCTGGCCCGTTCAAAAAATCAGTTTTTTTTTTTTTGGTTTGGCCCTTTTGAAAAGGTGTTGATGATCAACGTTTAAAGGTTTCGATTTGGAAATACACTGAGATACAGGTTGGTTTATAGGGCAGTTGCGTTGTAAAATTGCTTGCTAAGAGATGGCTGACGAGAAACCTATTGCTGCTGCTGATTCCGCTGTTGCTAAGGATGTTAAAAAAGATGTTCCAGAAATCAAAAGTGATGCTAAACCAATAGAAAATGTGAAACCTAAATCTAAAGGTTATAGTAATCCAGCGCTTAAGGCAATGGGTATTCCAAATCTAAGGTTACCTTCAAGAAACTGGATGATATTTTGGTGCGTTACTTCAGGGTTGATTGGTGGTGTTTTATATGATAAATATCAACAAAAGCAAATAAGAAAGAAATGGATGGATAGAGTTTCAGAATTTGGGGCAAAACCTTTAGCACCAAATGAATTATCAAGAAAAGTCACCATTTATGTTGCTCCACCTCCAAACGATTTCCTTGATGAAAGTATGAGTGTTTTCAGAAAATATGTTAAGCCAATTTTAAACGCTGGTGGTGTTGATTATGAAATCAAATCTGAAAACAGACAAGGTGTTATTAGAAGTTTAGTAGCTGCTGAAATTAGAGATTTACGTCGTCAAATATTGGAAAATGAAAAAGAACAAGCTCAATTGAAAGAGAGTCAAAAATGGTACAATAGAGTTAAAAATTGGTTGAGTAAAAATAAAGAGTCCAAAGAAGAACAAGAAAAAGCATTACAGAATAAGAAATTTACAGACGATTTGAAAATGAAGAATGTTTTAGGTGTTTATTATAACAATATTCATAAGGATGACGCCACTATAAGTGAAGATAGCTTGATATCTGATCCTTCAGAAAATGGTGGTATTATTTGCATTGGTAGAGGTGCTTATAAAGAATACATCACTGGTTTGCATGAAGGTTTATTGGGACCTTTAGATAAACCTATTGAACATAAGGAACTGGAAGAGTTTAATGAAAAGCAACAGGAATTGAAACCAGCACCTGAAGTGAAATCTATTGAGGAAGTTGAAAATGCTGTTAATGAAAATGATAATAATACATCTTTGAATGATACACAAACTAAAACTGATGAAGCTAAATCTGATGAACCAAAGGCTGATAATGAAGAAAAGAAGGATGGAGAGAATGAAGGAGAATCACAAATTCCAATTCCAAAACCATTTATTGAACCAACTGAATATCCTAATGCCAAACTTGCCCCAGAGTTCAATTTCACTCAAGGTAAAGTACTAACAGCTGATAAAGTATCACCATTCTTCCAACAATCAATTCTTGCTATTCCATCATTTCATTTGAATGGGTTTTTGGTTATTCCTCAAAGAATTTTCAGATTCTATACTAGAAGATTTTTAACTGAAGAATATGGACGTAAAACAGTTGCATTAGTTGAAAATTTGACAAGACCATTTGAATCCAAAGATGTTAATTTAGCTAAAGATGAAGAAGATGAATGGCCAAAGAAATGGGTTCAAAATGGGTTGGAGAAAAACAGTGAATGGACACGGGAATTTATAACTGATGATCGTGTTTTGGAAAAATTGCATGTTTTTGATGATGAGAAATTAAATTGAATTGGTTGACTATCATGGACTAAACATCCGTTAATGGTTTCCCATATTATTTTGCATGGTGTTGATGTTGTTGGTGACTTGTAAATATAATCCTTTAAGGGGGTGAACAAAAAAAAATTTTGCCTCTAATTGAATAAAAGAAAAAAAAATCATTTTAAAAAAAATCATTATAATGCTTGTATATTAATGCTGAAATCATAAATTTAGATGAAGAATTGAATTTATCATTTGTCATCACTGTTTGTTAAAAATTTTATGGTATGTTTATATTGTGAACCACGCCTTTGTTGTTGGGATTGTTGATCAATTGAAGAAGAAGAAACAACTGGAGAATATTCACCACCACTTGTTAATTCATCATTTGAAGAGTTATAATCTGAACTAGGTTGCTGTTGTTGTTGTTGTTGTTGTTGTTCTTTTGACATTTTTTTATTGAATCTTGAAGTTTTATTCTCATGAACACTTTTAATATGGCGGTTTAATAAATCCACTCTTCCAAATTTTTTGTTGCAATTAGGAACATTACATTTAAAATCCTTTTCAGTAGAATGGACAGATTTTTCATGCCTATGCAATTGTCTTATTCTATTAAAACCCACAATTTTCCAAGGACAATCATCAAAAGAACATTTATGAGGTCTTTTAACGTTGAATTCATCAAAGTGATCTAATAATTCACCAAATGTGTTGAAGATTTTATCACAATGATTACACATATAAACACCTTTCTTTGGTTTTGTTAAAACTGTTCTCAGGACTTTCTTGTCATTGAAGATTTGTCTTCTTAATGGTATCCTACCATTCTCATCTATTGTTGTTGGGAAATCATTGGGTATAAATTTTGATAACTCTTCAGAATGAATGATTGAAAGGTTTAATTCTTTTTCTATTATAGGGTTTGGTTTTGCTCTCTTTTGACTTTGATGTTCGTTATCCTCATGATCATTATGTACTATGTTTTGTTCTGTGGTCATGATATTGATGTGTTGAGTATGATGTGTTTGAAAGGACAACGTAGTTGAAGGTGGTGGTGGTGGTGGATATGGATTTGGGTTGTTCTACAACAATTCTGGTCAAATGAGGATCCATTCACTTATTTAAAGCTTTAGAGAAAAAGACCACAACTAGTAACGAATCGTACGGTGACTAGGACCTCAAACTTTTTTTTTGAATGGAAGAGAGAAAAAATCGTGTATTTTTTTTTTCATGGGTATACTTTGGGCTTTAGAGTAGCTGTTGTTTTAAGATGAAACAAATCTAACTCCAACACCAGCTTGAAAAAAAAAAATAAAACCGAATGCGCGATCGAGTGAAAAAAAGTTTTGGCAGGCGCAAAGAGACATGAAATTGCAAGTTAAATAACATGCAGCAGATATGAATAGTACAATAGCTGATACCTTTGGAGGTGTAAATTCTGATTATAGAAGGTTGTAGCTCTAAAAGTGTCAAGTTGAACCCTCCAGGGCTGTCGATGAGTGCCCACAAGTGTCTCTCTTCCTTGTAGGAGAGCCCTTCCCGTCAGACGTAGAGGCAGGCGGGCCCTGCCGCCTGCGACGTTGGAAAATTCGAGCAGCAGGAAATAGAAGTTAGTGGGACGGGGGCGAGGTGGGCCCACAGCACCGCTCTAGAAGTTAATCTTGAAGGGAAAGACAAGGTCCAAGCTGGACTACTCCAGGCAGTGAGCACTGAGCACAGGCGGCCTACCTGGTTTGGTTTGGTCTGTGGCCGGATGGGCGCTCAGTGCCGGAAGGACATTTCAGGAAATGGTAGGCTAGGATTGGGCTCGTACTTTTACACACTTTACACTGGCTGCTGCTGCCAAAATGCATCCAGCGTGCGCGGTGCCAAAAGTGTATCATGTTGAAACAAATTGTTTTTTACCTTCAACTTGACACCGAAACCTTGAGCAAGTACGGACGTCGAGAACCTTCTGGTGGAGGAAGTTTATACTCTAGAGAAAATTCCTGACACATGAATGGATGAGTCGTGAACTGTTCTGGAATGCAAATCGTGGTGTGTAGAAGCCAAAAGTTACAACCTAAATATTGTAGTTATCAATGATATCCGGTCTACAAACTTTCATAGTACCAACTTCATCCGTACAAGAATTCACTCATACTAATTATTCGGTTTGTATATATATTAAGAGATAGTACACACGAGTCTCGGCACACATCTATTAAATCCACTTTCACACAGAAACATGCTGTTCCATGGTCTTGAATAATACACGTCAAAGTCTGTCATCTACAGCAGCTGATGCCGTTATTCATGAATTTAAGGTAAATTACGAATCGACGATGGTGATCTCAATACGTGCAGTTTGGAAGCTACATGATTGAAATGAGTACAGTGTATATATCGAACAAAGAGAGTAAGAGCATCTTGAAATTAATCTTTACAATAGTGAAGAGCGAATTTGGACACTTGATGGGTAGGTGAATCATCAAATATTTCGTGATTCATCACTAAATCATGCCCTTGTCATCTTTTTGTGCAGTCAGTTAACTTTCAAGTAATCTTAATCACCAATGAATCATATCCTGTTCGATTTGTATCATTTTAACCTCCTCTACACAATTATAGCTCTACATGAGCCTACAGCAAGTAAGGAACAGTTTTCCAAGAAAGCTTCTCTTGCTTCGATTTCCTCCTGATCACCGCTACACTTTTCAACAAAAAATCTTCTATTACATAAACTCATAACCTTTTTTTCGTAATAATATATGGCAATGCTGTCAATTGTAGTCCCCAATCATTAAAAGTTTAATCCTTTTACCCCTTATAAAGATATTTGTTTATACCTCAAAAACTTTGTAAGGTTAAGCTTTTAGCAACTTCAGTATCTTCAACTGCTCTTTTAAATTCTTGAAAATTTAATCTTCCATCACCATCTTGATCATTCTCCATTATTGTACGATCAACAATCTGTTGTAATTGATCATCATCAAGGTTTTTACCAACCATCATTTTCAAAACTATGTATAATTCACCATTGGATATATAACCATCTTTATCAATATCATATATCTCAAATGCAAATTTTAATTTATCATCTTTTAAACCTTTCCCACTAAATATACTTAAACCTGTTATAAATTCTTTAAAATCAACATCTCCACTACCATCTTTATCAAATGTTTCAATTAATCTAGTAGCTAATGGATTACTAGCAACACCAGGTATAGCTAAAAATTCATCTTTTGATATAGTTCCTGAACTGTCTTTATCTAATTTCATAAATCTTTTACGTAAACGATCAATTTCTTCATGGTCAACTTTGAAACAAGCTGTTAGTATTGCATCCTATACCAATAAATGTAAATCCAACTCACAATTTGTACCCTCCATAAGAGAGTCCACTAGTTTAGAAGATGTTAGCCCCATTATATTATCTATCCTTTGATTTATTTGTTCTTTTTTCGTTGATGTACTGTGTTTGAATTGTTGTTCATCAAAGCAAAAAGATGGAAAATTACTTCAAAATAATTTCGTGTACTTACCGACTTTTCCGCGAAAATAAATTTATTGAAGCGCAAACATGTCAAAGATTCTTTTGACTTGAAATGTTTCCAAAAGACAATAATGCCCAAGGTTTCGGTGTTTTGTCCATGCAGTGAGCCATTGGATTTCACTTCACAAGCTGTTATTGATCCTGCTAAGCTACAATTGGATTCGTATCCTCACACAATAACAGATCAAAACACTCATCATTTATTATCATATTTAAATTTTTGTGAATATTGTCAAAGTGTTAAATGTCGGAAATGTATTGAGCCTGAAGTTGTTGTTAAATATTGTCCCAAATGCTTATTAGAAATGAAGCCTGAGTATAGTTTTTGTTCAAGAAACTGTTTTGATTGTCCTTTATGTGATGGGAATGTATCAATTCATCAATCAAAACATGATGTTCGAAATTTTAAAATGAAGTGCTTACAATGTGACTGGCAATGGGAGACTGGTGAATTAGAAAAACAGAGAGCGTTGAGTAGAGTTGTTAAAAGTCAATTGAATTTGAAAAATCCAATGCAAAGATTTTCCACTTTGGAGACTTTTTATCTTCAAAGGAAACAATTGTTACAAGGTGAACTGGAAATTTCAAAAGATACAGCTTTACAAATGTCAAAATTGAAATTGAATGATGGTGATTTGAAAGATATTCAAAGCTTTATAGGTCGGAATTCCATTAAAAAGTTTGATAGAGATGAAGATTTACACAATGTGGAATTCTTATCAAAACAAGAATCAAATTCTCAAATCTTGACATATACTCAATCAATCAAATCAACAATACCTCAACGTTCTATTTCATCTGTCCCACCAAATTCAACAAAATTGAAAACCAAAATTTCCAAAAGATGCAAGGCTTGTAGAAATTCATTAATGAAACCAGATAAAGAGATAACATCTGTGAAATTTTATAAATTATCAAATGCAATTGATTACCTACCATTGTTGAAAATTCATCCACATCCAAATTTCAAATCTTCACCAACTCCATCAACACAATACAAATCATTATTATCTTTTGAAAATCCATTAGACATCCCCATGAAATTAACAATATCAACATATTCAATAACACCAGGATCATACAATCATAAAGTTCATATCCCAAACTTTGAATTTGAGCTATCTGGGAAACCAGAAAATTATTCAACTTTACAAAATTTCATAAAGACAATCCCTACAATAGAACTTTTGAAAGATACAAAATTAGGTAGAATTGAACATATGAATAGAAATCCAGTCAATTTTGATTATGATGTTGTGGAAAAGGGTATAAATTGGTGTGTTTTCCCTATATTGATTGAAGTTGATGATTCTAATGGGATTGGCCATGAATTGGAAATTCCCGTTTTCATTACAGTAAAGACTGAGTTTTATTCAACCGGGTACTGGTCTGTCTTGAAGTTTGGCGAAGTTGAATAGAAGTAATTGCTATATACAACTCTTTTAATGAAGCTATGAAATATTAAACTCCTTTATCCAAAATTTCGGTACAGGCCACTACTTCACGACTTTTGTCAGGTATTACATAACCAGAATAACCAATTATGCACAATTCATCAATACTCAACATTTCACATCAACTATAAGAAGAATCAAGAATCCACTAATTGTAACATTATATGTATATTAATAGAACATCGGAATTACCTTATATACACACAGTAGAGGATATTCTGTCAGGTTAAAACCACGAATAAAATAAAACAAGTGATCATTAAATCAACATCAACTAGAAACAATGGCTGTCACAAGAAACTCCAATAGAAGAAACACCTCTTCAACCTCTTCAACCTCTTCAACCTCTTCAACAACTAGAGTAACCAAAACCAGAAAACCAGCCAGAAAAACCAAGGCTAATCCTCGTGTTACAGCAATTGAAAACAATATTTCTGCATCACATGCTGCATCAACATCTGAAAACACACCAAACTCAACCACTTCAGAAGAAAATTTTTCAACAAATGGTGTTCAACAAGCTGCATTATCTGCACAAAATGA